GTACTGTTTGGCGCATCCGTGGTAGTCTTCTCACCCGAGACCGCGTCCGGAATGACGCCTGACACCTCACCGGCAAGGGTCGTATTGTTTGGTGCTGCGGTAGTTTCTCCCGAAGCCATTGTTCGTTCGTGAATGCTCAATGCAGAAAACACTGTTTCTAAGGAGATTGGTGGAGACTCTCTGGAGAAGTAACTTCTGCTTCAGGTTTGGTGCAAAGAGTGCCGGTATGCTTGTTCCTTGCGATCAAGCAAAAACCTAGCAGAAAATGTTTAGTTGATAAAATGTCGTCCTCAAATCTGCTTGCTCGCGATTTGCTATGTTGTGTGTACCGCTATTCCTGCCAGACCTGATGCAGTGTTGATGCCGGCTTCCGCTGTTTATCGGGTTCTTCGCAGCAATGTACCTGGCTTTTGCACTGATACCAACAGAGGTGTACTAAACCTGCAACGATGCACAAAATCCAAGCGAGAACGACTGATACAATGAGTGATCATGGACTCGATGTCGGCATATGAAGTTTAGAAACTCATCGAAACCTCACCGGGCGGGAAAATAGGGGCCTAATCTTATCTGATCGCGCCCAGCCCGAATGCCTCCGGCGCCAGGCTTAACATGTCTGATCGACGATTGACCCCTCCAGTGCAGGTAGGTAGATGTGCTCCACGTACTTCTCACAATGTACTTGTACAACACTGATGATTCATTAAAGAAGTCAATTGAGATAACATCGAAGCAATGATCAGTGAACATCACAATTCTTGAAAGGTAAGCTGCTTCGAATAGTTGCAAGTGTATTGACATGTCTTGATATTTCCCCAATATACAATCTAAGATCGTTGCGCATCACTACCACCACCAGGCATATTTAATCTATAACCAAAGTCTTCATTGTTTATAGCTTCAATGTAGCTTGTACCCCCCATATCATCTGCTCATTCCATCTCATCATATTCAACCCCGTGGTATCTCAATCCCCTTCCCATCTATTCATTAGGTCCAACTTCATCATCACCACCCCAAAAAAGCAAAGTGCGCACTTCTGCTCGATGCTCCCGGTATACCGGAAGCTCTCGAAACAGACGCGGTGATATCACTGAGTAATGCAAAAAGCACATGTCCCTGTCCAAAACAAAATAACCATCATAATATCTGCATCAGAAATCTCTCATCAAGATCTCCCTCCAGACAACAACCAACTGTGCTTCGCATAGGTTGAAGCTCAAGAAGAATCGTGTATCGCACGGTCGTCAAGTCGTAGAACTGGGAATCTGTGTAGGTAAGGCGATAAAAAGGTCGACATGGTCTATGTGCAACACAAAAAACGAATGTAAAAAGTTTGCCAAATGCGAATTCAAGCGGGGACACCAGCCAGACAGGAGGATGCCAATCACAAGCTCATGGTCAACCACTCCCACTCTTGGCTGTTGCCATGCGGGTTGCCCGGTATGTTTTGGACGTTCGCGTTCAGTAGACCACCCTGCATCACAGATGCCATGGTGGTAACTCCTGCTGTGCTCGACATGCTGGCTGCTTTGGCCCGAGTAACAGGTGCCTGCGTGACTTTGGGCGTGGACTGCCCAACATCTTGCATCTCGGATTCGGGGCTGGGCCCCGCACTATTGGGAGCAGGCATGGTATTGACAGATGCCCGCGACTGCCTCCTCTGACGTTTCGGTGCAACCTGAACCGGTCTAGTCATGTTGGGGCCCGGCTGCATAGGTGGTTTAGGTGGTGCTGCAGCGATTGGCACAACTCCCGGCTTCCCGCCTGTCGTGCCAGGAGGATAACTGGTTGGTGTGGTTACTATCGAGCCGGAGTTGGTGGAACCTTGGATAGACGCTGGCGAAGCCGAGTTCTGCTCACTTGGAGCAATGCCCGAGGTAGGCGTTGAGACCGGAGTCTGCGCCACCGAATTCTTCCTGGACGACTTCTTAGATGCCCTGGTAGCGGCAGAGCCCATGGGAATCGTGTTCCCACTTCCACGATTGCGTTTCTTGATGACATCCGTCTTCAAGGACAGGGGACGGACCACACCATGAAGCTTCAGAAACAGACCACATGCGTTGCAAAGAGGATGGCCCTCTGGGTTGCGTCGCCAAAGTGGTGTCGTCTGGGTGAAACAGTTGGTGCAAGTGGTGGGCACACCATTCTGGTCAGTGTTCTTCGGTCCCGGACTACTCGGCCTTGAAGGCTGTCGACTGCTGAACCCGGATTCACCAGGCGAGCTTTGGGCGGACATCAGATGCTCGCTGGTCAAAGCAGGCGTAGAAGTCGTTCTTGGAATCTTTTGTCGTCCCCGAGGGTCCTGGTCCCGATTCCGAATATCGCTGACAGATGCCGCTGAGCCATGTGTCCTGCTTAACATGGATCCGCTCCAGTCTGGAGGCGAATTGACCATTTCGGTTCCCCCAATTCGAACCTGCTTACCGCTACCACCATATCGTTGCATGTTGCCAAAGTCAGCGACACTGGGATCCCATTGCAAGCCAGAGTTGAGGTCGAGGGTAGGATCGCCTATCTGTCCATAGTCGGACTGCATCATGAGGCCAGCGTCGGCGTAATTACCATCATCGTCTTCGCCGTCCGAGTCGCCTCCAAATTGGAACATGTTGTCATTCGCGCCCATGGAAACTCCAGGAGACTCTCCAACTCGACGTCCAAACTCAGGAACAAGAACGTTGGAAGGGTCTACGTGTTGTTGAATAGTGAATCCGTTGATAGACGGCGCCGAGCTGACACCATTCATGGGCGCATACATCTGCTCGTTGTTGTTTCCGTAAGGATACTGAGCAGACATCGTAGTCATTAGGTGGTTTCCACGGTGTGCTGGGTAGAATGGCATCGATCGTGGATGGCTTCCGTCAAAGTAAAATTGCTGCTCACTTTCGTGGCCAGGCTGAGGGGTAGAAACAGCGGAGGGGTAACCAGATTGGGGAGGCGAATAGAAGTCGGTCGAGTTGAGGGAAGAAGCCATAGTTGTTTGATTGTAAACGTTCGAGAAGGGCCCATTGGTGACCATGGGCGAAGCTGCGGGTGAGAAGGCAAAATTTTGCTGGAACGGGCCGGCCGAGGTGAGAATTGGGTCATCTGCTAGATGAAAAGAGTCGAGATGCATTGACATTTGGCCTTGGAAGCTGGCGGAAGTGGGATATTGCTGCGGCGTCGGCTGGTCAAGTGCATAGTCAGGCACGCCAGAATCCACCTCATTATTGTTTGAAGTGTTGGGCGCAACCAATGGAGGTACCTGGGGAGAGAACTCGGCTGGACGCTTTCGAATCTATGCAATGTAAGAAGATACAAAATGGTAGCAACTCGTGAAAAACTTACTCCTTTGCGCTCGTCGATGCTAGTTTTTCGAACTCTCTTTTGTACGTAGTCAAATTCGCTTGTCCGGCGGATGGGAACCGAGGTTTGAGGCGCCGACGAGGGCGGTAGATCCTTCGGGATCTCTATGTGCGGCTTGTTGCGAGCAGCAATGGGAATGGCAGGTGTCTGGAATGGCTTGGACGGTGCTGGAGCATCGACCGGCACAGGTGAAGTGAGACCAGCAGGAGAAGCCACAGAACTGGGAATGATGAAGTCGTCGAGGTTCATAGGATCTAAAGGCGACTGCTCCATTTCAGCAGAATTGTCGACAGACTTGCGTAGCTGCTGGGCAATCCCGCTGGGGGCATTTGAGGCCGGCGGCGGGTTCTTGACTTGGGCTTTGAGACCACTAGACAATAAACTGTCAGCACCGGCCATGCGTGAGTCGCTGCCGGAATAGAAGCTGTCATACGCTGCTTGTAGTTGTTCCCGCTCGCGGCGGCGAAGGTTCATTGCCATCATCCGCCATGTTAGATTTTCCATGCGCTCTTGGTTGGGCAACCGGGACTTGGTTCGATGGTACAGTTTCCATATTTGAGTGCCCAATGGATCCTTCTTTTGCAGTTCCTCGGGGCTATCAAGGTCCTCTTCACCAGCAGTGTCGTCCTTCCACTCGGGAAATACGGCGTCCCGCAACAACAACTCATTTCGAGCAACGGCTTCGGAGATGGAGAGATCCAGATTGGTATTGGGGGGCTTTTGCGTTGATTTGATTGTAGTTTGAGAGTCCAAGGTCGAAGAAATCTGAGCGGGCGAGAGATTGGTGGAGGAAGTACTTGCGGTCTGAGGACCTCCTAAGCTAGACCAGGTAGAAGAATCCGTGTCGTCAAGACTGGACGAGGCGTGCTGAGCAGACTGAGAGTAGTGGAAGTGGTCGACCGGGGATTGGATGGCGGAGGTTGCGCGCGAAGCTGCAGTTCCCCCACGTTCCTCATAATCAGCACTCGACATTACCGAGTCGCGTGCAGCGGGCTGAATGCAGAGGTATAGGGTGTGAGGGAGTGATATAGCATGAGTTACACAAGAAATGATGTATGTGTGAGCAGTAGGGCCAACGCTGGGAAAGAGTAGGAACCAGAAAATGCGTCGGCTTCTTTAGGGTCTGGCGAGCGGCAGCAGCAGTGTCATCACCAAAAAGGTCGGCAGAGTCGAACGAGGCTTATGCTTCGGTCGGTGGTTGCTCACAGGTGGGAGGGTGCCGGGTTCAAGAGGCAGCATGCAACCAGTGAGAAAAGGCGAGGGAGGCGTTGGCGTTGGCGTTGGCCTCTCTGGATAGTTGATCCATCGAAGAAAGGTCAAGGCGCAGGCGGGCGGCGGGCACTTGGGCAGGGGGGAGTGTGCGTCAAATGTGGTCAGGGTTCAGCAAAGTAGCAACCCTAGTGCGCCGGCTAATAGGACCCTAGTGGAGGACTCTATTGGAGACTCCTGGGGGGGCAAAATGGTAATTATTATGGGAACCCTAGACAGTGGGAGGCGCCTTAGCATTGGAATTGCGTCCCCAAGGTCCTGCAGATCGAGAGTTACAGTAAGTTACATATGATGAGATATATTTGTTATTCTCGTACCCTGATGTCGAAAGGGTCTTGTCAGGTGCGCGCCAAATTGAAACGTACATCTTACAATTCCGCCCAGTAGAGGGTGCGCCTATACATAAAGAATGGGCACGAGACAAAACAATAACAGCCGTGACGATGATGACGGGTCACCCACTGTCAAGCAAATGCAGTAATAGCTACATCTGTCTCCGTACCAGACCAGAGAAGTACATACAAGTACGACCGAGTAGATCCCGTTCTCTAATTGTAGAGGTCATCTTACTACAGGACTGTGGAGCGAACAAGATGATCCCGAGAATCGAGAGGGCCATGGCTATGGATTTTGGCTCTGAGATGGGATCTCGAAACCAGTCGGAAGTCACCTAATAGGGCATACTGCCTGTGGAAGTTGGAGGCACTCTTAACTCTGACCCATCTCTGCTTTGCTTTCTCTCACATCTCTTTGGCTGATGACCACAAAAGAAGTCAACCACATCGGAGAATGCACTGAGGGAGTATCGGCACGGCGCCGGTGGGCGCCAGTCTTCGAGCTAGGGCAAGCCAAGGGCCAGTAATAGCCTTCAAGGACGGAATTGCGGGACAAGTCGAAGGAGGGACAACCAAAATGGGGGGGCTGTCCTTGGATTTGGGTTCTGCAGAACATCGAGTCGATCGTCAAGCATCGAGTCGGACGACCTCTGGTGGCAAGAAGGGTCTGGCGATCAAATCTCTTCGTCTTCTGTCATGCTCAGACAGGGGAACAAACATCGACTTTGAAACAATGTAGGTTTTGTGAAGCAGAGCAATACCTCTGCGTACGCACCTCGAGGTACAATCACCGAGGAACAGGCCCTGAGGCAACGGAAAGGCCGTTCATGATCTAGGAGGGGCATGCGAGAGTGACAAGTAGATGCAGTTCCAGGAGGCCAGGACCAGGATTCAACGTTGGGAAACGTGCCACAAACCGAAAGCGGGAAAGCATCGACATCAGAGTTTAAAGCCTTTTGGTGAAATGACTGGAGGGGAGGAGTCTCGCTGCAGAGTGATGGCAGACTCCCAGAGCCAAAGTGGACTCGAGGCTGGCTCCCTTTATTTTAAGCGATCCATCGTTGTGGACAAAAGGTTCGCCAGGTGCAGCAGTAGCGTGGGTGCTGGCACCGCCAGGTGGATCTTGTTCGTCCGGGCGCCGCGTGGTGATTGCAGAACAGACTTGGGGACTTGCAGACGCAGACGAGAATCAAATGCCAGTTGCCGTCATCGCAGCAGCTTCATCGGCTAGGATCACGGCCACCACGGCCCCAATCTGAAAAGCAAACTCAGACTTTGTCATAAGAATATATAATGAGAATTGTATATCAACCCCATCCGAGTCTGTGCATGTTCGCTTGGGATTTGTACCGAGCCCGTAGTACCATCCGTTGCTGCGTCCGAGAGCTTCGTTGGCAGCTTGCTGTGCTACGATGGGGACACGATCCGTGGGCACTGGGCACAGTGGGACTGCTTTATGATTGATGATACTTGCCCACTCCAAAAGTGCACGGTAGAGCACGGTAAAGCATCGGGGCCATTCCTCTTCTTGGAGACTGTAACGAAGACAGCCTGCATCTCGTCTCAGCAGCGACATTCGCATGGCCCGGACCAAGAGGCGAGAGTGGTAGCGAATAGCAAAATGCACCTGAGACTGATGAAATTTTTATCGCTCATGTGAATATGGAAGAATGTACGTACCTGACCGGAATGGATGACAGCCTGCGGCTCATGATTTGTTATTCGGTCGCGAGATGAGAACGCCCTCGAGCTGACTGCAGACATGTGAGAGGCACGAGACGCGAAGGGCCAGTTCCAGGCACCACGACGGGAGGGAAGGCTGCGACAACGGGACTGCTCGCTCCTAGGGATGATTCTGTGCATGAGGGACGTGGTCCAGAAGCAATCCACTTTCCACTCCACCAGGACATGCAGCCATAAGAGTAGTCCCCATAACTGGGTGGCCCATAACAAGCCATGTCAGGCTGCTGATGGGCTGGTACGTACTCCTCCCATCCATGGTCGTCGCAAGTCAACATGAACAATCAGTCAATAACGTTGTTGAGACTCCTCCCCTCAACAACGGCAGTTGAATCTGCGACACATTCAATTGACACAGCGGGCTGGCAGCATGCAAGACGGTATCGCGTTCTTCATCTCCGTGGACATGGCCATGCCATTGAGTGAACATTGCCTCGACGACTTCGTGAGGGCGGCCAGACGTTCCATTAGTGCAAACAGGTACTTGTGTACCCCGTACAATTACCGTGGGCCGTCTTGTACCTCCCAAGGTTGCTGCTCTTCCCTCCGCTCTTCTCGTCTCCCATGCCCAGAGCCATGAGAATCACTACTCCATAATTCTCCATGCCGTCAATTCCCCCATCAGACTCAGCATCCCGGATCACCGACCTCGTGCCATAGTCCTGTCGAAGCTTTCAATCGCAGATCGCTATCTAGGTCGATATCCGTACAGCCAGGAAGCCTTACGCTCCCTGGCTAGCGAAGCCATGCACCATGGGCCTCGCAAATGGCACGTGCCGCCACTGCGCTGGCAGCTGGCGAAATAGTTGGAAGTGGTGCTCCCCTAACGACCTCGTGGACCCAGTCTCATGAGGCTAATGAAATCGTTGGAGGACGACCTCCCTCACCTGCGAGAGCCAAATGGAGACTCATACATACAAAAGGAAAGATGTACAGCGGCCACTAAATCTTCTCAGATTGATTGGTAGGTTCAATGCGCCGACTGGCGCATGGACTGACCTGCAGGAGGCAAGCCACAACCTTCTTCGAAGATGAGATGTGCGGAATACAGAGTACTATGGTACGTACTCCGTACCGTCGGGAAAGGATTGAGCTTACCTCGCTCGTATACTTGGGTTTCGACCCGGGTTGGCCCTCGCTCAGCCCACCAAAGTTCTTGTACTCTTCGCCGGTAAAAAAGTCTCCTCGTTCTGCTAGCATCCGAGGTCATTGAATCTCGAGTCGGTCCAGCAAGCCTTGCCGAGTTGTCCGGCGTTATTGCCGTGTCCACTCTCTGCCAATCTCTGGTGCTCGGGAGAACGATTTCCGCTACACATTCAATAGTGCGCGTGTAGTTGTTCTCACGAGGCAGAGCATGTGCAACCTTCTGACCCTTACATCACCTTTGCTTCTGTAACAAAGCTGCAGTCTCTCTGGTGTTTCTGCCTCCCGGTACATCTCCGCTAGTGGGTGAATCTCCAAGAAAGCACATGGCCTGACCTCACCCTCGTCTCTCCGACGTGGGGTCCCGTCCATACATGTTCTTTAAAAGACTCATAAGGTTGCGAGCAGGAATCGCCTTGTTACTTTAGCGCACGGGTACCGGGTTTGCTTCGCAGACATCATAGGTCACCACGAGGCTTGCCAAAGTTGTGGGATTCTCGAAGACATTGTCATCTGCTGCAGCTAGTCGTAGTATTCGTACATAAAGAGTATGACATCTAGTCCTGCGCCGGGCAATCGCCTCTTAGTAGATCCCTCGGCGGTTGACTCGCCTCTTAGTAGATCCCTCGGCGTTTGACTCGCCTCGAGCCGGACTGAGTTCAATAATACCGCCGTCAATCTGGACCTTGCCGACAAGCCGTTTATGGTCACGTACATGAGAGTTTCCAGCTTTAAGAATCCTGTCCGTAACCTGAAAGGTTCACAAAGTCATGGTGGCAGCGAGTCGCTGAACAAAACCGCAGCCTTCCATTAAGCAGCAACAAGGGTGCGAGTCAGTGGTGAAAAGGAATCCGGGGCAAAAGCCGGCCTGCCAGTCCCAACTGCCACGGCCACGCATGCCACGAGAATACTACCCTTCGGTTTGCGCACTCGATCGCAGACTTTTGCGTAAGGCATTATAGAGCAAAACTTCGCGAATGCAACACCTGCTGCTGCCTTGGACTTTCCCGTCTGCAAGCGAAAATTAATAGGAGTCAAACTCGAAAATCGGACCGAAGACCCTTGAGGCCTTCACTGATCACCTCCCAGTCTCTTTCGCCACCAATCATGATGTTTGTACTCCGTATCTTTTCTCCGCTCATATCCCGCCTCCAGGAATGATGCAAGATATGAAGACCCTGCGGTTGATCAACTTGTGGACTTGACAAGAAACCATCGTGACCATATATGCCAACCCTAGTCCAAAGGGACAGATCTGTGCCTTGCTTTGCCAAACGTTCGGTATCTTGCAAGCATAACATTGTGGCAGGCATAGGAGAAAGGGCTGTCGTCATGCTGAAGGTAGAGTCATCGGCAACCGTCGACAAGCCCTTATACAGACAAGTCTGACCATCGCTGATCCCAAAGTCTTGGTATGTCTCGTACTGGTGGAACTGCAGAATAAAGAAAATCGTCGGGCTGAAACTGGTTTGGGGTGTGCTTGTCCAAAGTCAATGTTGTTCGGGTGCGTTTAGCTGCAGGCTTTGACAGTAGTCGGGTTTTCGGGTGCGCTAGGGGTGACCTTTGTAGGCATATGCATTATGCAACCCCCCAATATGTCACCCCTCCTCCATCTCTCCCAAATCCGATCAACATCTTTTTCTGGTCAGCGCCAAATCTGGAGCGTTGGTAGTCGTGAGCCATTCAGTCCGATAGGAAGCCAGCGCATAATTCTCGTCGTGCACAGAAGCCTGATCGAATGTCCTCGAAACGGAGTATAGATTCGTGTGTGCGGAGACATCTTCCTTGACGGTCGATCAGAAATTATGAAAGCTTGCAATCGAGATGCCTGCGTGTAACCGTAATTGTCCTTCTGGCAGCCATGAACCTTCCCTGTCGGTTGTGACTTGCTCACCCAGGCCAGGACCAGGATCAACTGGTCGCCAATTCTTGGGTCGTGACATGTGTAACCCCCACGCTAGCGAAGAGGTTGTGTGACGTTGGAGCGCTTGCTGCTGACGACCAACGAGACAAACCCAAGCCATCCGGGGCTAACAAGCTGCACCAAAATGATGGTCTCGTAGTTGTGATTTGAAATTCGCGACTCGCAGGATCTTGTCAGAAGCAAGCGTCATGCACTTGTTGTTGCAGGAGATATCCTGGGATCTCGTATGCTGAAGACGAAAGATGAGGTAAGTCGCTGACTCCTGCAAGAGATGTACCGTCGAAATCCTGCGGGAGGAACAGGCGCTTACAGCAAAGCCTACCGTCCCTGCAAGCCTGTTTTCGCAGGCATCGTTCGCATGCTAGGCTCGACGTACAAGTATACCTCCCCTAACTTCGGCATCTTCCAGGGAGGCCATGAGCGCCACAAAGTTGTCGGAAAAGTCGCTGAGATGATTTCTTCGTGGATGTCAGCATTTGTGAGGTTCCAGCAGAATCACAAAAGTACAAGTCCAAAATTTGACTCGTAGTGGCCTGTGGCCCTGTTAAGTATTGTTGGAGAGGCTCCAGCACTCAATGATAAGCCCGAAGGAGATCAGCGGCCCTTGCACTGCAACACTCAGATATGCAGGAAAAAGCAACGTCTTTATCACATTCGGTTTCGCAATCGACAGGTTGTGATAACGAACAAGGCTGTCGTTGGTTTGATAAGCATCGAGCTCCGCGATAACAGGGTCGTTTCTATCTCATAAGATAAAGAATCCGGGGCACGCGATCGACCTAAGATAGGACGTGCTTGCGCACGTCAACTCTGGCGGCGAGTTCCGCGGGTTCCTCGAGTACAGATTTGTCTTCGGTCTATGCTGGCTTGCAATAGACATATTCAGCTTGAACAGTCGAGGGCATCCACACCTTCGTGGCCATTCAGTGTGAGTGATTGATGGCACAACGCCTCCACATGATGTCCGATGTCCAGCAGCGCCCAACAAAGCCCCCGGCCAGCTCTGGGACCCATTCAGACTTGAAATTAACAATGCTCGAAAAGTAGCTGATCATCTTCTCTTATCAGTGTGTCCTGCTTTGCCCATTCGCTGAACAACGCAGCAGATGTAGTTTGGATCAGGGAAGACAATGATCTCCTGATGTTTCGTCCGAAGCCTGAGCAACTGTACTTCATCTTCATCTGCCTTGTTATCGATCTCGTCTTCGGTGGCGGCCCCGTCCTTGTTTTCAGACTCTCCTGAGGCGAAGTTGGTGTTTTGTGCACCCAATATCTGACGGGACGTGGTACCTAGAGTCGTGGCCAGAAAACCGGCGTTGTTGACGAACTGAAAGATGGACGAGGCAAGCACCTCTACAAGCTGCAACTTGCCGTCGGCGGCTCCGTCTCCCCCAGGCTGAACCTCGACCTCTGGTTGGACGGGTGTCTTGGTTTGTGTGGCAGACCATTGGTAACCTCCTGCGTTATTTTGTTTCTCTGCTGCATCAAAACCGGTAGCTCTGATGATGGAACCATCTCTTCTGGAAAGTATCAAGGTCGATTGTACATTCGGACGGTCTGTTAGACCTCGTAGCATGGCATCGATGGAGGATCCGTTCTGCTGATTCTGCTACGTCGTTAGTTTGGTTGACACCCACCAGCAATCCTGCGGCAACCGACTCTGTCTGTTTGTGCCATGGCTACTGAGCAAGCAGCGAAGCGTACCCAATGTCCTCAGCTTGTTATGTGCGTCAATGCATGTTGCACGCCGCTGTGAACAGGCAGAGGCTGCCGTTGCCGACGAATTGGGCCAGATTGAGGACACCGCAGGGGCTTTGAGTCGGCAAGTCGGTAGAAGGGGGTTTCGGAAGGAGTTGAATTAGGCCTCATAAGATCTTGATCTGATCAAATCGTCAGCATAGGATCTCCGGCGAGGGTCTTGGGGCTCTAGAATTTTCATTACACACACAATTCTACTCCACACGGAGTTCCGCAGTATGAAAGGAAAATGGCGAGATGGATTGTTTATCTTGCGTGCGCGTAGTGGCCCTTCGGGTAAAAGAAGAGGGCACCCTAGCCTGCGGCTCGGCCCGTCTCAAGGGCCTTCATGCTTAAAATTTCTCAAGCCTTGTATTGCCGAACGAGCAAAAACCATTCCACAGGTGCACCTTCGCCATATAATCCGGGCGAGTTTTGTACTGTCATACCCAGCAGTCCTCATCATGGGCTCCAGTGCGAAGAAAAAGAAAGAGAAAAAGAAAGACTTTCAGGTGAGCGCCTGGACTATCGCCCATTGCTTCTACAAACACTAACCTTTTACAGAAACAGAAATTGAAGGTCGGCAAGGCCAGGCCAAAGGCTGAGAACCATACCGACACCAGCTTCCGGTCAAAAGCCATCACATTAAGCCAGCAGCTCGATATCAATGCGCCATCCCAGACCTCGGTTTTCGTTCATCAAGTCTCACTTCTCAATTCTCGGTCTGATACCTCGCGGAAGGACGCTCTCGGTTATTTGAGCACTTATGTCGCCGCACTCACGCCCGGAAGGAACTTGCCAGTCACCACCAGCTCCTTCCTCAACAGCCTTTGTCCTCTGATACTCGACGGCTCCGCAGGAGTTCGCAATCAACTACTCAGGCTGTTCCAGACACTTCCACCGGAGGAGATTCGAGACAATGTCGCCAAAATCCTGCCCTATATGCGTGCTGGAATGACTCACCTGTCTCGAGAAATCCGGCTTACAGCGATAGACTTCTTATCCCATCTCATCCAAGTTGCGGGTGCCGAGCTGGTGTCTTGCGCTGGGGGATGGTATCAGACATTGGAATGCTTTACGACAGTCCTGGGCTGGAGATCAACAGATTCCAGCAAGTGGGCAGCTAACAAGGCTTCCTTTGCAGGAGATGTCAAATCCACTGCGCGCATAATGCAAGTCCTTGCAGAATTTGTGGAAGCCGGCCTAGCCCCCACTGATCTCTCGACAAGAGTGAATACTCTGGCCCAGGACTTTCCCCTTTGGCAGACCGATGCTTTTGCAATCCCAACCAAGTCAAATGCTTACGCCTACCTGAACCTTTTCGGGACCCCACAGGACGATGAAAAGCAGATGCTGGACGACCGAGAAGACAGGCTTCGAGTCTACGTCAGCCACTTTCAGGCACTTCTTTTGGCAGGCATCGACGCAACCAAGAAGGAAGGTGGTGAGCTTGGACGAGCTTCGAGCTTCCTGGCCAAAGCACTTGTTCGGACGCAACAGACGTGAAACTGTAACTCATGCTGTACTTGGAACTCTCAAATGGGCTGCATAGCTAGCTAGCTACCTTCACAAGTCGTTACGCAAGGGCGTCTAGGGTCTGCACAGGAACGAAACCAACTCTCACATCCACACCAGGCCATGTGTAACCCCCAACAAAGAACGCACATCGCACCCCAAGGGCTTCATGCACGTTCGGACGTACACAATAGTGCGTTTAAGCAGGTTGAGATTCGAACCGCTATCGGGTTAAACCATCATGCTAGGCAAACACCAACGACTACAACGACTCAGCACTAGTCTGGCAGCTCTCATCTCACGCCAATCTATGTCGCCCTCAATTCTCCCCAGGCAGTCTCACCTCCGACCACTCGTCGACCTTTACACCATGCCACTCCTCAGGGTCAAACCAACCAATGTAAGCCCGATCTCCGAAGCCGCCAATCCAATAGACCTCCCTCACAACCATCCTCATCCACACACCTTTATGCGCCGCCCACTTCTTCCCCGGCAACCACATGACACTGTCCACATGGGCCTTTGTAAAACAGGCAGCAATACCGCCACTGCTGACCTCCTCATCCGTCATCTCTTCAAGGTACCCCGTCATGCTCAGCCGGGGCAAATTGGCCGCCGACCAAGGCTGCTTGTGCGTGATGTGAACGTACTCGTCCCACCAGGACAAAGCCAGCGACACGTTCGACCCGGCCAGCGCGTTCTTGGTCGACGTCGACACCGTCAACGCCAACAGCGTTGGATTCCCTGTCGGCTCCTCACACGAGGCGATATAGTCGGGCAGTCCGATCGGCGTGCGGGCAACGTCCTCCGGTACGCGCGTCGAGTTGATACTCTCGGGAAATACGGTCGTTAGGACGCCTGTCTTTGACAACGCAAGCAATCGTCGCCCGAGGACGGTTGATTCGTACCGCGAAGGAATCGTGAAGGAGGAGAAGTCGTCATCATCGATAACGAGAGGAGCTTCGGATGTCTCTGTCTCGATCGGGACGATTTCTTGGTCTAGTGCGAGCTGTTCATGACTGTGGTCAACTGGGATGCACGAGACCCTCGAGGCGAGCAGAAGCGTTGCCGTGAAAAGACTGCTTGAAATGTACATCGTATCTGGTGTATGAGATACTGTCAAAAGGTTGAAGAAGGACCAGCTCCTTTGTCTATTGTAGCCCAACTCTTATATCGTACTGCGCGTTCGCAGTTCCAAATCGAGGCGTTTACGATTCCAACAATCCGTTTACGACTGTTGACGGGTCGTTTATCGTTCCAACAAGCCGCTCGGACAGTCAGGGTGCGAAAGACGAATCGCAAGCCTGCAAGGATTTCGGACGGCAGCGGGCGTATATTTAGATCGAGTAGACGCGAGACGAGGTAAGGCACAATTAAACAAAAAGTAGATGAAAGCTGTGAAGGCGAAGCTCAATAAATGCACCTCACATGATGCATGATACTCACATGCCGCAGTTTAGATCTCCGATGACGGGGTTTCGTTATCTAATCTAATCTGTCAATTGACAACCCCGATCAGAATTCACCATGTCAATGGGCAGGCTTTCAGGGTCGCTTGTCCACTAACACCATGGCAGGAAGGGCAGAACAATGCAAGAGTAAGTCGTGTGTAACGTAATTAAATTTATGTCTGTACAAAGATGCCCGCAAGGGCTCGCCTATACTGGCAATGACCTGGCAGGTAGTGTACAGGTATGGGTGAGGCTTGCTGTGCTGAAAGCTCCAAAATCGTCACTTGAAGTCGTGACTCAACACCACCGGTCCAAAATCCAGACCAGTTGAGGGTATCAAAAGGTTGTTCAACTAGTCTGTCTCTTGCTTCAAAGTACAAATCATACAATGGGTGGATCTGTCGGGTTCTAGACTGCCACTGTTCAATCACCTTAAGAGGCGCATCATCGCGTTCATCACCCAGGAGGCAAGAGCGGATGCAGCCACAAAAAGGGATTGGAGCAATGAAGCCCAGCCAGCTCAAGATCCAGCAGCTTAAATCGCTGGTTCGGTCATACCCCGGGCACCAGATGATCTAAGGAGCCGCCATCATGGACTCCTTCAGATATCGTGCCGCAAGGTCTGGTGCAGAAGTGAACTGCTGAATTGAGCAACGCCGTTTGTTGTCGGTCGCGTTAGGCAAAGCTCGCCTCGGACCTGCCCAGCTTCTAGCCGGTACCTGCCATTGTTTGGGATTGGTGTCATAGAATGGCTGTAGAGGGTCATCGACAACATCACAAGACCTCGGGCCAGCCGCAAGGTTTAGGCTCACAAAGGCTTGCAACTTGTGATCGGCCTTGGACAGAGTTCTCTTGTGACCTCTCGGGCCGTCACTACAAGGTTGCACGGCCAGAACGCCCTGCTCTGAAAGCCGGCTTGGGGTAGGAGTCGTGCTTTGACTTGAAGTCTCAGAGTGTGCTGAGAGCGATAGCAAAAGTTGTGCAGCATCTACTTCAGAGCTGGTCGCGGCCTGATGTTCAGCCACCTTTGTAGAAAGCTCCTCTCCACTGTAATAATCTACCGATGAGCGAACCCGCCGTAGTGACGAATTGGAAAGCTCTCCATGGCCAACTCGCATAGTTGATGTCCATGATGAGTTCGAGGAGATTGAGGAAGACCGCGAGCGTGATGTTAGGCCCGGCGTCGTTTCGGTGATGACAGATAATGGTGAAGATGTGCAAGGGGTTGTGGACTTGCTTAAATTTTCCCTGTATGTCTCTGCAGGACGTAGGAGGGATCTCATAGATGGTAAGGCACAGCCTTGCGGCCGTGGTGGAGGACAGCGCTCCAAGTTCGCATTCGTGAAGCATTGCCTCCGCATGTTGCGAAGTGCATCTACCGACGCAGAACAGCGAAGGGAAGGCCTGCTGTTGGCCGGCGATGCGCAGTTGTCAGCAACACGGGGAGTGGTTTGTGGTGTCGGTAGGTTTGCGAGATATGGTCGCATCGGCAACTCAGTGGTACCAGCCGGGCTTAGTTGTGTTGGTGTCCGGGAAGTAGAACCTTGAGGCACTTCACCGGATCGTGGCTTCAACGTGTCGCTGAAGTTCATATCGTACAACCCAGACGCCGACTCCGGGCTGGTGGGCGGACTAGGCGGCTTGTCGAATGTCCAGGAAGCGACATGATCGGCATCATCCTGGGGCAGGTTTCTGCGCAGAAACTCAGCGGCCAGATTGGTGTCCTTGACAAGACACGGATCAAGGCGTTTGATCAAGCCACACCACCAAGAATCAGAAAACACCTGATGTCCGCTTGGCTCTTCCAAATCGACTTGTGAAACCATTTCAACCAGCGAATTGCTTGACCCCGTCCCAGGGGAGGAATATCCAGAAGAGCCGGGAGAACCTGGCCGGCAGCGAGGTTGCTCTCTTGACAACTGGCTCAATGACAACACGATCTTGCTCCAAACGTCGAAATACTCCTTCGGCACGTGGAGTTCATAATCGATGATTTGGAGATAGTTTCTCTCGTTCTCATTGATTTCGTTGCTCCGAAGGCCAGATATCTTACTCCAAGCCCGTGCTGAGTAGTTCCTGTCTTGAAGGTACTTGGAGGCTAGCATAAGTGCTGACAGGAACATGCGTCTCCCGCACTGCATCGCACGACAACGCGACCGTTCGACACCATGTTCGCCATCAGCATCGGCGTTTTGAGGCCGGCACGATAGCTTTGCCTTGAGCAAGATCAGGTAGTACAGGGCAACTTGCAAAGTCGAATAGCTTGATTTGGATCGTCTGAGAGTCTCCTGAATGAAGACACGTAAGGGCAAGACGCCAGCACCATTGAAGCATGTCGAAGTCATAGGAGGGCACGCCGACATTGGCCAGATGGCAGTGATCAGTCTTGTAGCGAAGATAATGAGGAGCGACACGAAGTGTTCCGTGCCGTCGGTATCTCTTTTCAGTCTGCAAGGGCCAGAGAGACTCTTCGTTGAAGCCGTCGGCCTACGGCTGTTGGTCCGTCTTGTAAGCCCATCGGCAGAGCATTGAGAAAGGACACGTGGGACAAAGGTTGACTCGTCCAAGCTTTCGGGCTGGGAAGTTGCCGACGAGACTGATTTGACGCTGTCGCAATACTGGTCCTCAGAGGGTGACGAACAAAGTTCGAGATGCCCGGCCGGGGCCTGGCCTTTGGTGTCATCGTTCTGCGAGAGTTCGACGGGCTCGGTCGCGTTTGTCCATGAAGAGGATGTTGACGACTCTGATGACTGTGAATCGTGTGCTGAGTCGCTGATACTGACATCGTCGTCGAATGAGACGATGCTACCTTGATCAAAGTCTTGCTTGTTCCTACAAGTAGCAGGCAATCCTTCGCGGCCAGAAGTGCCTCGAGACCGTGCGACAATTTCTTTCTTAGCGTAACCGCAAACAGAGTCGGAGGTTCTGCTTGCAATCGCATCTAGTAAAGCGTTTGTTTTGAGTCCACCGCGAGGTGTTGGGGTGTTGTCTTCGCCATTGATTATGATCGTTGCGTCCTGCTTTCTGGCCGCTGATCTTTTGACTGGTCGATGTAGACTCTGAAGTGTAGACTCTTGCGCGGAGAGCCAGCCGTTGATGGATTCGACTTTTTGTCTTTGATACAGGTCAGACGGCGCCACAGCCGGTCCAACACCCATCTTCTTTCGACGCCGCGCAGATTAATCCCTGGGCGAGCTGGATCGCAGACCAGACAACCTCAAGGGTACGGCTAATTACAACCGTAAAGGGGAAACCAGGGAGGATAACCTGTCTCGACGGTAAGGAATCTGTTTGACCGTGCGTTGGAAGTGGTTCCTACCAAGGGGTTTGCAAACCCACCGCAAGTCAGAGCACAATGATAGCTGTTTCTTACTGCTCAAGATGGCTTGATCCGGACGAGACAAAAGACTTGTTTATCTGTGAGAAAGACCTGCCGTAGCAAACTCTCGTGTGCAGATATCGAAGTACGAATGTTCGTCACTCTCAAGGCGATCTGAGTGTGTAATGACCAAAACAGCTTGTGACTCTGGCGGTGGGCTTTGACTGACGTGTGATTCTTTTGAGGCGTGTGTTGTCCAAGCCCTCATGTTCACTTTGTTTTTGTATGACTCGAAAGGAGAGGAGAGAGATTAGGTAGAATTGCTGGGTGATGGCGTTTATCCAATTCCCAGTCGATCAATGTAGAAGAGTTGAAGGCTCCAAATATTCTCAATACAGTGGCGACGTATCGAAAATAGGGCGTCTTTGGAGAAATGCTAGTTTTGAAGTGAATTGTAGGTTGGTGTGGTGAATGTGAGGCTTTGATGGTGGTACTACCGGTGGCAATGGCCAAATGCGCAATTCGACAGAGGCAATCGCCAACAAAGGCTTTGCTGATGCCTATAAGCAAGATGGAGTAGACGACACACAAAGGGAGCCTGTATGTAGTCATGGTGACTGAAATTAGCATGTTGTCCGATTCATCGAATATGAGTCTTCGTTCTTCTGGTGGCTGCAGGTAAAGATTGCGCCGTCGGAGAGTCGCTGAAGTGCTTACAAGAGAGGAGAAAAGTCGCAGACACCGTAAAGTCTTTTATAGGCGTGTAGAAGCAGGTGGGATAATCGTAGACTGCAATTCAGTTGGTAGAACCAGTCGATGGTATACAGCAGCCGACGCTGCGCTGAATGGGATCCTTCATTTTGCTGGTATTTGGCAGAGGAAGAGCCGGGCGTTGCAGGCGACTTGTATATCGGAGATTCTCTGGGCTGGGGGGCGTCGCCTTTGCCACAGCAGCAGCGCCTGAGTCCGCGCCGCTCAGATCAGCGATGACTCAAAAACCAGACTTGGGTTTTGGCCGCCCAGCGCAGACCCCAGCACACCACTGCCGCTACCTACCGCTGCCACCTCCCACTCATCAGCATTAATCAATTGCACAACTGGCACACACACCTCCACTACACAGCCCAGGCATACAATATTGAACTCTCCCTAAGGTATCGCCACGAACACAGGAGTCACCCCATCTCAAGTCCTACGAACTGATTGCTTCTGCGCTAATGGCCCTCGTCACGCAATGCCATTATTGAAGCACCATACAAACGAGAGCTTGTCACGGTACAGTGCCACCTCGTTACTATATTAACGGCCCCTTCAATGACATGAAGCGATTCTGTCGGGCGCAAAGTCTCAGAGTCTGCCTTCATGAATAACCTTTGAATAATCCGGGGGCAATGCTGGCAGCTGAGTTATTGCTGCAGATTTGGGTTACTCATCTGCCGCGCAACACTTTTCTACTCGTCCTCCACACCACACTCCTTGGTTTCACGTCTCCTGGCTTCTGATCACTCCGTTTCTGATCTCCGCTTTCTTTCTGGCTTTCTCGCTCTGGGGAAAAACCACAGCGATCATGTGTGACCATTTGGCAAGTCAAGAGATGCCACCCGAAGAAGCAACCCCAAAGCCAGCGAGGCACAACTATTTACCAATGTCTGACTCGCAGGCCTGATCCAATCGGACCAGTCAAAGTTGTGGTTCATAGATAAATCAGCTTCAGCCTGATTCGCCCCTAAGGTACGGAAAAAGGTGACTGCCGTGAAGGTGGTCAATGCACTTGTCCGCCTGGAGAGAAGTCACGGTGCACAGTCCGGAGACCGGAAACGTTCAATAGCTCGGAGAAACATGACTCAAAAATCTCAATCGTCGAATCGAACGGCAATTGAGAAAAGCGGCGAATGAACGCCACCGCGCATTCTAGAGGCCTCGGGCCCTCCACTGAGGTTCACTTTGAAGTGGTGTTCTGCCATGGTCGTGACCATTCCCTCCAGGAAAGCCTCATTGTTGCACATGCTACACATGGCTTCCTTGAGCCAGTACCGTAGCTTGCCTCTAGAGAAGAATAGCGATCTGACTTAGGGGCCAAATCGAAAGGCTTGAGAGCACCCAGGTTGCCTCGGAGGCTGATGGTGTGGGGCCTCAGGTCGATTTTGGCCCATTTTGACCATGTCATCCTGCATTGGTATGACTGGTCGGCCCTCTTGGCCAGGATGCCGTGATCTGACTTTCCTGCAACTCCCGAGATCTTGAGGTTGAAGGTCGTGCAGAGTCGGAGGCTACAAGGTCGATGCCTAGTCCGAGTAAACTCCAAGGTTGCTTGGTACGAGTTAGTGTGAGAATTGTACGGAGTAGTGCAACAACACTCTGGCTTGTGCACAAGTCTGTTTGATGCCAGGCCTTGACTCCCCACTATTTGGTCGGATGCCTGGTGCACAACACGCACAATTGACGCCCTACCTATTGAGCGTCTTGTTGGTTTGTAATGGCTATCGTATACTTCGAAGGATCACAAATGTCCGTCAGCAACGATGGCATGGCACCTGGGGACGGGTAGTCGCTGATTACTGTATAGCGGTCGGAGGTGGCACCATTTCCGGCCGTCTCGATGGTCAGCGACGAGACAGATCTCCAACTCTCGTGAGACGCTGCGTAGCCTGCCAGGCAACCCACCTATTCTGGCTAGCTAACATCGCTGCCATTGTTATCATACCTTGTTATCACAATATTGCGGGAACGATGGACCATCTCAGGAGTTAAAGGCTCGTCACATGGTCCGAACTTCTGAATACTGGTTGCGTGCATTGGGGTGTGCTCGTTTTGCTCCCGTCGGATGTCTGGCAATCCGCATTGACTCAAGAACTGGCTTTCTCCAGAAACTGGAACTTGGTTCATGTGAGTCAAATGATGGCTCGCGGTTTGATCAACCTGTTGCCGGAACAGGACATTTCACCAAGGTGGTCCATCGAGAGCATCCCTCCACGTTGATGCAGCATTTTGAGCGGAAGAGCGATCCTGGGACCAGGCTCCAGCACGTCCAGCCTGGATTGGCAGTGAGCACTACTCGTGTCACAGCCGGAAGTCTGAACGCATCATGTGTCGTGAGACGGGGGCGAACTGGATCTGCTGGAAAGATGAGCATTGCTGCCTGATATCAGGTATCAACTTCATCACGTGATACTCCACGACGGACCAAGGTAAGTCGGCAGTGTGGCGATGAATCGTCATGGCCCGACCTGGAAAGCAGTGATGATACTTGCAGGTTCTGCTCGTGGGGCTGTTCGACGGCCCCATTCAGTACCACGTCTTCTGAGCGAACCATGAGCCATCGACCACTGCCAACCTGGGCCATCTGAGACTAGCAGGACGAACGAGCGTGCTGCCATGTATATGGGAGACACGACAGAACGTGGTTAATCAGCGGTGAGTCCTGAGGGGGACACCGGTATCGGCAAAGACGTTGAAATAAGACCCAAGGTTCATCAATCCCATGGTACACAGCAGACTCGCTTTGGTTCAGGAATTGTCCCGGACAAACCTTGGTGACGAGGCTCAAACGCCCACGAAAAGTGAAGCCTTGCCAAGGATATGTAAAAGGATGGAAAACTTGATGAGAAGGGCTTTCCAACTGATTCTCTGAAAGTCTGCTTCTGCTTTCCCATCCCCTTCTGCTACCGTGAGGTAACTCAGGTATGTGTGATGATGTCTCTGGTTGAGACCATGGTATGCCACAGCATAGGTAGTCTGGACCGAACATTTGGAGCCATCTAGTATATTATCTATCAGAAATCCGAAATCTTCCGTATCTTACATTGCGTGCAAGGGGGTGGTGGCTCCGACCAGAAACTGCCTCGAGAGGTCGGGCTTTCTTGCCCTTGCTGCGAGATTTCCTTGCCTTTTCTCTATCCCTTCATTCCGCGTCAGATCCGATTTGCGCCAGCTCTTTGACAGTCACTCCCATGGACCTCGTGAGTCAGCTGAAAGCGGAACGCTTCCTTCAGTGTAACCAGACTCCTGCACGGAACCTTGGAGTGTCGGTGCAAAACGCCCGGGCAGGGAATGAAACACTCCTGCTCTGTCCACGTACTTCCAGAACGCTCTCCAAGACTCCAGCTCTTTGAAAACTCAGGCCAAATGAGCGCTCATAAACTCGTCTTAGCATTATTGGCCTCGTAATAATGCGCCATTTGCAAACCCGCCCTCTTGAACCCACACTTGACATAGAATCCCTCATTCGCCTCGCTGCAATCCAGAATGCACTTGTAACAGCCGACCTTTTCCGCAGCATAGTCCAGTGCCTGGATGATGCGCAAACCCAACTTCTTGCCCTGCTGGTTCTTGGCGACCGCAATGTCCTCAATATGTCCGACCAGCCCCATATTGTGGATGAATTTGCGTTCGACTATCACCGCGCCCGTGCCGACGACCGTGCCGGACTCGTTGCAGATGACGAGGATGTAGTACGTGTCGTTACGGGAGTACATGAAGTCGTAACGGGCGTTGAATTCGGCGAGCGTGGGTTCCCCGACCGTGGTCAGCACGCGGAGGGTGTCGAGGAAGCCTGTCACAACGATGATTAGTCTGGTTGAGTTTCAGCAGGGAGAGGGGAAGTACCATTCGTGTAGTCGCTCCGTCGCAAGGGCCGAACTGTGTAGCCCTCTGGTAGAATGGACGAGACTTCGGGACTGATCAGGGAGTTTGAGAATAGCGGCTGGTCATCTGCGTCAGTCGTTTTAGAGGTTTGTGAGAAGGCTGCTGCTAGTGTGGCGACGACGCCGTTTGTCTTTGCTTCTCCGTTCACTGCTGTGGTTGTAGGTGTGGGAGCTGTTGCTGTAGACTCTGAGGGTGGGTTTGATGTCGAGAGAAGGGATGCCTCGGTGGAAGTCTGGAAGTCGGCCATTGGGGTACAGATGGCGTGTAAAGAGAGGCAGGGAAATTGTTCGATTCGCTGGTGATGTGGACCAGGTAAGGACTATAGACCTCTGTATAACGAGAGACGTAGATGCGCCGGGTAGAGATTCTCTGTAGGGTTGGAGTTGGTTCGGCTGTCAGGTTGTTTGTTGACGTTCTTGGAATCTGGGGAATGATTGACTTGTAGCGCTGCAGACACCACCAACACTTTGGCACAATGCTGAATAACGATGCAAGAGCTGAATGTCACAACGAGGAAGAGGTGCAGCAGTTCGTACTGGAATATTTCAGGTGTCAGGAAGGATATTGAATGTCAGATGCGGACATATCGGCCCCAGAATGGTAGGAGCTGGGGTCATCTAAAACAAATAATTAAACGATTTCAGCCTCGGGGCGATCTTTCAGGGGCACGAATGAGGCTTCCTTAACGAGTAATCAGATGCTATTAATATCCACTGTCCTGTGGTCAGCCTCCGTACCACATACAACAAGCAATGTTTCTGCATGCATGCACGACTTCAAGTCCCTTTCTATTGATGCAGGAACGTTATTCTATCCGCCGCATCCTCAGGCAGCGAGCATACCTCTCGAAAGTCCCCAAAGAACTCTCCTCTTGAGGCGATAAATTTCTGGAAGTCGGTCAGACGTACGGCGTGCTCGAAGTGCTGAACAGAGGGCAACCCGGGCAGTTTCATCAGACCGTCATTGATGAAAAGTCGCACAAAGTGCTCCTTGGAACTTGTCTTGATCCCCTGCTCACAAGCGATCCGTTCAAATATCAACCGACCACCCATTGGTACCACATCGCTCGTCCTCCAGCGCCGGTCCTCCTTCATATGACCGGTAGGCAGCTCCTGCAAGATCAGCCGTTCATTGAGGACCTGCAAAGTGGCCATAACAGGCACGATGTCACCGTCGTGGACAAAGCTGAAATAGACATCTTTTGAGGTCTTGTTCGACATGAGATCTTGCGTCGCATTCAGCCATAAGAAACCCATGGCTCCAGCATATGAGTTTCCAGGTCCAGCCCGGTAGAAGTGCAGCAGATCTCGTGCATATTCAAAGTGTAACCACTCTTCTTGGGTGAAGACGTCGCACCAAGGGCTAGCACCTCTAGCAAGTGTCTCGAACCCACACATTTCCATCATGCTGTAGATGTCTAGATGGCTGAATTCCATACCTATCGCATCTTGTGCAAGCCTTTGACCGATTGGTTTGGTGAAGACCTTCTGCCATTGTTCAAGCTTCCCATATCCGTAATCATGACCAGTTGGGGCTGTGCGATATTTAGAGCATGTATCTCCGGGAGTGAGGGTGTCAGCTCCGCGACTTGCAACTTCTGGGATGACAACAAGCTCTGCTGCACCACTTACTTCCCACTCAGGGCCGAAGAACCCATCGCCGAAGTACCTGGCTGTCTGCACGTCTCTCGAAGCACTGCCCGACCAGAACTTTGTCGGCCGGGCCTTCGATACTAGATGATCGTAGTGCTGTCGAAGTGCCTTGCCGGTATGAGTTGCTTGATGTGTACCTGCATATGGACCGGAAGCCGTCAGATTCTCGAAGGCCGGGTCCGAAGGCTCAGTGAAGTATGCCCAGGCTTCGAGGAAGGACAGTGATCCAGTGAGGGTCACATTTGAATTCTGTAAGCGTTCGATGAGATCGAGATGCCGGCCACCAGCACTCTTGGTAGGATATCGTTCGGCATGACGCGATAGCATATGGACCTGGTCTACCGAGCAGTGCTCGGGCAATGAGGCATCGGAGTAGTTGATTCCGTCAATTTTGGGTATCCAAGGCCCGTTGCCGCCCAAATGATAGAACAATCGCCATGCATTCGTAAATACCGTTGGACATATACCAATCACAGATAAGAATCCCGATCCTGTACATACGCTGGCCCGCAATGTTCGTAGTAGAGGTAGTAGCAGGAAAAACGAGAGGAGAACAAAGATCAGCACTGAGGATTTTCGCTGCATCATCCATGTTACGGTCCGGTTGCGCTTTGGTCTAGGTGAACTCGGAGGCATAGGAAGGGAGGTGTTCTTCCCTAACGACATTCTCAGTCGACATTGGAAGGTCATCGCCTCTGTAAGTGGGAACTCGCCTTCGCGACTGGTAGAGGCATGGTGTATCGTCGCTGTTGAATAGTGGGTGTGGGTTCTTAGTAAGTAAGTTGATTGTTTTCTCCTGAATCTTGCAATACGAGCAGCGAGACAAGGATGACTATGGCGGCGCCACTCCCGCCTAAGGCTGCATGGCTAGAATGATTGTTCGATATTGCATGCCAATTGCGCTCGAAAAGCACATGCAATCGAGGAAAGGTGAAACGATACCGATCAGGAGAAGGAAACAAAAACGGGCGCTGTGGTCAAGAAGAAAAACGAATTGTGCTCCAAGGTGTGTCCCACGTGTCATACACTCGCAGGCAGCTCAAATTCGAGTCTGTTGATTGCCCTTTTCTTCCTACAGGCGCGTAGCAATAGACCAAACCCTTGCTGTCGCTGCATGCGAGGTCTATTGCCTCCGTTCATTCGTACTTGATATTATCAAGGGTCTTCAGTTCGAGGTTGATCCAGGAGAGCAGCAGTGATGACTGTTTCTAATGCTTCACATGCCAACGACCCTGGACAGTCCGGGCTATCTGGCGCCGACAAGACCTCGTCCCCCGCACTCGCACGCAATATTGATCCCTGCGGAGAAGGATGCGGTTTGCGGCACGGCAATATCGCCGTCAATGGCGATGATGTTTGCAATACTTTTGTCGCAAAGGGCGCACTCTTTCTGCTTCTTTCTCTAAATTCCTGTTGATCCATACTAACATACCAGACGCTGAACAGGAACGAGCAAGAATGGGATCCATTCCAACGACAGACTCATCAGCGCCCGCAGCGCCTCACTCCCACCCAGTCCCTGCGCCAGGAGTCTATGCTCCCGCAATCACCTTTTTCGATCCTGCCACGGACACTCTATGTCCGACCGAGCAGGGTCAATACTATTCGTATCTTGCCAAATCAGGCTTGACGGGCCTGGTGATACTAGGGACCAATGCAGAGACCTTTCTCCTGACTCGCGACGAGCGATCTGCCCTCTTACAACTGGCACGCAAATCAGTGCCTGAGGACTACCCCATCATCGCAGGGGTTGGTGGCCACTCGACAGCACAAGTACTTGAGTACATCTCAGACGCTCATGCGGCCGGTGCCAACTACGTCCTGGTCCTACCTTGCGCCTATTTTGGCAAGCAGACGACGCCCAACGTTGTACACAACTTCTATACCGCCGTAGCCAAATCCTCCCCGCTACCAATACTCATCTACAACTTCCCCGCTGTTTGTAATGGCCTTGACCTCGACTCGGATGTCATCACGACACTGGCGCAAGAAAACCCGAATATTGTGGGAGTAAAGTTGACGTGCGGATCAGTGGGCAAAATCACACGGCTGTCAGCCACATTTGCGCCGGAACGCTTTGCAGTGTACGGTGGTCAGTCGGACTTTTTGGTGGGTGGACTGGCCGCCGGAAGTGTAGGGTGTATTGCGGCGTTTGCAAACATATTTCCCAAGACGGTGGTCAAGATCTTTGACCTCTGGAAGATGGGCAAGCATGATCAGGCATTGGCATTGCAAAGGATGTCTGCGCATGCCGAGAACCCTACCAAGGCTGGAATTGCTACCACCAAGTATGCCGTGAGTCAATATAGTGCCAAAGCCGCTGGAATCCAAGGCGATTTGGAGGCCATGTTGCGACCTCGAAGGCCGTATGAGGAGCCAACAGAGGTGGTCAAGAAAAAGATTGTTGAACTCATGACTCCGTTGGCGGAGGTGGAGAAGACTTTGTAGCAGGCTTCACATTATATGGGCATACATACATGCTTCTTGGGGGTGTAGGATGTTGTTTAATGAAAGAGTTTCCTGCCTTTGTTGATTCAAGCAATACCTCGAGTCCGTTTGATTGCAGGCGATGGATATAGGCGGAGAGACATCTCGGCGTAGTTGCCCTGAGTTCAGGGAACAAGCATCGGTTGCAGCGGCAAGCATGGGTAGGCGACACATGCACAACCACGCCCTCGTTTGGAAGGTCACCAGCGACTTTCCTGCACATGATGTCTCCATCTGGCAGCTGGTGGTGTACGAAGTTGCAAGGAACCAAGGCAGATGACAGCGGTGTACTTGCCTCTATGTTGCTCGCAGCTTGTCAAGTGACAGCGTCGGCAAGTGTCATCGGGCCAACTCTTCGGGAGGCTGCAGATGACAGCACCTAAAAGCCTTTGCGAGGTGACACCAGCCACATAGAATGATAGGATGATGAAGGGATGCATAAAAGAACACGAATCTTCTCCGTTCCACAATATTCTGTCCCGAGACAGAGGAGAACCGCCTAAAAGAGAAGCTTAAAGTCGCATCTATCTCCCTAAGGAGATAAAGTATTGGGGCTCGTTGAGGCTGCCACTGCTAACCCACTGGTTAGCAATGCTTGAATGAAGACACCCATGCTCGACTCATGCAGCTTCCCACGGCTGCTAAGCCAAAGACGAAGTTGCTATAAGCATATACTCCGTATTTTCCTCTGTGTTTGGTCCGTGCCCAGCCTCCCCCCGCCATAGGTGCCTCTAGCCGATGCAATGCCATGTGCTGATCCCTGATAGCTTAGTTTTGTAGGTCTGGTGTGCTGCAGAAGCACCGCAACTCTGCATTTGAAGCTGGGAACGGCACAAGTACAGACGGTCTCAAGAGAGTCAAGATTCGATTGACAATAGAACACTCCTTGATCTGTTCGGACGATACTGGACATGAGAGATAGAAAGATCTGAAGATGCAAAACGGCGTCATTGTCTCAAAATAAAATAAAATAGAGGCCGGGGTGGATTTGACGTTAGCTCTACTGTGTAAGCTCGCAAGGTTCTTCGGTTGACAGATGTTGAATCCTCCGTCGGACAGTGCACAATGCATAAACGACTGGATTGTGAAGCGCACGGAGGAGCCTTCAAATTAGTGTATCCAATTCGAGACGTTTGTAGATGGAGAATACAACATCCCTGTCTTTGGTTGAGAGCTGTTTGTACCTAACTCCGTAGATTTTGAGTTCCCGTTATCACTTTCACTTTCACTTTAGGCCTTTCGCAAACATACGGCGAGACTCTGTTCTTGACCGCTGGTGGACTCCTCAATAGCAAATGCGTCCCAAAACCCTCTGCCAAAAGTCCACTCATTTGTTGACTGTCTCTCTTTACCTCCGTTGACTGCACCTGAAAGACTCCTCTCGCCCAGTGCACCGAGAACGTCCTCCTCCCCAAAAGACCCTGCCAGATACCATCTCGCTCACCATCAGCCTGCTAGACTGTCTATCATTCTCAGCCCGCTGCAGTACAAGTCCTCACGCGAATGCCTCGCAACGCAGTCCTACCCGAACACTCGCGGATACGTCTCGATACGTGATTGCTTGAAGAGATGACTCTGGACATACAGATTATCGTCGAAGGCTTGGACACAATTCACCATTAGCTGATATCTTGAAAAGGTGCCGCTCTTTCTCAGGTGTCCTCATTCCAAGCCCGCGAGGCCAGGCACCATTTACAACCGATCTGTTGGGCCTTCTCGGAAGCAGGCTTCTGGGGAAGCTACAGATCGTAATCCTTCCTGCGAGCGTGACACCGGCCTTTGCCAGCCATGGCGCGGCCGGCACGTTCACAGACGTTGTTTTCCTGGTTAACGTTGTGGTCGGTACTGGTCAGCTTTCTTTCCTTCACTAGACCAGCCTCGGCATCAAAAAACATTACCTGGATCGAATACACCGGTAATGACGGGACAATATGGCTCAACGACGACCGCAAACCGGCGTTGTATACTCAAAGCTTCGGAGATTGTCAAGGCGACTCTCTCCTGAATGTCACCCGGTTTGACGGCGCATACTACAAAGACAACATGACCGTTCTTTTCCATCTCGAGGGTACTTCTGCATTGACGAACGAAAGTCTGATGCGTAAGTTCTCTACATCCAGATTGAGTGCTGACATGAGGCTGACCCGAGATCCCAGTGTACATTGGCGTCTATGCCTACGGAGAGTCTCGCTTTGATTTGACGTTCAATCCTTGCAATGCCAACATTGACAGTCTTTGTCCCCTCAACTCATCGATCCCCATTCTCGCAAACGGCATCATTCCAGTGGCTCAATCGGATGTGGCTAATATCCCGGCAATTGCGCTCACAATACCCGACTTCGAAGGCGAGGCCATCCTGCGGATCTTTGCAAATTCAACTCAGTCTCAGATTGCGTGTTTCTCCGCTGTCCTGACCAATGGCGCCTCATTCTCGCACCCTTCAGCTGTCGGCTCGGTCTTGGGCATTTTCGCGCTGATAGCCTTGATTTCCTCGCTGGCGGTTTCGATGTATGGCCAGCATGTATCAGACATGCGAAAACATTACGCTCATTCCATCTCGGTATTTGTGGTTTTTTCCGTCTATCAGCACATTTTCTTTACTGGAGCATTGTCGATGAATTGGCCGAGCGTCCTCGTCGCTTTCTGGAGCAATTATGCATGGTCTGCTGGGATCATATACAGTCAGCACATGCAGAACTCCATCAACAGATTCATTGGGAGCAATACCGGAAACATCAGCGTGGTAGGGGCTGCCCCGAACGGCGAGGATGCAACCGACCTGGGAGGCGGTTATCAAATCTCGCAGATCTACAAACGAGCGGCCTTGCCTGCCTTCGAGCCACATGAAGGCATGGGCGTGACGATGCGACCTACGGAATTGGAGCACGTGCTTTCAAGACGGGATTCGACCAATTCATCCTCTGGATATTGGTGGTATGGTGATCCCGTAAAGAAAGGTTTGCCTTTGCCCGGAAACTTCTCCGGCTTCGCTGGTACGCTGGCAGAGTTGAACGTCCCCGCATCAAACGCCTTCCTTACAGCACTGTTGTGGTTCCTCATCTTCATTGCCTGCCTCATTGGCGCCATGTTTCTGCTGAAATGGGGCATTGAAAGTCTCGCGGCGGTACACTTGGTCAAGACGGAGCGTTTGGCGTTCTTTAGAAGACATTGGCTATGGTTTACAGGTGCTGCCGTCTTGAGAAGCTGCTACATTGCCTTCTTCATGATGATGCTTCTGACCATGTTCCAATTCACGTTTGGTGGGTCAGCTGGTGTCAAGGCTATTGCAGCAGTCATCTTGGTTGTCTTCCTTCTGGGTTTGCTGTGTGCTTGTGGATATGCGCTATGGTACAGCACCAAGTCGGGAATGCTACCTGAATCACCTCGACATGATGACCAGGAAGCTGCTGACGAAGAAAAGCCGGCGCATTCTGCTTGGTATAAGCTGGGTGGCAAAAGCAGCCGTGGCAACGGCGATCCAGAAGGGACAGCTCGATCAAACTCATGGCTGCAAAAGCATGCGTTCGACTCGAACAGTGGCCGAGTCCATGTGCATGACGACGAAAGATATACCACTCGATTTGGCTGGCTGTCTGCCCGCTTTCGACGGAGCAAGTGGTGGTTCTTTTCGTTTTGGCTGATATACGAACTGGTAAGAGCCGCATTCTATGGTGGCGCCGCTGGCCATGCGTTGACCCAGGTCTTTGGTCTCCTGGCATGGGAGATCATCTCGCTGGTGGCTATTGTGCTCATGAGACCTTTTGAGAGCAACCGCTTGAATCTCTTGATGGTCTACTTTCTGGGGTTCAGCAAGGTCGCCACAGTCGCGCTCTCTTCGGCATTCGACCCTCGATTCGGCTTGGCTCGGATCATGACGACCGTCATCGGGGTCATCATCATCGTTATTCAGGGAATTCTCACTATTTGTTTGATGATCGGTATTGTGTTGGGGGCAATTTCAAGCTATATGTCTATCACTCGATACCGGGAGACTTTGAAGCCCAAATCTTTGCTGAAACCTCGAACTCGATATTTCGCACATGTCGATCAAAAAGCTACGGATCGACCAAAGCCTCCACCACCTCCTCCTCCTCCTGAGCCTGAGATCCCCAAAGAACCCTATTTTGCGGTATCGACTGTCCGGCGAGAAGCCAAGATTGAGGACGACCACGCCGATAACGAGCTCCAGGGCGACCATATTGCGCGGCCCTCAATGGATCCGACCTACGAAAGAAACAATCAGAGCCATGTATCACGTTCACGCACGCAATCCATGCGGTCTGGACCTAGTATGTCGAACGTACCGTACGGAGCAAGAGTGCATCGGGCGAGCTGGAGTACGAGGGACTTCCAGGAGATGGGCATAGGTCAAGAAGCCAACCCAACACATTCACGCATGAGCTTGGAGAGCACAAACGATGCATATCAACGACATCGCGCGGCCAGTCTAAGAGGACCTTCACGGAATGGTACTCCGCTGGGAGCACTGGACCGACCATCGTCTGGAATTGATCCGCAGGTCAGACGTAGCACGCATGGGAAACGCATATCTACCCCCAATGGCACGAAGAGAAACAGCTCCAATTTGAATGCGGACCAGGAGAACTGGCCGTTGGGGCATCAGACTTGAGGTCTGCCGAAAAGCCGGCCTTTCACTCCGACGACTACCTTCTACGACGTTTCACGAAACCTAATTCATAATCGGCAAGGAGTTGGTAGGAGGTACGATATAGATCATGGCATTGTTTTCTAGCGAGCATACATATTCTTGTTTCAGGCGCGTGGACAGACTCCCCTAGAGTCATGGCAAGCCTGTTGCGTGGTACGGAAGACAAAAGTCAAGGAGCACCAACTCAGGCGGAAGTTCCCATGAGAACTCATTGTATACACATTATATACACATTATGACCATAGGTATCATACGTCGAGCATTGATGTTCCTGTCGTGGGAGTTTGGTAGCTCTTCACAATTCTATGCGCAGTACCTGGGCAGGTACTAGCACAGCTAGTATGTGTACTGGGCACATGACATCACCAATATATCACTCATCAAAAGAATGCACGTGCCATGATGAATCAGGTATCACCTCATTTGATGCAACTGGCTGACATAACTCACCACTTCCTTTCAATGATGCGAGTCTCGCTCGAGCCTCTTCTCGCTCTTTGTGCTCCCTCATAGATTTCTTGCTTGTCATTATGATCATGCGATTCCTTGCCCTTTTCATCAACGGTTGATCCGCCGCCCACACTCCTCATTCTATTGCAATTGAAAGGCTCTAAGATCTGCGACTTGAGTGGACCATCCCGTCGGAGCTAGACCCCGGATTTCTTCAGCCTACGCCTCTGTTGAAGCTGTACTCCATTCCAGGCTTGGTAATCAATCAACATGCCTCTGCTCTCACGCAAGACCTCAAAGGAGTCGCTCGATAACAAGAGGGCTGTTTCTGCAGAACGAAACCCGGCCGACACCAAACCATCGTTGCTGCGGCGCCTCAGCAAGAAGGTCACCAGATCGGAGGAACCGGCAGCTCAACCAGAGAAGAAACAGGTGGAGCCCCAGCATGAGGTAAGTCGAGCTCTCTCCAACGCTCCATCCATGATCCCCTGGCCCACAGTCAGAGCGAGGCTGAAAGATTGACAAGCACCAGCCCAGTCATACCAACATCTCAGAAAACTACGTCGACAAGGTCCCTCACCCTCAAGTTGCTGAAGTGCCGCCGGTCTCCAGTCCTCAACACATTCCAGTCCAAGCCAAGGAGCCAGAAGTACATCCTGGCAGTCCGGTGATATATGGGCACCCTCTCACGACAACAAGAAGTGCCGCCGAGCCCCAAGGACAGTCAATATCGGGCTCGGTCCCTGAGCCGGAGCCTGAGTCTAGGCACCATCACAAAGGTCACAACGGTTTGACCAAGGACGACGTGCAACATCTGTTCTCAGGAGCTCCGCAATTCACGTTAGAAAAGGGTCGGCGAGGTCGATACTTCCCACAAGCCTTTTTCCCCTGGAATAATGACCTGGAGACATCGGATCTCCAAGACCGAAGGTATCTCCGGCACGAAAGCTTTGCTCTTTGCACGCTTCATGCTCATCTCCCCATACCAGACGAGGTCGACTGGATGCCGGGCAAGGCACCACCAGTGAAGCATGAAGGCCTGGACATTGGGAAGAGGCCCATGTTCGAGTTGGGAATCTTCGAAAGACCCAATATGCTAGCACTGGACGGAAGAGAACCCGGCACCATCGGCATGAGATATTTTCTGGAACGACCGGTCGCCGATGGCATCGCAGATGAAAAAGTGAAGGAACATGGCAAGGACGTCGAAGTTGACCTCGGACTTGACAAGGCGCCCACCATGGAGGCATTTAAGATGTTGGCCATATCTAGAGACAACGACGAACTCAACGCTAAAGTTGGAAAACATGCCCCGGCTCAAGAAAGGGTGAAGAACATCCAGGACGGTCCTCGTGCCTGGAAAAACGTGGGCGTCAGACCCATCACTATGGAGACACTGGTGGACAGGCTGGAACTGATTGATACCTGGCGCGACAAGGTGATCAACGCTGGTTGGCAAACCACGGTCCTGGATCAGATGAAATCAGATCAACTGCACGAGTTCCTCTTCAATGAGTTGATCTACCCGCCACGGAAAATGCAAACAGACGCGCATCAACCAGACAAAGTGGCATTGAAGATTCAAATTGAAGCTCTTGTCAAAGTCCTGACCACTCCAGGGGTATGGCTCGATCTCAGTACTCCTGAAGCAAGATTACGCTTCGGCAAGATCTTGCATAGTGGAAGCACACGCTATGACCGTTCCACTGGCACTATGAACATCGATCCGGAACGCAAATGGCTCCTGGTCCAGCTTCTACTTGCCATTGAACTGGTGATCCGCCTCGATGCGGCCCTGAGACTGGGGATAGCCCTGCATACCGAACAATTCGAGATCACGCCGGAAGAGATCCACCACTTCAACAAGCTGCGCAATCTGAAGGTCGATTGGGACCTGGTGGCAGCACGACGCTTCTTGTATCTCAGCTACGTGAAAAAGATAGAGAAAAGAGTGCCTCATCCTGAACCCCAGAGATCGTCGCCGGCCCCTCAGCTCCACCGCCAATCGACTGATCACCACGGAGGCTTCATGAGCGGTCTGCGGCACTCACTAGGTCTTAACGACTCCAAACTCGAAGAGCAACCAGACACCTGTGACCTCCTTATTCTCCCACGCCAGCCGCATGTCATGGTTGACGGCGTCGTGCGCTTCGCCAACAATATAGGATGGCCGCGAGCCCATGAGGTTCAAGAAGGTCTCGCTCAGAAGCTCTGCCAAGCGCTGTCCCCGGACCGAGAGAAGTTCCTCATGGACGCTGTATCCTGCACGGACGGCGTGCAGCCTAGTGCGAACCAGAGCTCCTCAAGTCTAGCACCTCACATCACACCATCACTCGAGACATTTGCCCTGGACCTGCACCCAGCTACCTCAAGCACAATCGGGGGCTGGCTCTCTCACAGCTGGCTCTCTGGCCTCATCCTTCCAGGCACCTCGACGTGCGATATCCTGATGGCCACACTCCTTGAAAACGACGCCGACCCGACAATGCTGAAGGACTTCGGCGCGTTGGATCATAACCTCCCCTTCCGCGCATCGGGCTTTATCCTCAACGGCTCGTCGTGGTGGTCCAAGTCCAGCGTCCTTGGACGGGTCTTTGCGCCTTTGCCCAACGCCAGAGAGAGCATGGCATGGGTCTATCTGCCGGATTTTGTGCCGCTGTACGAGGCAACTTCCCAACCAGTGCCGAACCGGTGGTTGAAGATCAAGACATTCCCTGTCCCAACGGCTCGCGAACGACCGCGCATATTCGATGGGGACAAATTAGCCATGGAGTCCACGCCGTTGGGCATCGGCAAGGGAGGCGTCATGAGTTCCGAATTCAGCATGGTGACAGACCACGTTCTGGACGACGTACCAGCCCCAGAGGTCGTCGTCACAGCTGTCACGGTCCATCTATCCAACACAAACGCCACAGCCACAAGTGCAGACAACGTCTTGTCGGCGTGGGCGCAGTTCCACATTACCATTTCCAACCCGAATTCGCCAGATAGACCCGTCTCAAGACAAGTCCGCTACGGCCTCGATCGGGCCGTGTACTTTGTCACGGCGCATCCTTGCCGTCTTCCACACGGGCACGCGACGTTCCCGTCTGGCTCGACTGAGCAACAGCACCCACGTCACAAGCACTCCGAACATCTGCCCGCGCACCCACTGCACAAGACGTACAAGTTCGTCGTGAAGACACTCGCCGAAATCATAGATAATCCGAACATCGATCCCCCTACGGCTGGCTCCGCGGGCGCTGCCGAGGTCTGGATCGTGGATGCTAGGGAGGAAGCTCCTGGTCTGGCTGCCAGCCATGCGAGTAGTGGTACTACCGGTGCTGCTGCCTGGCCGGGTGCCGGGCCCGATCCGGAGAATACGCAGACGAGATGCAAGGATATCCTTGTCCGGGCGTGGTGTGCTGAAAAGGGGCAGAATGCGCTGATATCGCGTGTGGGCAGGACGTGTCTTAGCTGTTCCATCAGGGAGGCCAGGGCTTTGGAGATTGGGGTCGTCGTTAGAGTTGGTGTGAAGGATTGAACTGGCCACCGAATGTCAATGACATAGAAGCCAGGCTGGATGGTGTCGTACTTGTAAGATGAGTGACGGCGTTTGGTTATGAAGCGGCGACAGAACATCACCTATCGGTACACCCAGATATGACGATGGTCGATGCACTGATGACAGGAAATTCCGGGTTCACGATATGAATTGTGATAATTTACGCGAAAGTGAAAGCGTTGTGAAGAAGAACCGGCATGGCATAGCATGGAGGACAATATTCACTCAATATTCCTCTGGAGTGGAAAGTAATCTATACCTACGAATAGTGAAGCAAGCTGGATGGACTGTACTCTTGAGATAACATTGGCAATGAAATGGATTGTCATAAGCTTCAAAACAACCATTGCTACACTTCTCAGCCATGCTTTCGAGACCTGGAGTATGCGCGAACTCTGAACACAAGGAGGTGGTCATTTGGGCTGTGAAATGCTTTCCTCGAAGACTGTTCTGTCCTGCTGTCGTACTTCAAGGACATGGAAGACGTTGAAGGTCAAATTTTGGAATGCGGTCGGGCATCAAGCCGACGACCTCGAAGCGTCTGTCCGGTAGTCCTGCAGTTTGACTTCCCTCATCAAACATCGGATGCTTCTGATGCGACAAAAGGTCATGCGACCACCCTGATGACATGTCCTTACCATGCATGAATCGACCTGCTGTCTGTAGTCTCATGGGTGTACGGATGTCCGTTGACTTCTCGACATCTCTCCAGCAGGACGGTCCCGCTCCGCCACGCGCATCATGTATCCAACATCAAACTCAGACTTACTAACCACAGTGTCGGAAAGCTTTGAGTTCACATAGTAAGTTCAAACAGCCATCTGTCGTGGAGGGGGTCTCTTAGACTTCGTTGGAAATGATGTGATCGATGCTCCCAACCCTCCTTCTGCCCGAGAGAGTTCAGCGCAGTTGTTACTGCGTCGACGTTGTATGAAAAGCCCCCACTTGGCGAGACGAGGTAAATTGCAAGGTGTGTGTGACAGGACCTGGAGCCGCATACAGTCTTTTGGTTAAGGTTAAAAAGGACATATTGTCAAGTCGCATGGACGTTGCCCTTTTCAGAGCGGAGTATTGCCGTCGAGACACACACACCGGCTACCTATAGTGGTATGGCTGGAATTGTTGCGCATAGGCACTTGAGGCAGGATGGGGCTCCCACTCAAGCGAGCATCCATTCCCAGTTAGCAAGGATTAAATTAGTAAGTCCGATTAGACGCATTCAACCAACAGGGCTCGATGTTGCGATGTCAAGCAAAAGAGACTCCTGCCGGTAGTGACAATAAAATATGATGGCCGGAAGTTCCCATGACACCTGAGTGAAGGACGTGACAATGCAAGTCGGCATCACACTCCGACACTCACACCGTTGAAAGTTAGGGTGACAGGGATCATAGGATTCTTATTTCGATCCGTAGGACAAGCGCAATAGTCCCCCAGATCGCAGGGCTTTCGCAGTCTATCAGCTGACTAATGATGGATGCTGGTCGCTGCGTTTCTGGTAAAGCTTCAGAAAGTCTCAAGTGGTTTCGAGCCTTTGTGGCTCATAGATCCACACAACCTTTTGCGGTGGCTGTTTTTGTCTCAGTCCAATGGAAGCCTTATGCAGCATCTCGGCAAGCCTAGAATGGCCTTTTGAATTGGCGATGTTGAGCACTGGCCAGAGGAGACACGGCCGTTCCAGCCTCCCCACATGGCAAGTTCCAGACCTAGGATCAAACTTTCAAGAGTATTTCCGGGGTCTTTTTGCAATCCCATGATCGAACACAATCGCTTGAGAGGCTGCAATTTGCGCAACGAAAGCGAAAACGAGAAACGATTCGCATCTTCATTGGCTAGGGACCCATATCCGTTTCTTCGTACAAATCAACATCGATGACCGTCATTGATTGTTTCTCTGACGCGACCAAAGTAAGTTGAGAGCCTAAATCAAGCAGGATTGAGAGTATGGGAAAGGAGAATGGCATGTCTGCAGGATGACTGTACTGAAAAGCGGGGTGGGTGAGCGTGGGATGATTTCGAAAAAGCACTGTCGCCATTTTTCTTTGATAGGCTTTGATGCCATTGTGGATGTAGGCAGCTTGCTTGGCCCAACGACAATCCGCGAAGGGCTGCAGTAGTTCAAGACTTGTTCTGGTCACAACCGAGATCAGCCAACGGTGGGCGAGGTCGGTAGTACGAGCATCAACAGTCCTTTCTGTCGAGATGAACGCATGCTCGCCAAGATGAAAAGCTGCACAGGAGTCGTACCTGCGGATTGTCGAGGAATTCCCTGATAGGCAAGGACGTATCCAAATAGGCACAACCGATCCCCAAAGATTAAAAGACCAGATGGGTGACGCTGCCGTGTGATATGCTCGGATGCTGGTTGATTTAGCGCTTATACCGAGTTAGAAGGTGATCCATGCCAGCTGTGCAAGGATTCTGCACTGCGCTTTCACTAAGATCCTCATCGTAACTTCTTAGTCTGGGCATGGAATAACAATCAGTTTGCGCTTTCGTCGGGGCTCCCCACGATTGGCAAGTATGATCGACATTGACCAGTTCGGACGACCCGTGAGAGCCGTTTGGATCCTATCAGAGCATAATCGTATCCGAATATCAGGAATCACAGCACGGTATTTGTTTCCGACCTCTTGGAGGTGGGCATCCCTGCTGAAAGGACAGAGCCTTTTTCTTTCAGCTCCAAAGAATGCTTTCCATAAGGATTTGAGTCTGGAGATGGATCTTCTGGAACCTTCATTGGCCCAGTCTGCCACTATTAGCGTTGTGACAGCCGGTTTTCAGCCTCTATGCTGTAATCCTGACGTTGGTCTCAGTATCGGGTACGGAGCATTCAACACCACAATTGTACCCATACGAATATCCATACGCAGGGGTCGACTTGTATGGGGCAACCGATTCTACTTACACGGGCCGCGGGTTTTGAGCATTCTGCATAGCTTCATGTTGCTCGATAGTCACTTGAGTTGATCTAGCCGGATCATCCTCGGTGTCCGGTCCTGACCGTGGGTGTTGCTCCAAAGCAGCTTACTGGCATGCTATCCGGCATTGAATTGTGTCTTTGACGAGACCCATGGGCATGGCAACTTCCAAATGGTTGCAATATTACATTCAGCCCGCACAGAAGGCTGTTTGAATTGCTCGGTAGCGATGTACGAAGTGCTCTCTGGTCTCTATAGTGATCGTCTCAGTCAGAGGGTGAGGAACTTTGGATGGCTAACCACCCTCCGTGTCTAGGTTGTCTTGAACATTTAGGCAGACAGGAATTCAGATCACTACAGCAGAGAGCACAGCTTCACAAGAAGGTCTGTTGTCGGACCAGGCTGAATGACTGCCTGTTGCCTTCTCAACCTCAATGCTGTCACGTATCCAAGGAAGGAAATCATCAGATTGGCCTTGGGCAAGCCTAAGTGCTGTTTGGTAGAACGCCTCCCGCTGGATCATCAGGTTTGTACGGAGAGTGCACGAACTGTGCCGACATGCAAATAGAGTCACAGTGGCGTTGAAAGCTCCCTTACCCGAGAATAGCGTATTTCCTTGCACCGCCTAGGAACCTCGTACCGTACTGATGATATATTTGCTCCTACCGGGGTCAATATCTCCCTTTCTCGGCACTGGCAAGCTGGAGCGAGGTCCATGCGTCGTGAACATGCGTCCCATACACGGTGAAGGGAAAGCCGCACATGAATGGGCCCCCCTGTAATTCCCCCAGAAGACTGTTCTTGCTGAATGTCACCTTGTAAGACCTTGGTGACGGTTGCGTTCGGGGCGCTTTTGACACTTGAGTTGCACAGACGTCTGTCCGCCTTTTGCCTCTATGTCATCGATTGCAAGACATGGGGGCGACAAGCTTAGCCTTGAAGCATGTAAGGAAGACCCAGCCCCGGCGTAAGCCTTCTCTAGCCCGGGCTTTTGCAGCCAGCAATGCGACGCCGAGCAAACGGTTCTCCAAAGAAAGTTTGTGAACAACATGTATGTTATGCCCTGGACAAGGGCCTGTGTGGCGGCAGCCTTGTTCGAAGCCATCGGACAATAGCATCTGATGTACGATGTGGGGGGCGTGAGGATTGCAGACTTTCGCAGACATTTACCATTCGCCACCATGGCCAGCGCGACGTAGTTGTGGTTCAAGGCATGATCGATGACCTACCTCCAGCGCCTCATGCTGAGGTCAATGGCAGCCACATCACGACTATTGGCGTCGCAAAAGCATTTGCATTTACCATAGTAAAGTCGCACCGGTGATGCACTGAAATCCATCGTCATATTCGATCGGCGTACCCATTTAAAGGGATGACGTTTCTGTGTCTTGCATGAGTCGAGGGTGAACCACTCGCGTGAAGCAATTTCTTGTTGGATTGCTGTGCTAAACTCCTTCGATGACCGAGTCTAGAAGCGACCTTGTTCAAGGCGAAAATTGACCCTCCTTTGGCGTCCCTGATGGGCTTCGGCGCTAGTAGTCGAGTAGGTCTGGTCACACTAATGTACGCTCCTGAACGCAAATGATTGAAAGTGCAGCGTTGATTCAGGGCTGCAATCGGCGACTAGACCTCGCCCCCAACTCCCTTGGAAGAGGCGATTGAATGGGCCAGTGTACCTTTTCTGGCGTTGATCCAGATAAAGTGCAAGGTTGACGTGTTGAGAATCCTCACGCCCGCCAGGAATGAAAAAAGCCAAATGTCTTACGGTGGTGACAATATTGCATCGTGAAATCCGTCCACAGACCATGAATCTGAAGTGGAACCTACTATAGTAGGGCTGGCGTGGGCCTGTATACTTCGTTGGTCAAGCGTTTCAAATGGCGTCTGGACCGGGCGACACTGGTGCCCAGGAAGCCTTGATCCACGTGGAATTCGAGCCACAGGGCTGGTATCTAGGGGTCCAAGCGGTGGTGTGACACTTGACACTCTGCAGTCCAAGCTTTTTCGAGGGTTGCGAAAAGTTGGTTTTGGCTGCCAGACTCCAGCGCTCAAGGATCCAACTCGACCTCGCGGTGGACTTCGCACATTTGTGTACTCGTACATTGCTGGTATCAGGCAAATAGTCAACGGAAATCCCAGCTGTCCAGACTTCTAGTATCGATGTAGAAGGTCGATGGATCATTCGGCTTGCCGATACTAGCTTCTGACACAGCCACAATTCTGCCGCAATGGGCGTTGATCTGCAAACCCGAGGCAACAGATCCATGTCTGTTCGCGCAAACACACCATCTTGAAGCGGAGTCTTTCGTCGCACGGGTCCGCATTGGATCGCCTTTGACCTCGAAATATTATGGTCCATCAGACTTCCATCAAGGCGGCTTTCAAACCATTGCCCTCAACTAGAACATTAGCCACCGGACCAACTCACTGACCTCCGTCCCATACCAAAGACCCATTACTCTGTCACCAACGTCCTTGCGCTGGTGGCGCAGGCGGCTAGCCGAGAACGTTGTTAGGGCGCTGGTTGCTTCGCGCGAGAGACGAGGAGCCACACGTCGCACAGACCAGCTGCAGCTTTTCTACGTTAAAGCAGACCTCGATAGGTGACGTAGGTGGCATGAAGTCCGCACTTCGTTACTCCACGACATAGTGAGAAGAAATAGTCAGGCTGGACTGACTGCTGTGTGCGTATGGTGGTGTATCTTTAACGGCCAGGTGTTGATATGCCGAGTGTAGAGGTCACTGTGGGCATGCCCGTGCTCACTTTCGCCCAGTACGCGGGCCTTATTCCAGCGTTGAAAGCATCGTCTGCAGATCTCAAATGTTCCTGGTTTGGGAGGATCCACAGGCGACGCAATGACTGGAGCGCTCTTTAACCTCAATTTTGGCAAAACCAGGAGGGAGCTGGAGATCTCTCCAACTGCATACCTCCACAGACCGCATGATTAGACTTCTGAAATCGATAGCCGGTAGAGGCCATGGTGGGGGCTTTCGATTCTGGGAGCAAAAGTGGCGTTTCCCTTGAGGATCAACAGCGGCGCCCCCAATTCCAAGAGAGTGGATGGAAACCTACAGGTACCACAAGCGAGTAGTGTGTATCAACTGGTACGAGTACTGTGCCAGCGTTGAAGATCATACCCAAGAGAACACACTTCCGATGCAGCCGTAGGTATCCCCATACTTAGGGTTTTAGATTCACCTGTAGATTGTATGCTGGTACCACTACTTCGGCAGCAGATCCGTCAGGAAAATCCGGTGGAATTCTGGATTTTTGCAGAGATACTTCAGTGACGTCGGCAGCATTCGCTGGTGTTGAGAGCAGATTCTTGCCTCTCGTGTAGGCTTTAATGTCTCCACGCCTGTCATGACGTTCCGGCCTTATGGTTTGTGAGGTAACGAATGGACCTTCTCAAAGACGTTTGGTGTTAATTGGTGGACGTTCCAGAGCGCAGATCGGCCCCAAACCCGAGCGTCCTGACGTGGCTTCGGGTCCCCGTGCGTGTGGTTCGGCGTGGGAATCATATGCGCTGCTATCGTAATATGCTTCAGGTTCCGGAAACGAAAGCATAGCGACGCACGCAACGATTAGCCCAGATGAGTCGAAATGAACTGGGATCTGGCGCATTGAGGATCCATCAACCGAGATGGATGTCGTGGGTCAAAGCTTCTGAGGCTGTTTTGGGCGTGGTAGCTATAGACTCAGATGTGGCTTCTCGGGCGTGACTCCCCGATCGTACCTGACCACGCCATTTGGGCATGAAGCCGACCATAATGTGGGTGTTCTATGCCCTGTGACGGCGATACTGCTTTGGCTAAGCTTGATGACTTTGGTGGCACTTGGGCCCGATCATCATTTCACCCGGCTTTGAAGCCCCCCCCCCCGCAAGTAGCCAATGGTGTGCAGTGAAGACCCTGGAAGGGCCTCACTAGACCTTAGAGGAGCTAATGGAGCCTAAGTTAGCTTCTGGGTGACTCCGATGTCCAATTCGGTGGGAATCGTCAACAGGGTCCAACAAGGGCGATAATGCAAGATCCGTTGTTCGCCATACCTATTCTCCATAGCCTGACCCTCGCAATTATCCTCCCCATATCGTACGGTCCAGGCGCTTCTTTGTCATGGCGGCTTGGAAGCCTGTGTTGTCTTTTCCTAAGCATTGTTCACTGGGATGAAGACGCTTGGGTCAGTCCTGGTAAAACCTTGTTCAATCTTGCTAGTCGGGCTTCTCTTCGTACCAACTGGCATCAATCCGATTTCGACCCCTCCCTGTCCTTCTCTTCGGGTTCACCACGCACTTTCCTTCTCGTTGTCTGAAGGAGTTGTGCCGTCACGCCTCCTCCTAGCTCGTTCACCAATCCTAGACCGATAAGGAGGGATAGTTTGTTACGCTCACTTGCTGACGGACTTGAACACCATTCTTCGATTGAACCGTCGCCACGTCTAGGGCGTGCGCGTTTGGGGCCTCCGCAACCTTCTCAAAAGATACCATATTTCATCAACTTCTCAATTCGTGCATCATAGGACAACCCGGCCAGCCGCCAGTTCTGCGCAATTAGATTGCATTTCGACGAGGGGTGAGAGCTGGGCCACACTAGGCCGTCTGTAGGGCAAGGCTGATCAACTTGGTGCGGTATTGAAGAATCGATTTGGAAGTTGAATCTCGGTCAATGGACGCTTCTGATCTCACCGCGATTCGTATCATGTGGTCAAACTGCTCGACTTGAAACGGCTCGGTTAGAATAGGGAACGGCGGACATCGCGACATTCGTCCGTTGTGAGCCGCAGAGTCCTTTCCTTTGGCGGGAGAAATGCAAGCGGAGGGCAACAAGTTCCAGCACTTCCAAGAGGGAAGGCACACCGCTGAGAATCGAATTGATAGGCGGCAGGAGGCACCGAACATGCCTGGTTTGGTCATACGAGCAACCTCGTCGCCGAATGTACACGACATGTCTGGAGAAGACTCACCAATGTCCCCGGCGGACAAAAAGCGCAACAAGTTGGGATACCACCGCACTGCGGTAGCTTGCGGTTTGTCGCCTTCACCACACACTTGCGTAGACAACACTGACAGATAATAGGGCATTGCCGACGTCGTAAGATTCGTTGCATACCCGCATTCGAAGATCCAGCCGGTCGATGTCAAAACTGTATCCGCCTGAAGAAAGATTGTCAGTTTTTCCCCGTCGACCAGCAAAACCCTACTCCGGGAAAACGGACCCGATCCGGGACAAAGAGTGAAGGCGTGTTCAGCGAAGGGGACGTCTCGGTCGCTTCATCTTCCCCTGGCGGCATTCTCAGGAGCAGCTCTTTCGAACGTATCGAGGGAGATGGCCCTTTAGACACACCCCCCTTAGCGACAGATTCAGGCTACCACGGTTTCCATCCTGCGACAAGATCTGTCTCCTCAACAGGTGCGCAGGGACTCGGTCTTTTGTTTCCATTACTGACATTCAGCAGGCTTTGAATATCCAAATTCTTACGACCGTCACCAGCAGCAACATGGGCAAGTGATCGTGCCGTCCCCGTACCTCAGTCAGTCGCCGCGTCCATATGCGGCCGAGTCGATGAATCCAGGATACTACCAGCCGTACGCGAACACTGTGGCGGGATCATATTCGTCAGCCTACACTTCAGGATCAACCCCATCAAACATGACGACCATATCGCAGGAGAGCACATACAACTATCCCACAGCACCTTTAGGTGGGGGGTATAGTTGGGGTGGACCACCAACGCGATCCATGTCTGGCTCGGAAACAGAACAATTGCACCATGGATTTCCTGCGGCGTTCAGGACGCACACATATCCTTCATTTGAGCGGGAGACGGCAGGGAACTTGCATCAGATGTCGCCAGCGGAGCATGGTGGTATGCCGGTCGGAATAGACAGCCCGCACGATTCGGTTCCTCCCAATTATCGAGAACCTACTTCTTATCAGCCTTTACAAATGGACGTGCGACAAGAATGGTCAGGAGGTGTTCCTGGTCAAGTGACGCACCTTCCTGGTTCTGGCACAACCGCATACCCCCAAGGCTGGTATTCTCACCAGTCTGAATTGATGAGTGCACGAGATGAGGATGAGCACTCGCACGTGTTTGCGTCACAGAGTCACACTCCTCGAGGAGGTCAGAAGCCTCCTTGAGCACGACCATATTTTCCAGGCATGACCCTTGTGCTGTATGGCTCATAGAGGTCCCCACTTCCCGCTTGTGGGATCAATGACTTGAGTCTATGGTAGAAAGTGTTGCCTGTGACTACTTGAAAGACCGCATCTTGTCTTGTACCGGATGTTCCAGGATTGGGTATTGGATGTTGTATGCCATCTCCCTTCAAAAAAGAGTCTTGGAGATCACCCTGGAACCAGCTCTGCCCGAGCAGCGACGGGAAATCTTGGAGCGCGTGGGCATCAGACTCGATTGAGGCATCATATACAACAGCAACGGATCAGACCGGAGATCATCCGAGACGACGATCACCTGTCAACGATGATGTCTGACTGCGAACACAAGGATTGGACATTGCGAGTGCCGCCTTGGTGAGAAGGGTTTAGTCGAAAGGGCCTCTCACCTGCAGACTTGCAGGGGCGTCCAGTCGATGGTCGGGTTGACATGCCTGCTTCTTGGCCGCGAATACAGCCGTTCGGTTATTTGCTTCTGTGTCTGCACCGGTCGTCAACAAAGAAGGATAGTGAGGCACTTCTCGGATAAGTAGCAATATCGCGCAGCGTAGAAAGCAATGGATGCTAGACGTCGCCCAATCTACTCGATAGATCTGCAGCGGGAAGATCCCAGCTGCATCGAGCATAGGGCGAGCAATAACAAAGATACAAATGATTGATCATCCTGGCATGATTAGTATCTGAAAGTAAAGTTGCAGAAATCATTTTAATCCTCAAACAGTTTGCGTGGACATTTCGAGTCATATACGAGATGCTCACGTGACTACCTGACTCGATTCCTTTGACGTCAATCCATGAGCCCACGACCCCCTGATATCATTCACGCGTTTCCGTACATCTTTCTTTGGTATGGACGACTTCCATGAATCAGATTGACCTTTGTTGAATTTCTCAGGAGACTTGCCCGTTGCGCAATGGGTGTTTCGACATCTTCGGTCCCTTTGTACGCGAGGGCCTCGGTTGAACTGCTTGACCACAGCTGGACGATATGGTAAGCGACAAAGGCCACTCGGGTATCTTGTGTCCCATCGGAGAATGAAATGAGTCATGTGCCACGACGAACTCGATGGGAGACGAGGCTAATGTGGAGGCGATGATCAGTAGAGGTAGGCAATATCAAGCTGAGGCGAGGCTCTAAGTGTCACACTGCTGGACGGTCAACCACTACCGTCTTCTGATCGTGTGCCCTCAGCGAGCGTCTTGGCGATGTTGAATCGAAGCCTTCAGCAGATTCATACTGACACAGCGCCGCTGCCCCTCACCCTGCCTGCGGTGAGAACAAAGTCACGCCTCAAGTTCTCACAACCATAGGACCAGGATGACCCTTTCAGCATTCCTAAATAGCAGGCAAGGTGACAACGCGTCCGACCATTCATTCTCATCTCAAGGTCATAATTTCTTGTCATCGACCAAACAATTGAGATCTGGCGCAATGGCTGCAAATCTGAATGCACACGAACGTCCTCCTCCACAACCAAATCGACTGTCCAAACTTCCAGGTGAACTGCAATCTCATATCTACAGCTACCTCGATTATCCCGATCTCTGTAACCTCGGTGCAACGAGTCGCTCCCTGCGCAACACATGGACGAATCCACAATCCCGTCTGAAGAAGGAGTTATCAAAGGCTTGGACCGAGATTGGCAGACGATGCAAGGGCATCTATCAGATTTCCCAACCGAGGGATGCAGTCGACCGCTGGCTGGCAGTCAATCATGAGGCGCGCTCCTATGTTTCATTCGCCAGAATCTCGCCAGGGATTGCGGATTGGCTTGTCTATTCCACTGACTACTGGTTCCCCTGCACCAGATGCTGCCGGATGACTGAACTCAGGAGATTTCCATACTTTCTCTGGGAGCAGTCGTTCCTCCGATACTTCCCTGACGTCAGCCGCAGCAAGCAGTCGCACGAGGAGTTCTTCGAGACTCTCGTCTGCGGCGAGTGCTTCACAAAGGAACGTCCAGGGTATTGTACCATGCTTGGCACACGCCGTCACAATTCTTACATGATCAACTGTGTGGAATGTAAATCGACTCAGCAGGTCGACAAAACCGAGATGAGCATACAGATGATCATTTCGGGATTTTGTGATCGGTGCTTCAGAAAGATCAATCACTGTTGGTATGACTACAAGACTTTCCTCCAGCAAAGCTTGGTAAAAATAGAAGAACTTGAGCAAACGCCGGCTTACAATCCTCAGAGGGCAGGTCTACCCGTTTGTTCTGTGCCGCAGGAGGTCATTACAAAGCTGTGCTCAGGCAAACATCGTTTTATATACTTCTCGTCTGGTCTCAGAGTCCCTAAGAAAGGCCTGCAGTGGACAGGCTTCGTCAAGTCTGAACTTTCAAGGATCCCTGTCATGTTAACTGCCAGAGAGCGACACAGTAAGGAACATAGGGAAATGGAAGGTCAACCTGAAGTACCACCGAACGAATACCAGGTTCTAAGTACGCTCGAAACAACACGCGTTTTGCTCGAGGGCATCTTCTACTTCATCCTCGTCCTTTGCATCCTGAACGTAGTGATGCTGATACTCGGTCTGGACATGGCCCATGTTATCTTGAACTAGGCGGCTTTAAGAGGGTGGAACGGTGGCATCGATTCCGATGAGTTCAAGATGACGACCAGGTTCGGGTTTGAGATGGAATTTGCATTTCGGTGACCCGTGTGAATCATGGCCCTGCTGACTTGTGTTTGAGTGTTTCTTTGGAACGGGAGGAGGACCGTTTCTCAAAATTTGTGTGAGTACCAGCTTTTTGTATGCTCCCACTAAAGTCAACACCGCCAAAGATTCACATCTGAGATTCATTGAGGACCTGTTTTTCCTCACTATTTAAACGCGATGGTCCAACACATATCATCTTCTTTTCACTTTATTCCTTTCACAATTTTTTTTAGCACGCTAGTCCAACAGTCACCTCCGGCAAAGAGCATCTACACAAGTCACGACTTCTCTGATCATCACAAGAAACCAGTAACTTCCATACAAATTTCGACATCCTGATCCTTCGTCAGCATCATGGGGGATTCCTCGTGCGTTCTTGAATCCGACCACGAATCAGGCTACGTCGAGAAAGATGGGCTCCTTACCATCGACGAGCCTCCTACTAAGGATGGGCCCCTTGCCAGTGACGGACTCTTTGCTGACGATAGCACCCCTTTCCGGTTGCTGGACTTGCCAATCGAAATCCAGTCACGCGTTGTCGACTTTCTGGAATTCAGGGATCTCACCTACCTCAGAGCTACCTGCAGAACGATGCGAACGTTGCCAACGGAGAGTCAGCGCCGTCAAGCCTTGCTCGAATATGAACGAGATAGTGAGAAATTTTGGTTCTTGTGGAGGGACCGACAATCCAACAGGGCAATGCGCTTGCACGTCGACGGAAATGAGGAGTGGAGGCATTGGGCGTACTTTCAGACGTCCTTTCCCAGGCTGTTTGGTCCAGAACCTGAACCAAATCAAGATGTGGCACGCTGGACTGCCGAATTTGATCAGATGGGTTTGTCCACCTTTCGGACCAGTTGGGAGTTCCCGTCATCATCATCATCATCAAGGAGACCTCTTGCCGACTATCTACCCTGTTACATGTGCCTCTCCTTGCAATGGGATGGTCGTTTTGACAGCAGTATGCATAGAAGATACGGATGGTCGTGGAATGACTCGCCCAATTTTGATCCCACGGACGCTATTGTATGGAATGCCGCATGAGCCCTTCGAACAAGCATGTAAGGGGTTCAAGTTGGTTAGCTTCCGAAGGCTGTTACTACCGCATTTGTTGTTCACGCTGTCAAAGACGGCAGAGCATCAGCTTCATGCATCACGACCACCAGGGCTTTTGTGAGCGTTGTTACCACCCCCAGTGTGATGAAGAAAAGTTAAGGTACCCGGAAGATGGCTGCCGATGCTTTATCTGGTACGATAGCGACGGCGAAGATGAGTCCGGCAAGCGCCTGGACCATGATGATGAGGCCATCTGTAGGAGGCTCTTCAAGAGCGATCTTTGCAAGGATTGTTTCACCGAGGAAAACAAGGACTGGTTCGCATTCAAGCAGCGCCTGCGGGATGAAATATCCGCGATGGGTAGCTATCTGAGGTATATGGAGCAAGTTGATGAGAGCACGAAGGATCTGAAATCGCCATCGACTGAAGACTTGCTTAGATTGGACTTTGCATTCAGGGAGTGATGGGTACACACGCAACTGGATATTCGCCTGACGCACTCCAGGAGCATCGAAGAAAATTCATCGTTCCGGCGGAGAGCGTTGAGAAGCAGGCACGTGAGATACCCGGAACGGTTGGAGGACAACATCAGAGCAGCCGTGTGAAGTATTCAGGCATCGGTTGTGAAGGGCGTCCGAAGCAGCTGCATGAAATACTCAGAACGTTCCAATTTCTTAGGCTTCCGAAGGTCAACTCCAAACCTTCAAAGTGAATTGCACCAATTCCAGATCTAACTCATCATTTTCCATTGATGTCTCCCAAAACCCTGGATCAAAGCAGCACATATAGTCCCGGACCAGGCTATTCAGCGTTGCACCAAAGCGTAGGGCTACCATCAGGCAGTAGTTCCGCAACCCCACGGGTTGACCTCGACTTCTGAGCGCTGACAGTGGATAAGACCTTCGCAGCCGGTGCAAAGGCGTAGTCCCAAGGCACCGTCAGCAGCTTCATGAGTATGATTGATCGACCAGCAACGTTGGCATCGGGTAGCCCGCCTGCTGGAGGTTCCACTTTCCTGTAAGTCTGCGCAGACACTTGGAGGTGGTGAAGTCGTGAGAGCACAATCCTGCGTGGTTGACGGTTCAATTTCTGCATTGTTTTCCAAATGCTCTACCCGCGCGGAGCATTCCGCGGAGCAAACGCCTCTTCGCTTGTATCTGGCGTCCGCCTTGACGATAGCGGCGCATCCTCTACAGACAATCCATGTATGCTTCGACCCCTTGACGCTTGTACCTTTCTCCCAGATGCCCTTTTTGACGCCACAGACTTTGCAAAAGCGTCTCTTAGCATCCCTGTGACCCAGACTTCGGCTTCCCATAATCTGCGAGTCCGTGAAACACTCTCGAGGTAGATTCTGAAGGCAAGCATAGCAGTTCAGTCGTGTAGCTTTGGTGATGAAGTTGGCGTGGATATTGCTGATGGTGTCGCTAGAATTCCATGTTCGATACTCGTTCGGAAAGGCACGCGCCCAACGTGCCATATGGCTGTACTTGCGTTCCCGCTGAATGTAATCCGCGTTCTCCTCAGCAAGAAGGTTGGTTTTGATGGCTTGGCGAATGCCCTTCAGCATAGCAAAGGGGGCCAACATGCTGGCTAAACGACATGTTTGACGAAAGCAGAGAAGGCTCTCGTAGTCGACACAGGCCAGAATGTGGTCGGTAAGCTCCCTGGGAAGATCAAAGGGTCCTGAAGGCGTTGGGGTCAAGGAAGCCTCCATGTTGATTTGTATAGAAAGTCCGGAACAGGCGGTTATCGAGCCGCTATATGAACAGATGTTGTTGTTTGATACTCAGACAAAAGAGCCAGTGCACAAGCCAGCGGTCTTCACTGCTATACCGATCGAAGCGATAGAGAACGGCAAACGAGACTTCGCGATGACTGGCCGGTCCACACGCTCGTACGGTGAATGTATGATAGTGATAGAGACCATGACCTGCATGACCAGGTGTAACAATATCCTCAAACAGAAGGATGCACTGGACTGTTTTCAGGCCACATTGAGTCTTAACTCCTGCGTGAGAACTCGCATAGCTGCTGATAGTCTCGCTATTCGCTTCACCGGGGCGAGGAAGTCATATTCAGTCCCTTAGCAGTCAGCCCTTGACGTGTCGTTGATCATACAAGATGAAGACGACTCCGCGTGATTGGCGCTGGCTTGGATCTACTGTTTGGTGGTGACGAAAGGTCGAGGCTGTCACTCGGCAAAGTTCCCAGTCCTATCAATTGTTTTCCAGAGCTGAATCTGAATCGTTAACATTATCCTCCGCAGTTTTGCGTCTTGTTTTATTCACTGCTGCTGAGATGGAGAATCTGAGCGACGAAGTCTGGGATGTGGTCATAGCCGGCACCGGCATCCCTCAGTCACTTCTGGCACTGTAAGCCGCACCTCGTATCGTTCCAAGGCTCCAACTGACTGACGAAGCGTGCCTCGTCAGATCTCTGTCGCGTTCCGGCAAAAAAGTCTTGCACGTTGACCGCCACGGCTACTATGGAGGCAACGATGCTGGCCTCAGTCTACAAGATGCGGAAGATTGGGCGGAAGATCTGAAGAGCCGTACGTCCACCAGTGGCTGAGAACCACAATCCAGCTAATCTTTGGAAAGATCCAGGCACCGTCTTCAAAGATGCCTCTATATCGAAGCCGTCGGACGGAGTTCTCGGACTGTCGCGATCATACACGCTCAGTTTGAACCCTCAAATCATCTACGCGCAGTCCAAATTCCTTCCGACCCTTGTGTCTTCAAGAATACATGCCCAACTCGAATTTCTAGCCGTTGGCTCATGGTGGGTACATCGCGATGGATCCTTACACAAGATCCCAAGCACACGCGAGGATGTCTTCAACGATGAGTCGCTCTCTATGAAGGACAAACGTGGCCTCATGAAATTCCTGCGCTACGTACTTCAAGAGGGGCATGAATCAGCGATTCCCATGGAGAACGAAGCCCACATGTCTCTTCAAATGGCCCTTGACACCACATTCAAGGTGCCCCCGTCTCTGCAGTCACCATTATTGGCCCTCGCTCTCTCTCCAGTACCAGCAACCTCGATACCCTTTGACCAGGCTTTGGCCAGAATACGCAGGCACATGCGGTCTATGGGATATTTCGGCCCTGGTTTCGGTGCTGTCATCGCAAAGTATGGCGGAAACTCAGAGATATCACAAGTTGCTTGCAGAGCTGGCGCCGTGGGAGGAGGTGTCTACCTCTTGGGACACGAGCTTCAGTCGTTCGACACTGATACAGCCGACACAAATGACCAAAGCATCGCTCCTTCGTTGCTGCAAGGCGTTCTTTCAGACGGCACTAAGATCAAGTCACGGTTTCTGGCTGGCACCTTTGACGACTTACCCAATATGGACCCAGCATCGACCAAAGCGAATTCAGCAAGTGCTGTTTGGAGATCTATAAACATTGTTGCAGATCCCTTGCCAAGCCTCTTTCCACAAACGTCCGACAATGGCCCTGTTCCTGCTGTTGCTATCGTTTTAGTGGACACTGGAGAGGCGGACAACAGTCCGATCTATCTACAAATCCACTCGGAAGATACAGGAGAATGCCCAAATCGTCAATGTAAGTCACGCTGGCTCCCTTCAATCCCTGTCCATATGATGATCCAACCATACGAATACTTATCTACATTGCCTGAGCACTCTGTGCTTTGCTGATATCTATCCTCTGACAACCTGATATGGCACACTCCAAATACTTTTGCTTGCAATACGTTTTTGCTCGGAAATGTGGCTGACATGCACTGATAGGTGTCATCTATGCTTCCCTGCAAGCTGACGATTCGTCCTCAAAACATCGACTCGAAGCTGCTGTGGAATCTTTCCTCGGATCCCAGGGCGCCGCAGCGGCATTGTTATGGTCTCTATCATACACTGCTTCTGCAGCAACGGCAAATTTCGCCGCTGGCCTCAGCCTTTCAAGACCTCGTCCATCTATCTTGGTATTTCCACCGCAACCATATGACATTGCATTCTCGGACGACGTCCTTGACGTTGTCAGAGATGCCTGGAAGACAGTTCTTGGCTCTGACGTCGAAGACGACTCGTTTTTACGCTTCGAGGAGCGAGAGCATGAGGTTGACGATTGAAAGTGGAACTCGGCCTTGCTGTTCGACGCAGTATCAGCAAGTGGAAACTCGACCGAACCGTTCTACACTACAAAGCTCCTCAATTGTTTGCGCGGATCGGGGCCGTGGAAGGCACGAGCGGCAATATCGGATGGAATGTTACAGCACTACCGTGAGTCGTCGAGGGCGATACATCCAGCAGAAGTCGGGCTCCTTGAGAGCAGAAGCTCTCTCACTGGACGGAGCATATATCACGGGCTCTGGTGGTGCCACTCATTCTTGTTGACGAGATCGATGAGCAGGTAAGATCCACGGCGCCACCAGCTGAAGTGCCGGCTCTGTGGTCTTGATGCCTGTCTGACGTATGGGAAGTTTACAAATTCGACTATGGGGACATCTGGGATTACTTCAGCCTCGCTCCTTGACATTGGCTGGTCTGGAGGATACGGCGTGCCTTGGCTGGATCGTGACGTCCAAGGTTTCCGCTTGCGCGTTCCTGAAGATCATCTGCCCAGATTACCGACATCTTTCCACAAAGGCGATACCATGCTGGCCTGGGATCATATATGCACAGGACCTTCCACCGTGTGCTCCACATTGGAATGACGAGTGGTGGAGATGTCGGGCAACAGTGGCTGTACTACAAGATGTGTTCCGGACTACTATGAGCACGCGACAGCGGAATGCCACACCAGGCTATCGCTTCCAAGGCATATTATTTCTGCATGAGGCATCAACTCCTTCCAACAACGGATGCCATTCTCCATCGGTCCTGGCGGCCGTCATTTTGACTTTTGACTGCTCGTCACGTGACGCACATTCGACAATTCGGAGACCTTGGACATTCTTGTTCTCATGATGGAATCTTCGCCCACTGCCTTTTCACTTTCGACCACTCATCTGTCACTTGTCAACTCTGCTTCTCCATGCCGGTTCAGACTTCGCAGCGTCTGCCAAGTCTTTGTGGAGACTCTTCCAACCAGACTTCGGATTTCGTTCAACTCTTACCAACAAACAGAAGGACGATATATCTTGATTCTTGAGATGTCTCTACACCGTTGAAACTTTCATGTTGATGGTTGACCGATGTCGCTTCTTCATTGTGCTTCTGAGCAGCAGGGCCAATTATCTCGCCAAGTGTAAGAGCTATCCGACGTGAGATACTCAATTATGGATGCTTTTTCCTCTTACCTTCCTACACCCGGGATCTTCGGCTGCTAACCTCGGGTCATGTCTTACCTTTTTTCTCACCTTCTTTTATCGCCTCAGTACTGAAACATGTGGACACCCAGAAGTGCCAGTGGTACTACGGAGATGTAAGTGATCGTACCTACGCCCAAATATGCTGGTTTATTCCATCCCACCTGCCAGCGTTTGACTTGCATTGCTAGGTGAGTACCTGCTTGCGGATCTAACTTTTTCTCCCGTCGGAAGCGCAATGCTTCGCACCAATGCAAACTTCGAACGGCCTCCAAGCTAGCCATCAGTTAGCAGGTGTTACGTTGCCATTTCTTCGAAGCTTTCTCTATCATGCGACTTTGCCTCAGACGTTTGCAAGCTGCCGCCATGCTCCATACCCAACTCCACCACCTCGGGATTTCTCAAAAATTCCTGCTCAGTATGTCATGAGCCTGGGCATCCATCTATATACCCTTTGTGTTCTTTTCTCCGCTGTCTTGACTTGTGTGTATTCGTCTTGGGGAGGATTTCGTGCCTCTAATCCTTTGTTTCCTGCATTGAGCGGCGCCTCGTTTGCCGAAAAATCAAATTACTCTACCCTCGTTATTTTTCTTCTAACGGATTCTGTGCGGCGTTTGCTACTCATACCGGGCAGAAGTCAATCTTTCCTCGATTGACCAAAAGCAACCAATTCTTTTACCATTCCAATATTGTACATTCGTTCAAAATGCAGACCATGTTGACCACTCTGATTCTGGGTGCCGCCATCGCTGCTGCGGCGCCCTTGACTGCTAGAACCTTGGTTAGTGATGCGGCAGGCCAAACGTACGACTACATTGTTGTCGGATGTGGTGTGTCTGGTCTTGTTGTTTCGTCTCGGTTGAGCGAGAACGAGGACGTGACTGTGCTGTGCCTGGAGGCGGGAGCGCTGTAAGTGTCTTATGCTGTGGACCCGTATCGAAGTGATGCTAATGTTGATTCGAGCGACCACTACGAAGATGATATCCTGATCCCATACTATATTGGTCTCCAACCGGATGGCTTCTATGAATGGGGCATCTACACTGTGCCTCAGACTCAGTTGGACGGCGAGAGTCGTCATATCCCAATGGGCAAGGGTGTCGGCGGTGGCTCTTTGATCAACGGTATGGTCTGGAATCGAGGAAACCAGGAAAGTTTCGATGCCTGGAACGACGTTGGTAACACTGGATGGGGTTGGAACGCTCTCCTACCGTATTTCGAGAAGGTAAGGCCGTCATTCTCATCTTACATAACGACATCAGGTCAGCTGACCACTTTTGACCAGTCCGAGACGTATACGCCAAAGAACTATTCTGGTGCAGAGGTGCAACCCGAGTTGCAGAACCCAAATGTCCACGGCACTAGTGGTCCAGTCCAAGTTTCGTATCCCAACTACTATTGGCCGCAAACCAACAACTGGTTCGAGGCTCTGCACGAATTGGGCATTCCGACCTCAGCTGAACCGAACGAGGGTCTCAGTGCGGGAGGTTACTTCCTGCCACTGGACATTGACCCGGTCAACCAAACCCGATCCGATGCTCGTCGTTCTTACTACGACCCTAACATCGCACGTACCAATTTCAATGTTCAGGACAACTCGCAAGTCACCAGAGTCCTTTTCGACACCAGTGACAACCTGACGGCGACCGGTGTCGAGTTTGCAACAGGAGCCTCTGCACCTCGACAGACAGCCTACGCCAGTCGTGAAGTCATTATCGCTGCTGGCGCCATCCACAGCCCTCAGCTTCTCGAGCTTTCCGGCATTGGTCAATCATCCATCCTTGAACCTCTTGGCATCACTGTGCTCCAAAACCTCCCAGGTGTTGGAAACAATCTCCAAGACCACGGCATGATCCACATAGACTACAACTACACAGCCACATATATCATGGATGTCAACGACTTTGCCACCAACGCGACATTCAACGACGAATCTGCGGCCGAGTACTACAGCAGCAAGACCGGACCTTGGACCGCCAAACCCAGCTGTGCCGTCGCCTTCCCCTCACTCGAGCAGGTCACGGACAGTGCTTCGTCCATGCTCGCCGCAGCAAGTTCCGCGGCCTACAACCTTCCGTCCACATACGACGACGAACCGACCCTGCAAGCCGGCTACGCGCGCCAGATGGCAAGTGTGCTCTCCGAGCTCGCGAACGAGAACATCCCCGCGTTCGAGAACTTGAACAACAATGCCGGTGGCCTGGACTTGGCGCTCATGCGACCTCTCTCCCGGGGAACCACGCACATTACCTCCACTGACCCTTTCACCACCCCGAGCGTTGACCCGCGATGGCTCGTCCACTCATTCGATTACGACGTCATGATCCTCGCGATGCAAGTGAACCAGAAGATCTTGGATACTCAAGCTATTCGATATCTTGGTCCGTCGTACGCACAGATCCCACAGGACGCCACGGCCGAGCAGTTGGGCGAGATCCTGCTTGCCGGAATCGGCACGGAGTACCACTATTCGTGCACGACGGCCATGTTGCCGCTTGATTTGGGTGGTGTGGTTGACGAGGATTTGATGGTCTATGGCACAAACAACCTCAGGATCGTGGATACTGGTATCTTCCCCATGGTGCCAGGATCCCATCTGCAGGCAGTGACATATGGTGTTGCTGAGAAGGCGGCTGATATCATCAAAGCTGCTTAGTGAGGGTTTGTGCGTGGAAAAAATGGGTTAAGGCGTTGTAATTTTATGTTTGAACACTTGCTGCATAGATCACGACGTAATGGCTATTCTAGAAGGCTTCTTTCTCTGTCATGTTGGTCCTTCACTGATGTCTAATGCACACGGCTAGTAGAGTTATGACTGGTATCGCCCGAGTCTTCTTCAGTCGAATTTCAATATAACAACAGCAGTCGCTACGCCAGCAATGACCAGTAGCGCCAGAATCACCAGCGTTATGGTGCAGCACTTTCTTCTGCTTCGTGGACGTTCGACCTCAACCGTGACGTGACGCTCGACAATACGCGGTTTGGCCAGTGCCATTGCGCTTCCACCGTTATGGGCCACTGCTATCGCCATGCCATCGGGTGTGGTTGCTGCTTGGGCATTGCCATGCCAAAAGAGGACTTCATCGCCTCGAGTTGCTGCGTTGAATCTTGGTCAGCACTGACAAGCACAAAGGCCGCGGAGGCTGGATTCTTACCTGCTGCTTGGATCTGTTGCAGGTCATACTGAGAAGGTTGGTACAGAGCCATTCCAGTGACGAAGAGGTTGATTGTCCTGTTGGAAGGAGTGGTGGAAAGATGTGCTTGTACTGCACATGTGCGAGATATCGATCCCCTCCTCGGGCTGCAGGTCGGACATGCAAGTCGGGCGCAAGACAAGCGAACTTCGGCCAGTCATTGTTCTCGAATCAGAAGCTGCAGCCAGGAGGACATCGCTCGAAACAGCCTACCACGACAACAAGTCGCTTAGCGGTCGGCCGCCTGTTGGGACAGGGTACTTAAAGGTGCCAGATTATCCTGTCCATTGTTGATCTTTTCTCTTTCTCTTTCTCGTTCCCTGGCACTCACGAGGCGGACACTCCGCAAGCAAGTGTTTGAAGATCCAGTTCGTCCAGCCTCATTCGTTCGTGTCTTCCAGTGCCTCATTATGAGCGGCCTGGAGCTCCTTCTCATTCCAGCTATAGGAGCTGGAGCATCAGTGGTCAACGCTGGATACAATGTGATCAAAGGACAGAGCAACAATGGCAACGGGGCCTCAGGCAAGCCTGCAAAGGTTGGTGGAGACCGCATTGGGCGTCAAAAGGCAAACGCTGCAGCCGTTCAAATGGAGGGCTAATCGCCTCAATTTCTCTTTAGCATCCCTACCTCACGGAAACCACAAGTGCTCACATCAACGTCCATCATTATGGCACATCGACCATTTGCAAGCTGCCGAACGGAGGGTTCATGGCTTCATCGCAGGGAGATAACAGTGGGGGTTTCATTATTAGCACCACGACAACTCACACCGAGGTTCGGGGATTTCCGAACAAGAAGGCTGACGGGAAATGGTGGCATCGTTAGACCCGTCGTGGCTGTGAGACCGTGACAAGATCTCCGACAAAGTCGCCTTTTGAAAGTGGGAGAAATGTCCGGAATATGTGTCGTAGCCATTACTGTCATAGATTGATCTTGTCATCACTCCAGTGCGCCTTGCATAGACCTTGCCTTTCCAATCATGGCTTGGCAGATATCGTGTCAGTCGGGTACCAAATTGACATTAGCTCCTGCCTCGTTGCTGAAAGATAGGAAGTCCTGATGCATGACTGAACGCTGAGGCTGGAAGTGGCTTGCTTCCAGACTGAGGCTTGTCATCAAGCGTTTCAAGATTCGACGTTGTGTTAGGCTCCGATGATCGACTAAGCAAGAGGTCTAGCCGGTGATAGACAGCCTTGGATTTTTTGAGGGAGGTGACTGGAACGCCTTGTATGAGGCTGCTCAAGAGAGAAGATGGCTGCCCGGCGAATGCAGGAGTAGATTTGTGGAGGCGGAGAAACATTGATGCGATGGTCGCATCATGTTTCCACCCGAACCTGCACAAGTGAATGACGCCGTTGATCGAATAACGATACATGGAGATTGAGGATGTCCAGATCGGCCTTCGGGCTGCCTTCTGTTCATGAGATGTTGATGTTCGATCGTCGGCGACAATGTCGATAGATGATCTTGTGACCTCATGCCAGGATAGGGCGTCGCATCTAGCCCCCAAGGTAATACTTGTATCGTACCCATCCCACTCTGCTCTCTTTCCTTCTCAACACTTGCCCGCGACGTGATGACCTCCACGTCCGGCCGCCTGAAGGGGCGGATCGCTGTGGTAACAGGAAGCAGTTCAGGATTGGGTCAAGCCATATGCCTTGCATTCGCGTCCGAGGGAGCCACGATTTTCTGCATCGACCTGTACCCGAACCCACGCAACCCTATCAACCCGACGACCCAACGCGCCGATGACTTCCACAACCGCGTGTCGCACCAGCCAGGCACCCACGAGCGTATCCGACAGATGGGCGGCGAGGCGATGTACCATAAAGCAGACATCACGAAACCACGGGAAGTCGAGTTGGCCATCCGGGCATGCGTGCAGCGGTACAAGAGAGTAGATATCATGGTGAACAACGCGGGCATTAGCGTCGAGAGCACACACGTGCGGCCCTTGCGATGCCACGAGACGAGCGAGGAAGACTACGACAAGACCATGGCCATCAACACGAAGGGCATGTTTCTGGGGTGCAAGTACGCCCTGAAACAAATGCTCGACGGCCAGGAGAAAGTGTATGGCTCGCGAGGCTGGATCGTCAACACGGCCAGCGTCCAGGGTCTGGTGCCGTACTATGGCACGCCGAGTTACTGTGCGAGTAAAGGCGCGGCCGTCATGTTGACCAAACAGATCGCCCTGGATTATGCAAAGGATAAGATCCACTGTAATGCGCTTTGCCCAGGGTTTCTGGAGACGAGCATGACGCAGAATCTGCAGGGCCAAACGGAGGTGCTGGAGGAGATCCAACGGAAGCATCCCTTTGGTGGCGTCTTGGGGAGGGTGGAGGATGTCGCGAGGGCGGCTGTATTTCTGGCGAGCGACGATTCTGCTTGGATCACTGGTGTGCCGTTGCCTGTCGACGGAGCGTATATGCTGAGATGAATAGACGACGCGCAATGTCATGACACTTTTCTTCGCAGGCAAGACGTTGCCCTTCGGCCTCGCGGCAAGTCTTCACGTTTCTATCTTTACTCTGTCTATTCTTGCGACGCTTCCATGTTCAACCAAAAGTCCAACCACTTTCGCTCGCCGTCGTCCAAGTCCTGACCGGTTCTCTTGAAGCAAGTATCCAGCACCTTCAGCAACTGCTCCCTCAGGATCTTGATCGCCATCATCTGCCTCCAGTGTTTGACCGAGAGTTTGATCTTGCCTGAATCCAACACCATTACGCCCGCGTAGAACTTGAACTCTGCGTCACCTAGAAGAACCGCCAGCGCCGATTCAGGAATTGCGGACGTCTCGAAGACATTTAGATTCCCGTTCCGGTTCTGCATCGCTTCGTAGAACGACAGCCAGCGTGGTGCTTTGGGATTGTTGTGGTTTACCGAGCGAGACGTGAGTGAGACTTGTTGATTGGTGTACACATTGCGCCAGGCTTTACCTTCACGCATCAGAATGCGAGGGTACAGTGCCATGGCGACGATCGCGTTGAGGGCCCTGTCCCCGACTTTCTGATTGTACCGAGTGGGGACGGTGTAGAAGGTCCCACCGCCACCACGACCACCGCTTGATCGAGCACGGCTTAGAGCGCCTTTCTCTTCGGCCTCAAGTGTGACTAAGCCTGCGTCGACAAGGTATACCAGCAGCTGGATTTTGTTCTCCTCGACTTGAACCATGGCTTGGTCACTGATATGGTTCTTTCGGCAAAATTCGTGTCCGGATCGCGCTGATTTGGCTTTGCGCCAGGCTTCGTATGCGTTCAAAGAAGAAAGCAAATCGGAGTCGCCACGGCTGAATATATAACGTGCATCGGGCTGTCCTCCTGTCGACGACAGGAATGGCGATTTGGAAGTCAAGAGCGAGATGATTGCCAAAATTGGGTCCTGCGAGACGCATTAGCTTGAGCATGAACCATTAGTATAATTCCAACGTACCAGACATCTGAAGATGACACCGAAGATGGCGAGTTTCGCAAGGGACACTTCTAATGGCAATCGTGCGATCTGCTGGCCCAGCGGCGTCAGACTTTCTTGTTTTGTCAACGCCCCAGCGTCTTTCAACTTCTCAATCGCCCTAAGCACGTTCTTCCTCGACGGAGGGTCGATTGCTGCATTCAATGTCTCCTCGATTGAGCCCAGATCCCACACCTTGATGCGCAGCATGGGATCCTGGAGACTCAGCCTCAACATCTCAGGAACCTGCTGCTCTAGCATGAGGTTGTCGTGTCGATGTCGCGTGACAAGGTGGAAACAAAGACCGTCCTGGACACGCGCGGCTCGACCTCGTCTCTGGCGTGCAGAAGATCGCGAAATGAATCCCTCCGTCAGCCTCGAAAGTTGGCGTCGCTCGTCGAAGCGCATGACCTTCTCCTTGCAAGTGTCAATCACGGCCGTCACGTCCGGAATGGTAATGCCCGTCTCCGCGATGTTCGTGGCAATCACGACCTTTCGGTGTCCGGGCGGTGGACGGTCGAACGCCTTTTCGAGATCCTCGGTTGAAAACGTCGAGTGGAGCAAGTGTACCACCCATCCGCGACTGAAAGTGTCCATTGACAAGAGCAAGTTGTGTAGACGACGCATTTCGCCAATACCCGGCATAAAGACTAGAATTGCGCTGCTGTACTTTGCGAATTGAGGTTTGTTGGCAATGGCCGCCGCGAGTTTAGCAATCAGACCGTAATCGATACGATATTCGTCCATGCTGGATAGTGCTTTTTGTGTCTTTGTGCTATATTTTTCTGGGTCGCTGATGACAGGTCTCCCATTTTCGTTTCCATAGAAGTCGTCCACATCGCCGCCTGCACCCTCATCTTGCAGGGACAACGCTTTGTCTTTGAGGCCGGCGAGATCGTTCGTAGCCTCCACCGCGTCTTCCAGGAACCCAACTTCAACGGGAAACGTCCGGCCCGGCAGATCCAACACGGGCGCGCCGCCGAAGTAGTCGGAGAACTTTTTGGCGTCAACCGTTGCGGACATGAGTACGATCTTTAGTGTGCTCCGGCGCTTCTGCAGCTTTTGCAATGCAATGAACAGCAAGTCCAGGTCCATCGTGCGCTCGTGCACCTCGTCGAGAATGAGATAGTCGAGCTCGTCTAAGTCGCGAGATTCTTCCAGCATGCGCAGCAGTACACCGGTAGTGGCGTACGTTATGCGCGTGCTATTGCTCGTCTTGCTTTCCATGCGGATCGCATAACCGACCAGCGATCGCGATGTGCCGATGTCGTTGCGAGTTTCGCCGAGTTCTGCAGACACGCGTCTGGCGAGTGTGATGGCAGAGATTCTTCGTGGTTGCGTGACCAGGATGCGGCAGTCTCGGCCGCCGTCGAAATCATGCTCGAGAAGTAAGACCGGAATGCCTGAGGACTTGCCTGCGCCTGTCTCCGCACAGATCACGGTGACAGGGTGGTTAGCGATGCAAGACAGAATGTCATCTTTGTACTGATGGACGGGTAATGAACGGCGGACTTCGAGCATCTGTTGGAATGAAGGGCGTAATTGGCGTGACGTCCACTCTCTGGAAATCTGGCTCGGATCAAGTCTGGCCGGTACGGAATGTTTCGTCCGCCGTCTGTCAGTCGTGATGATCTGGGTCGAGGCTCTTGGGACGGTTTGACCTTGCTCGGCTTGCAGTCTTTCCTGGGCGTCATGTAAGACGGTCCGTAATCGACGTAAAGTTTCTCTGTGTTCCTCGTTGACCAGTCGCTGCTTCACATCGGTGAGGTCCTTGACGACGTCTCTCCAAACGGTCGGTAGTCTAGCAGTCGGCTTCTGCTCCTTTCCGCCCAGCGTAGAGATGAGGAATATTGCTAACGTGCAAATGTATGCTTCGGACTGGGCACTTGATGCGGCCGATGTGTTCACCATCTGCAAGGTCCAGACATGTGGTGCTACCTGCGCTGAGACTTCGGTTGGCAGAGCATCCGCTGCATGTTCTTCAGGTAGCGTGTCGGAGGACCACGAAATGCTGACACTATGTCGAGCTGAGTGGGATGTGTTCTGCAAAGTCTGTACCCGAAGCCGGCTTTTGGTATCATGACTTTTGCATATATCGTCCAGGAGCTTTCTGGGTGACACACCTGTCCACTTGCCAAAGTCTAACACCTTGATCTGCTGTTGTGCGTTTGTGCTCTGCTCATTGGCCGTAGCCTGATCCGTATCTTCGAACATGCCACCCAAGAGAGCTTCTCCATCGGCCTCTCCGTGTTGTCTGTCGTCAATGGGCGCGTTTGAATCAACAGGAGCTTCATGGACATCTGCCCGATCTTCCTGACCTTGCTCGCGACGTCTGGATGCCTCAATTCGCAGTAAGTGTTGGTATTGTTCTTGAATCTCGAGCAGGATCGTGTTCCAAGCAGATTCCGCCACGTACTCGTCGAACAGCGGGTCTCTACGCAGCTTTTGCAACCTCTCCTTCAGCCGTGTGACTCGCTTCTGCTTCCGCGCTGACAATTTCGGCCGTTTGGGTGGATCTGGATGCTCAGCCTGCCAGATGAGACGACGTATACGGACATATTTGTCACTGAGCTTGCTAGGATCATCTTCCTCGTCACTCTCTGATACTGACAGACCTCCGAACGAGTCATCCTCGTCCTCGGACAGGGAAGTAGGGGTACTGGCTGGACTTTGTCGGCTTTGAGTGGCAGTTACTGGCTCTAAATCTGGTCAGCTTCACGCTTTATATGACCGTATAAAATGCTGGGAGAGTAGTGAGCTGTAATGCATAATGTCCGGTTGGCCATGATTGACCTCAGGTTGATTGCTCTCGTACTCAACTCAACAGTCCATAGACTATGGAAAGCTTGATGAGATAGCTTTCAACAATTCACATTTCGTAGTATGGCAGATGGATGCATGTTCTCGCGCACGACTTACCAGAATTCGCCTGTAGAGGGGTATTATCACCACTTCGTGCAGCTTTGGTTTCCGGCACGTGCTCGTAGTGTGATAGTTCCCCTGGTTGGGTGTTGGCTGCATACCAACGGAAGGCCTCAGACAAACCCGGTAGATTGTCAGTGTCTGCGGTGACCTGTCCAGATATGGCAAGTCCTGCCACATGAGCCACAGCTTCCGCAACTCTGGGAAGCTTCAGTGCTTGTAGGACTCGCTCGATGGTCCAAAGATCGATCAGAACCTTCTCCTCAGATTCTGGGGAAGGTACGCTGTTACTTGTGCTACCACTTGAGAGTGCTGGTAGGCTTGAGGCGAACAACTCCTCCGTTGTCTCCTCATCAAGCCAGGAGTAGGTTGAGAGCTTGTAGGCTTGCGGTCGAAGTTGACGGCGCTCGGTGTCAAGTCTCGCGACCTGGCGACTCGCGTCGGCCAAGCTACGAGCAGCATATCGCTCGACCATTGTCTCCAACTCGGAGGTTTCCAAATGCTTCTCCAGTTCTTCGGGGCTCATGTCCGAAATGTTGGCAGTTTTCCCAGGCTCATGGACCGAAGTGGCGCTTTTGCTATCGGGAATTTGTGAGGCCGTCGATACGCCTTGCCCTGATGTGACGGTGGGGGTATCCGACTGTGTCTCATCCTGCTCCTCCACGACTTTGGTTTTGGAAGGCAGAGAGGTTGTAGCAAACCCTCTGGCCGGATTCGCGGCGGCCTTTTTCTTCTTCTTGTTTGGCGCCATGATGGACTGACAATGCTCTCCGCGCAGTGCAGTCGTCCTAATTGTTCTCAAATGGACACTGGCGAGTCGTCCCTTGACGTGGCTGAATTCAAATGTTCAATCCCACCATATTTCTAGCTGCAAGCTTGCCATTGTGGTTCCATGGTGCTGAGACTTGCAGTAATCAGTGATGCGACGCGCTTTCGGCTTTCTCTTCCAACCGCATACACTTATTTACTCATCATCCAAATCAAGCACGGATCGCGTTGATGTGGAGTGACATGAATTTGATGCCAAGACAATGACCCGATTTTGGGACGGAGTGACGCCGCCTTTGTATGCAGTTCTTCCGCCTCTTTGCATTCCTCGAATCATGCAAGAGATAGTCGACGGAGTATAAGTTCTATATGACCAGCCAAAAGTGAAGGTGGCATCGACAGACCATCAGCTTGGCTCAAGATGCTGGCACTGGCATTGACTGCGGAGTTGGAAGGGTACACGCATCCCCCCATGCCACTGAATATCAGCCACTAATCCCCAACAGCGTAACTGATCTCAAGCCTACTGACACGGCAGACTCTCCATACTACTACACATTCAAAGTCCAATGTACCTCATGTCGAGAGGTTCACGCCAACTGGGTCGGCGTCAACCGTCATGTAGGTTCTACCCAGTTACAAGACTCCATTTTGGGACTAGGAACCGCTCAGTCAGCACCTGGCCTCCCCGTCTTCTTCAACATTGCCGCATTCCGTCATGCTGGGTCTACTTGAGCATGAGCGAGTGTCTGACGAAAGGCGCAGGAGATGAACGAGCAATCAGGAAGTCGTGGAGAAGCCAACTTCGTATGGAAATGCAAGAACTGCAAGGTAAGACCTTGTGTAATGTGCATGTCCTTGGCTGCTTATTGATTGCCATATCAGAGAGAATCTACTGCGACAATCAAGGCAGCTCCAGCAGTGTACGAACAAAATTCGCCAGCAAAAGTCAAGAACATCATCGATATCGACTGTCGTGGACTAGAGTTTACCGATTTCAGAGCAGATGTATGTGCAATACGGATACTGAGCGAAAGCAACTGACAGTACTTTAGGGAGAATGGGAGGCCAAGGGCATCGAGTCGGGTACCAAGTTTAGCGGGATCGATCTATCGGAAGGAGAATGGTTTGACTATGACGAAAAGGCGGGCGAGGAAGTCAGCATCAAGGACATCAAGTGGAGCATTCGACGGGCTTGAACGACAGATTCATGCTAGATCAATGCTCAATGTTCCCTTTGTCAAGTACCAGGTAGTTTAGAGCATGATATAGCCCAGCTTCGTGGGTCGTGGCAAGGCTGAAAGGACGCAAGGCTGCGATCACGTGATCTGGATATATTCGCCAAGCTCTGCACAATTTTGCGGTCGCAGAGAGTAAACTTACAGTCTCAAAGCATGCGACAGCTATCTCTGACCTCTTGATTCTACATCTACGGTTGATTGCGCGCTCGCTCTTCCTTTTATCTGTTTGGAGACTCTGATTCAGACTGTTGTTGAACAGGATGAATGTAGGTGGTGTTGCATGATCTTGCAGACTCGATGACTGACGCGACACAGTTTGCTCCTCTGAACCCGCGGCCGTTGCTGCAGAACCTGTACGTCGAGACCTTCCTTTTCTCGAATTCTGAGCCAGCCTGTGGCTTTCAAAAAGGCTTTGGAGCAGGAGACTAATATGCAATTGCATTCCGCAGGATCAACGACGAAGTCATCATTCGATTAAAATGGGGCCAGACCGAGTACAAAGGCCGCCTAATCAGCGTTGATTCGTATATGAACATCCAGTTGTCGAACACGGAGGAATACATTGACCGCAAACACACTGGTACACTGGGAGAAGTTTTGATCAGGTATGTGTGGTGGAGCTGGCTTTGTTGTGTATGGGGCTGGCAGCTGATCTCACCAGATGCAACAACGTGCTGTGGATCTCAGCAGCCAAAGGAGTTGAAATGAATGGCGAGGGTCCCGACACAAAAATGGAGGGCTGATTTTGCAGCCATTGCGAACGGAGCAGCGACACATCGATCACGACTTCGAATGACGACATGTCCATCTGATCCGATCCCTCACCACGAACTGCAGACTGAAGTGCATATCCAGATGATAAAGCTGCAAGGATAGTGGCACATCCGAAAGCGTGGGCATGTGAAAGGAGTCACCTCGGAAGGCCGGAACTGGCTGCCTACGCAGTCGCACGCAATTCGAGTATAGCCATCCTGACGATATGAGGGTGAGGAGTATCGATCGACAGTACTCGTACCATCGTGATAATGTGATGGTGTTGGTGGAGTTGTGTAGATCGGAAGAGTACGTCTACATCTATCAATGTTGCAAGAACTACTTCTACAAAGGCACGAACGGGTATGACGAAGAAAATGACACGAATGCAGTCCACCGGGAACGAATAAGATGGCCAAAGCCAAATTCCAGAGGTTACGTTTGAAGCACCCATTACCAAACTGGGTATACAAGAGGGTCAATCTTCAAGAAAGAATACGCAACGCATACCACAGTAATCGATAGCGTCAGGCTTATCAGATGCAAAGCCATAGGCATACGCGGAATGCATTCTTTGACAGGTGCTGCACCTAGAAAGACAAGAAGATTCTCTATGCAATTGACGTCACATTTAAAGAGGCTGCATCAGCAATAACGTGTTCTTTGTGGTCACTCATCAATCTTGTTACTCGTAAAGGCAAAACCTATTTTTGTAAACTTTTGCATAGGAATCATTTTGCGGATTGACCAGTCAGTACAGTAACTCGGCTTCGGCAAGATGTGAAAGCCTAAGACGAGTCGTTGTGGTACGAGGGAATTCATTCACCCGGGGCTTCCATACTCCCCCAAAGCCGAGGCGCTGTAAGTTCGGCCACTAAGACAGGCACGCATTGGGCTTCGGACAGCGCCAAAGAGGCGACTTGAGGGGTTTCAGGTGATGAGGCAAATTTTGCTGTACTGCTTCTCGGCTAAGGACGGCCAGACGCTTTTGAATGGAGGTCGCTTCGATGCGAATTGGCGAACAACTGGCATGTCCACCCGGACCGAATTCATGAATCAGGTTCCTGATCGCCTCAGCAAACCGATGATCATTTGGTGACATCTCTGGATTCGTGGCTTGTGCTTCCGCATGCGTATTCATCATGCTTATGCAGAGAAAGTATTGCCGCGACACGTTGCGGTTCCTTGAATCTTCGCTGGGAAGCCTGTGGGTGGCCAAACCGACCGCCCTCTCAACGTCTACGCCACAAAAGACCCTGGCTTTAGTGCCTGCGTACCACGGGGCTGGTGCGTTTGGCACCCGGAATCCGGCGTCTTTGGGCTTAGTGGGCTTGTCCTTTCCAACCCGGGGAAGGTTGACTCGATGGGAAGGACGGCAGCGGCGTGAAAGCCACTTCTTCAATCTGTCAACCCTAGGGGGGGCCTCCATTCATGCGCAGTAAAAGGGACCATGATCGTGTGCCGCCGCCGAAAACGGGCAGAATCATTCATATTTGACTCTCTTCCCCTTTGAGTCTTCCTTCCTCCTTGCCTAGGTGACTCCCCGTTGTTCACATCGCTCATTCCTATTTACTCTGTCTATCTTTGTTCTTTTCTTGTTCAGTCGCCACTACTATCATGCCTTCCAAGTTCACCGAGATACTCGATCCAGAGTACCACACCACATCGCCTCAAGATGATGTGCGATTGGAAGACATCATTGCAGCAACAGATATGTCTTACCGGAGTCGAACATCATCAGAAACCAGCTCAAGGAGCGCAAGTTCGTCAAGTGGCAGCGATCGAGTAGAAGAGAAGACGAGGAAAAGGCTGTCGAAACTATTGAAAAAGAGATGAGCCTTGCGACCGGCCGCACATTGTACAACAGCGTGCGACCACTATCAACAACCACTTTCGAATGAAAAGCATCACATTGGGCGATCACAAAAGTCATTCCTTTGACACCGGTGCCGCAACAAGGCCACGAGCCCTGAGCCACGACGGGTATTTCTTTACGGTCTGCAGCGCAAGAAGCTGTACCTGTGGCATTCGCCAATTCACTTTGAACAACTACGCATCTTGAAATGGACAGCAACGCGCCCATTGTGGCAATGTCTAATTCTAGCTTTGGATATCGTCCAGATTATTCGAAGAGTCTCCATGGATGGGGCGAGAACTTGAGATGAAGACGATCAGCAGGGTCGCTCCATTGATTTTCCATCGCTCCACATCGGGACAACACAACTTTTCTCTCACCACTTCTCCTTTATTATTCGCAATCTCATCCGGAGACAAAAGCACAATTTGGAGTTGGGACTTCCTTTTCTCATTCCCACAGCGATCTGTGCAGTCTCGTAGAGGTTGGCCGTTGCACCCAGGATATATCGAAGGGCGACCCTTGGTGGACCAAACGTGTACATTTCCACATGCTCACAAGCAGGGTCTTGTCACACCTGCATTGACGACATTATACTTAACGACCGGTGTACGGATTCATAGCGTTACACGCGCAACCTCTTTCCTTCTCTCTCACGAGAAGCATGTCATAGAAAAAGCATGTATAATAGCTGGAATTATAAAAAGCATCTCGTGACTTGAACAAAGCAAAGTTTCAGAAGCATTTACTTCGATAAATCTCCACAGATGGCATCATTCTCAAATACGAATAGACAATTTCATTGTTCCGATCTCGACTCTCCCCGGCCCGCGGACCCATAAGACAGTGTAGATCGGGAGTACCCTGAAGAACCCTGAACGGACCCGGAGGTCGCCGACTTCGGCCCATTCCCCATCGCCAAAACGCTTGGGTTATGTTTTTGAGGGCCGAAAATTTTGACCAATTTCTGCCCACAGAATTGCAACGAGAAGTTCACTACTTCTTGTCCCTGCTCCAGGGAGTAAGTGCTTTACCTGTTCTGCCGCCTACAACACCTGTCTAACAGTCGATTTAGGGATGGCCGAGTGGTTAAGGCGCTGTGTTTAGGTCTGGCTCTTTGAGTCTACTTGAATCTGATCCGCAGTGGGAAGTGAGTACTTTCGGAGTCTTCATGGTTTGACGCATGTTAACATTGGGTAGACCTCGTGGGGTAATTAGCTTCGTTCTCTCAGTGAAGTACTATCTAACGATTGTTCAAGTTCGAATCCCACTCGTAAGCATTAGCCATCCGTGTTTCTTGAGGATTCTTCTAATGTATTACAGCTCTCAAACACATTGTGTTGCTTTTTTTGCTTCACTCCTTCTCGCTTCCTACAGCGTAAGTACGAAAAGGAGATAATACTTTTTTTGGCCGCTAGTGCCCTTTGTGAAATTCATGGTTGTCTGACACTCTGGTTTCACGTGTCTACGCGATAACACGCCTCTACCAACCATCCCTGCTCTTGACTTGTTCGATAACGTTTTATTTCGGATCGAGGGGAAGAGTATCGAACGCCTGAGCTTCAACATCCATTTCCTAGTCCATTAATGGCTTGAAACATGGCGACATTGAACAATCACGGTTCCGACGCGTCTCAGTCGAGTGAATTCGAACAACGACGCGCCGCTCTGGTCGGTGACATCGGCGAGGTATGTTTCTTCACAGACACAGATGGCCGTTCAACTGGATGAATGTCCGATGCAGTCACTTGAGCAAGTCCTCACGCACATCAATGCTTTGAATCGGAGTCTGGAAGGAATCATTGAGGTACGCATATGCTATTCCAGGATCGACAATCACCAATGCTAAGATCGGGTTCAGATCGGGAATGAGTTCGCTTCCGTTGAAGCGTTATGGAGTCAATTTGAGACGGTGATGGGAAGAGAAAATGAGACAGGCCAGGATGTAACCGGTCATGACGCCGAAGGTGAAGTGAAGACCGAGCCGCGAGAGGACACGAGATGAATGTACTGTATGAGAAAGGAGTGTCAGGTCCAGTGGCTACAGCAAGATCAGGGACGGATCACCACTCAAGTCTTGCGCCGGTTGTGACCATCCTTTTCTCGACTTGAACGATTATTCTGAGCACGAATGCTACCACCTACGCGATGGACGAACATCAATGAGACTCGACAGACACGGCTGCTATGCCTTGATGGACCAGAAACACTTTGTCGAAAAGGTATCTATTTTCAGACAGACTATTGCTTTTGTCCGTTCATGTCCACATCAACGCTGTGGCAAAAGGCCAGTCCCAATCCAACGCCGGTCGTGCACTCATGCAGTAACGCCGTCTAATACTGATGTACATCAAGGCCGCTTTTGTTGACCAACGAACCGAACATATTGCATCCGAGAATGGGAAAAACAATCACACAAATACCAGGAGGAATGCCGATCACAGAATGGCACACTTCCTCTTCTTTGCCTTCTTGACTTTGACACCTTTGGGGTTTGGTTTGGTTTCGTAACTGGCCTCCTCCGTTTGAATGGCCGTGTTGATGGCCAGGTCAAATACTTCTTGGATGCCTTTGTTCTCTTTGGCGCTGCACTCGATGTATCTGGCTCCCATTCGCCTGGCCACATCTTGGCCTTGATCCGGCGTCACTGGTGTTAGGCCTTGGGTGCGGAGAAGTTCGATGCAGGTTCGCTTCGAGCGCAGGTCGGATTTCAAGCCCACGAGGATAAGAGGAGTTGTAGGGCAGAAGTGAAGAACTTCAGGATACCACTGTACATGTCAGTAGAGGACTTGTGTAGTTGAGATTGTACCAACCTTGTCCATGACATTTTCGAGGGAGTTGGGGCAGTCAATGGCGAAGCAGACAAAAAGCAGATCCGTTTCCGGGTATGACAGTGGTCGCAGACGGTCGTATTCTTCTTGTCCTGCTGTATCCCACAGTGCCAGCTCGACTGTCTTCCCCGTAGGTTTGTGTGTAGTCTGTGTGATGTAATTTTCAAATACCGTCGGGACGTATTTCTAGAACGTGTCAGTGTTCACCTTTCTGCACATCGACAATTTGCCTACCTCTGGAAAGTATCCTTGTGCGTAGCTGATCAATAAACAGGTCTTACCACAACCTCCATCTCCTACAACGACAAACTTCTTCGAGTATGAGGGTGGTTGAGTGATATTTGTAGCTTCTGACAATCTTCCGGCGCTGCTGTTGACACTCATCCTTGTGCTAACCGTGCCGTCGCTCGCTCTCGTACTCTGAGCGCGGACGGGTCTTCGATTTGGTGAGTGAGGAGTAATGTAGGAGGCGGACAGATGCTTTTCGGACATGACTGTAGGCGTTCGTGAAGGATATTGTGATGTTTCTGTGGCCATGATGGGTGAATTGAAAGTGGTGTCGCGTTGCCAGCAAGCGGAATGTTATGAGTGATGTGATGCAGACTGAATTCGGAAATGGGTGCGGTGATATTTATTTATGCCGCTTGTAACTACTGCAGGAGCTGCATATGCCGGTCAACGAGTTCTTGGTGAGAATACAGTGTACCAGGGTTTCCCATGTCTCATGTCTCTGCATGAGATGAATCAAGAAAAAGTTGAAGTTGTGTTTTGAATCCATGTTGACCAGGCAACTAATACATTTTCCCCGCATTTCAACTTCAAACTTGAAGCAGATCGCGTCGAGTGACGCCATCTCGAGATCACAACTTGACTTCTTCTACGACACTATGACTTGAGTACTTGGTTGTGTACGTCTGGCCTCGATATGATTTGGTCCATGCAAAAGGATCACCTTCATCTTGTATGATGTGTCCGACATCTGTTCTCTTAAGAACAGCGCGTGGAAGATAGGTTTAATGCGCAGCAGGCACACCAATGTCATGACCCCTAATGAGAATCAGCTCCACCAGCATGATCACATACTGGAGTCAGTGTCAGCAATATGGCTGTTTCATCTGCTTTGATATTTTCACCGCAGTCTTCGCTGCGAATGCTTCCAATGATCATTCCTCATCGGCAGCCACCTGTGTATCCTAGATGGAACAGTCTTTCTCAACGCTCCGAGCAGATCTCATTGACGGCTGCCAAGTTCTCAAGACTCTCTTCGACCAGACCGAGTATACTTCGCCGTGTCAACCCCTCCAATATCATGCTGTTCTCAAAATCAACAGTGACCAGTTACACAGCCCCATCCTTCAATCTTCCAGACGATGAAAAACCGGCCCCAGCTTCGGCCAGATGTGCTTCGCTTCCGAAGAGCCACGACACTTGGTGGAGGTGGAACGAAGGTGTCATGTGCAGCCATATTCGGTCCGATGGGGCGTGTCAGACTATAGTCCTTACACCTTGTCTATCAGGAACGTCTCTAGACAGATTGTTGGTATATAAACTTAATACCTCTCTCCGTTGCGGTTAACACAACCAAACAAAGGTACCAGGTCTGAGCGTTGAAACCCCATCTTAGGTCATCAATACCATCTTGGACCCTAGATGGAGAAAGTGTAAGCACCTTGATAGTGTGGTTGTTGACGATTGAGTCTGTATCTCGAAACCGAGAGTGTCTGTGAAAGGTGCAAGTGTCGAAGTGCAGTTTTGGCACGCTATGCCCAATCAAGCAATCATGTGACACCGCCTGCCGAATGCCTAGGTGTGGCATTGCCAGCAAAAAACAAAAAACAACATCTCGACGTCGATCGCGATTGAAAGGAGTGGGATTCGAACCCACGCAGGCTGAATTTTTGTTAGCATACATGCCTCATAAAGAACACAAGAGATTTAACTCACTTTCCCTACGAGAAATCAAGACTGTACACAGTCCAAGTGTGGAAACTTGAGTCACGCGCCATAACCGCCTGGAGCTTTGTTAGATTTACCAAGTCGGGGGCTTGGAGATGATGCTTACTCGGCCATCCTTCCAAGAGATCCTGAAGAAGTTCAGGGTGAAATTTAAAGCAAATTTCGGGGTGAAGGGTATAAGATCGTCCACCGATTAAGTGGGGCGCACCACCTGCGGAGATGTCCAGTTGTATGTCTTTTCCTTTGTCGACCCATCACCCGATTGACACAGTTAACAGTACATGGCCCGGAAAGCTCGAGCACTAGGTCAATAGAACACGGAAGCATTACAGAGGCTGTCAGGACATGGTGGCTCCGGTGCTCTTCAGGTTGTCGGAAAGCTGATGAGTCGACCAGTCGGACCAACGTTCAAGAAGTAGAACGAAGACGAAAAGGAGTCAATATGTGCTTTCTGTGTGCAATGGGGAGTCGAGGTCAACAAGCACAATGACCATGAACGATTTCGAGCATTTGAGCCGAGTATCCACTCCCGACCACACAGAACCTGCTAGGTCTCCCTGACCCCAAGACTATGGGGCAACACGTCCGATCTCAATGACAAACCAACCACTGTCTGGCTTTGTGCACTTCTCTGAGAACGAGTCTGACCAGTAAGATTAATAGCGAAGATATACGGTCGACGTCTGTGGTTGATTGACCTTGAACGCCATTCAGGATGTGGGATTGTCCCGACTCATATGCTTACCAATTGGTCACTGCTAAGCGGTAAATGTCCGAAGGTAAGTTGCTCCCAGCATAACCTAGATGAGGACCATGTTACCGCGCAGACTTCCACTGTACCCTCCCGTCAGACAGCTAGGTTCAGCACTGTTACGATGCCCCTTTACCACTTCGAACACGCCAATCGAGTATCTGCCATGCAGAATGCTGCTATAGCCCGTGCGATCACGGACTGGCATGCAACTACATTCAGAGCTCCCCGGTTCATTGTCCATTGCGGTTTCATCAATGTATCTCAAGGTCCTGTTGCCGACAACTACATAGGCGGAGCTCCTCGCCGCCTCAACTCCTTACTTCTCAGCTTGCGAAGTGGTGCTGGTCGAACTCATGAACAACTGACAGGCATGACTGACACACTCACTGGAATCTGGGAAGTTCGGATACGAGGGTATACGCCCTGCTTACAAAGGGTGAGAATTTCCCGATGTCTCACTTCCACTGAGCAGCAATCGTCCTTTGGCCATCTCGTTAGCAATTTAAGCATGCGCTGCCGTGGCGCCGATGCCTAGCTCTACTAAATTACTTCCTGCACCAGGAATTGTGCTCAAGCAGCTGTTGAGGTGGCGTTTTACGGACCCCAGTCTGTCAGATTTCAAATACGCCATGGAGAACACGACTGAAGACGTCAGCTTTGGCAGAGCGTTCGGCAAGAAGCATTTCATGTTCAAGCCCGGCTATGTGCACTTGAACCAAGGTGAGCTTCCACAACGAGGCGGTCGTGCTGGACGTGGCTGACCGGCAACAGGATCTTACGGCGGCCACCCAGGGCAAGTCAGGGATGCTCTACGCTTGATCCAAGACGAAGTTCAAGCAGAGCCTGGCGGCTTTGTGTACGATACGTCTACCCAAAGCGGCTGAAGGAGGTGCGGGAGCTTGCCGCTGACGTTGAATATTGTATTTGTATCTGGGTCACTGTAGGCGGGATTCTCGGCAATGATCTACCTGAAATTGGAGGATTTCGAGTACGGCGCTACGGCATTGAAAGCACTGTGCGACAGAGTGAGAAGAGGAGAATATCGCTTAAAAGCCGGTAGGTGATAGCTGGAGAGGACTCGGTTCCGGATTAGAAAAGGAATAAAAGACTAGACAAGGGAAAAGGAGAAAGGGCAATATCAATGGAGAAGGAGAACCTCAGCCTTGTCAAACTTGATTTCTGTCCTTGGCAAGAAGATTACTAAGCTGGCTCCCCTTCACAAATCGATCAATGCATGAGTGTCGCCTCAACATCTCTTCCCATGAACGTTGCCATCATATGATATGCTACCTGGGATCCAAGAGCTTGCCGAGATGACGCGTCCGCCGCCGGCGAAGAAACCCAGGATCACTCCTAGGAAGGACGCAGTGAAGCGCGCCACAAATGAAGATGTTTCGTCCGCTTCACAGTCTGACACGGAGCCAGTGATTATCGAGGAGAGGCATACACCGCGCCAACAAGCCAGATTCGATCCCAGGACGTTGAGTATGGAGGAACAAGTCAAGATATATCGGACGTGGAGAAGTGAGTAGCATCTCTTTTCCCTGATGGCGCTCGGCGTGCTCTCTTGACCGAAAGGCGGCGAGGAACGGCTGTTCTCCGTTCAGTCTTGGCTCTTCTGACTTGACTTTCTCGCTCCGAATAGCAGAAAGCTCTGCTACTTCACTCCCTTCATCGTCGAAGAACTGTCATGACTCTATTGGCTCCATGTACGTATGATTGGTAAGCATGTGCAGCACTAACGCTGGTACTCCCTCTAGAAAACGGATCCATGCACGAAGACACATGCTTCGTTTGCAGAAAGGGATCAGGGTTAGCGAATTGCAACACATGCCGCCTCGCCTACCACAAGGCTTGTCTAGCAGCCGATGCACGCACCTATGAAGATCAAGACCGATGGTATTGCCCCATATGTGTCTCTCGCAACTGGCATATCATCCCACCTTCAACGCTTGCTTCACCATCGATAACACCAGTGGCCGCTTCGACATCAGCTTCCGCGTTGAACCGTGGACCAATCCCTCGGCCTCTCTCGGCATATGCGGAAGCACGAACTCCCTCGAGACCATCAACGTCAATGCCAGCGCTTTCTGCGTTACCCACATCAGCAGCACTTCCATCATCACCATCAAGATCCGGAGCACAAACACTGGGCCAGGTGACGACACAACCCCGCAAGGGCGGTCGCTCACGGTATTCTACATTACGACCAGACGTCGAGTCAGCCATATCCACGATCTACGGCGAACTGGAGCTGTCAAGGAGTCTGGGTGGAGATGTTGAACGCCTACGAGGAGAACTTGAGGCTGCACGCCGCGAGATCGAGGTTCTGAGGAAAGAACTTACAGTCACGCGCAGGGAAGCCGAGATGGCACGCTTTTCAGCCGAGGCTTACGACCAATTGTGGCAGGAGAATGAAATGTACAAAAAGAGAGACCAGGGTCCAAACTCGCTGCAAGAAAAAGTCGAAGAGCTGACATCTGATTTGAATGCGGCAAGGGAGGCAATCTCCACCAAAGACGCGATGCTGGACGAGTGGAAGACCAAACTAAAAGGGCTCCTGGGAGAGGGGACGTGAAGATCCATTGCCAATCGAACAGACTGCCAGATCCAACGAAATGTGTGAGAGTAATTGCAAAGACGATTGGTCACACCTCGGGGAAAGCAGGATCTTGATTATCAATCAAGGCAGCAGAGTCCACCGATCGCACGATTACCTGGCAGAACCGACCAACTGGATCTGCTACACGGCACGGGATTGGCTGACGGCTCTGATTATCAATCATTGAACTTCCAACATATTCACCCAATCTGGAGTCGGCAATGGTGCCGCAAATGACCTCTCCATGCAGCCCAACAGTATGTCCCAACATCGAAACGAGGTGAAGCTTTGATGTATGATCTCGCGGGCGGTGGATGCTGCCTGTCGGAGTGTTCTCTCCTGCAGCTAGTGCGTCTACCGAATGATTGATAATCAAGGCGGCCCTTTTGAAAAGCGGTCATATGGTATAAGTATTGTGTTACAAGCTGTATCAGCTTTGGCTGAAACTCGGGCGTCATATCCATCTCGTCCAAGACTCAACAGTCTCTCCAGTTCGACATGGCGACCGAAAAACAAGCACTCGTCCTCATTGATCCTTTGAATGACTTCATTCACCCCGAGGGCAAGCTGTACCCTGCGGTACAGGACAGTCTGACCAAGACGAACACCGTCGAGAACCTCAGAAGGCTTGCTCATGGTGCAAGAGAGAAAGGTATTCCCATCTACTACGGTCTCCATCAGCAGTACAAAGAAGGCAACTACGACGGGTGGAAGCATGCCAAACAAAATCATGAACGGAGTAAGCAGAGTCAAGCATTCGCGGGATGGGGAGGCGAGATCCTGGAAGGATATGAGCCGCAATTGAGTAACGGAGATGTTGTTGTGTCCAGGCATTGGAATAGCAGGTTTGTGCCACAGAATTGTGGTTCGCGCCAACTGCTTGCATGCTGACCATATGGTACAGCTCCTTCAGGAATACCGACCTCGACTACCAGCTGCGCCAGCAGCGCGATATAACGCACCTCACCTTTGCCGGCCTAGTGACCAATACTTGCGTCGAGTCCACTGCCCGAGAGGCTGTTGAGCTGGGATACAAGGTCACTCTGATCTCAGATGCCACTGCGGGATTCAGCCAGGCACTGAAAGAGGCTGCCACTGATGTCATCTGGCCCACGATTTACGTCGACGAGGTCTTGAAGACTGAGGAGTGGGTGGCACACCTAAAGAAAGTGTAAGCGTGTGAGTGCGACGTGTACCACAGGATGGGTGGTTCGAGGCCGCTTATGTTGTGATATGCCGCTTGTTGCTGCCTTTGGCAGACGTTACGCTCCTTCGCGTTGCCATTCATTACATTTTGAAAGCAAGACACTTCTACAAGAGCTGTTCCCTTTGTAAGCGTGCCCAGGAATCCATAGCCATGCTTGAAGCTTCTTGCGCGCTTAGCCATCCTGTCACGCTATCAACGCTGTGTTCGATGCCGTGCCCATGATAAGCATCATTCGTGGCCAACAGCCCAGAGTCGACATGCTCCAGAAGCGAGCCTGCTTCATGAACCAGCTTTGACAATCTGGCATTCTGTCTGCATCTGGGACTGGCTATGAGAATCGTCCATCAAATGCTTCCCCGCCTTCGAGCGACGCTCTGCAGGCACATGCGTCGGATCGACAAGCGGTCATGTGCGAAGATATCAATCCCCTGAAATGTCGGCGTTCTCCACCAGCCATATTGACAATCACCTTGGAGACATTTCCATCCTTGGTAGAGGAGGAGAATCAATGCCCAGGAGGAAGACGCCTGATAAGACCCGTGTCAATCAACGACTTCGACACCGGATGGCGGCCTGAGAAGGAGAAGTCCGTGTCCATCGCTCCTCGACGCCCTATGCCACCCCCGTATTCCAAGACGATCGTCACCCAGGCTCAATGATATAAAGAGCTAAGGTATGATCTAGCACACTGCTGAACACCTTCTTGATAATTGCGACTCTGAACCTCAGTCTCCCTGTCGACACTGAAATTGTCCCGATTGACACCTTCTGTGCACGCTCACTAAGCATTGATCATGTCTACCACCACAACTATGACCGTTGAGCCAACTTGGGGCTACGGCCTGGGGTTGAGTTCAGGTCAAAGAGACCCAGTGTACGACATGTTGACTCCATTCGACAAGATGCCCACCAAGATGACTGGACGCACAGTCTGGACCAAGGAGGAGCTTGCTGCCGACCCAGACCGCTGGATCCGACGGTGGACTCCCAAAGAAATTGAGCACATCGCGACCGCCATCCACCAGGTCGAAAAGCAGAACCTCTCCCTCGCCCAGGTCGACCGCTCCACGTTCGTGCTGCCATCGTCCCTCGCATCCACACTTACAAATGTTCGCGATGAACTGATCAACGGGATTGGGATTGCCGTCCTGCGCGGTCTGCCCGTGTCCAGCTGGACGACACGCCAGGCCTCGATCGCCTATCTGGGCGTTGGCTCATACATTGGCCGTCGCCTTAGTCAGAATCGCATGTCCCATATGTTGGGGCATGTCAAGGATCTGGGCGAGGGCAAGGAAGTCAATGGTGAAGGACGCCTGTATCGCACGCACAATGCGCAGCCGTACCACACTGATGACGCGGACATTGTGGGGTTACTGTGTCTGCACAAGGCGATGTCTGGCGGCGAGTCGCAAGTTGTTTCTACGCACAACATTTACAATGTCCTGCGGGACGAACGGCCCGATGTACTTGAGCAACTGTGCACCCCGCACTGGTTCTACGATCGGAAAGGCGAGATCAGCGACGGTGACGAGGCAGTCATGCGTGTGCCTGGCTACTATTACTACAAGGACAGGCTGAGCATGAAGTGGGATAGCTACTACGTCGGGGCGCTGCAGCGGTTCTGGGAGAAAGATTTGTTGCCGACGTACACGGACGCACAGCGTGAAGCTATTGAAGTTATGGAGGAAATGGCCTGGCGGTTATCGTTCGAGATGATGCTCGAGCAAGGGGATATCCAGTTTGTGACCAATACGCATAATTTGCATGCACGGTCGGCATACCAGGATGCGAATGATCCGGCGATAAAGCGGTGGTTGCAGAGGTTGTGGCTTGCTACAAGTGAGGAAGAAGGAGGCTGGCCTTTGCCCTTTGCCGATTCGAAGTACGAAAAAAGAGGAGGCGTGCAGGTGAACAAGACGCCGGAAGCGTATCCTTTGGAGGCGGAGTAGTCACAATTGCATTCATGGGATTAACCACGTTGGTTTCCAGTGGCGGCACTGTTTGATCCTGGGAGTCCTTCGGGCTCAAAGGCGTATACCGCTCGATATGACCGAGGAATCCCTCGTAGACACCGTCGAACGTACAGCGATAGTTGACAGTGTGACCTTGGAAACTGGTGCCCTAGAACTCGAACCAGGTCCCAACATCTAGGACGAGAGGAAAAGTGAAGACAAAGGCAACGGCGGCGACCCGGGCATGAACTTGACACATCCACGCCGTTGGGGATTGATGGCCTCCTGGAATGCAAAGCAATATTCTCACTATCGGTCGATGTACACGAAAGACTCCTTCAGTCATATCGAGTAGATACGTATGTTTGAACCCGATAGATTCCCAAAGTTGAACATGGTCGGTTTGTCTGGAGATCGACTTGGGACAAATGTCTACTGATGTTTTGTCTGATATTGAATTTATTGATTCTATGCTTCTGTAGGTCGCTACTTGAGTTGAGACGGATGGTGATATCTTCACATTGCAGTCGGCTGTCGCGCCAGGGTATAGTAGATATCTTGTTGGGAAGGTGTTCTTGTATACCGCCCAAATCATCCCCATAACATGCCACATTCACAATCTGGTCTCTGCCGGGGCGAAAACCGTGCTTTGCAGGCTAACTCAAGGTTCGTGTCGGGTGAACGCTGCAAGACAACGAACTTCGTATTGTTCTGAAGAGTGGAAGACTCGATTGGGTGGGAAGGGCGAGTGGTAGCGGCTGCTGATCGGAAAAATTCACTGAGAGGTCGCGACTCCGCTACATGCCATAATCTGGCGACGTTGGCGATTGTGAACGGTCGATCCGTTTGAAGTCCAGGGTGGAGAGATGAGCCGCATTCACCTTCCTCCAACCGGGCTTTTCCTTGCTTGACGCAGCTCATGATGAAGGCCTTTGCGCCGGAAATCTGTGGATAGCCCTCGATGTCATGGTCCACAATAAATCGACACGGCAAAAGCCGGTCCAACGTCATGCTTCGGATACGGACTGCCGGAACGGAATATGTTCGGACGTCCTGCAGCAAGTGCAGGCTGGTCAGATGGAGCCATGCGATCGCCTTGGATTCGCAGCATTTCCAAGACGTGCTGCTTGTGTGGTGACATACTGTAGCTTCCTGCCGTCTCTAGGTTGACCATCTGAATCAGTGGTCCGATCGGTCCGCCGTCTGATCGGTCGGCGACGACGTAAGTCGAGATCCGCAACGTCACGACATAGGCTGCAGATCCTATCCACCACCAAGATGACCAAGGCGGGCTCGCGGGATCCGATTCCAGCTGCTCCAGCACTTCACTCTGAGAAGGATCAGCCGCCATGGATGATCGTACATGGCTGGTAACTATTTTCAAGGCGACTGCTTCGAGCGCGAAACGCAGGTATCGCACAGACACGCGTCGGACAACCTTCTGTCTAAACGGTCTTTGAGCATGTCCGTCAGAGCCATCGACTCTTGTTTGTACTGGGCATGGTTTGACATCCGCTCTTGGTGACGGTCGCGGAAGAGGTTGAACTTGTCAGGACATATTCTAGAGCGAAGGTCCCGCAGCTCTTTCCACTCCCGGTAGTCGAGCTCGTTCTTATCAGGGCTAGGAGGTGGAGAGGCAGACATCGGAGAAGCATCAGCAGCTCGCAGCATAGGCTGAGCCATCGTTGCTGTTGCAGTCATGTTGAGGTTGTTGTTGAAGTCGCTTCAGGTGGACTGATAAGGGTGATACGATCGACGCGTTGAGGTACAGGCACAGGCAGACGCTTGGACGGTTCGCGATAAGCTATAGATGGTATTGTACCGAGGTCAAGTCTTCGAGTACTTTGTTCGTGGACGTGAACTGGAATCTGTGCTGATGAGGCTTGACACGAGATGGGAAGGTGTATGTGTGAGGTACAACTGCAGAGACATGATAGCAGGTCGGCCAAGGGGGGTGGTCTGATAATATACTGCTCTCCCTTCCAAGGTTGGGTGACGTTGGAACGTGCGTAATAGGGTTCGCATCTCGACGGATGGTTGGGGAGCAAGGAAAAGAAATGGGGCGGACGATGGTTCCGGGGGGGGGGGAAGGACTTTAAGTGTGCTTAAACAAGGCAGAAGATTCCATCATACTGTACGGAGTACCACTTGTAATAGTCCGGGGCGCATCTCCGCGATCTACAGGCACCACCACGGAGCTCTCGTCCCCGTCCATTCAGGAAGCTTCTTTGGATATTCGCCTAAACTCGCGGAAGAATGTTAAAAATCATTCGATCACCCAGAAACCATTGAACCTACAACAAGTTCAGCATTTCTCCGCGCAACGAGAGGCCACTTGTACAAAGATGCGTGTGTTTAGGCGGCCGCCAATGAGTTGCATTCTGTCCTTTTGAGGCCTTCGACATCCTTCTCCGTTCTCTTTTCTGTCGCTTTGTGTGGAAGCGGTTTCCAGCCCAACCCAATACATGCGAAGAATGCTGCTGATGTGCCTGCAACTGCCAGGTTAAAGGTGCAGATGATGGCGTGGTTATAAGCTCGCAACACGCCCGGTAGGTTGGCTTCTGACAATACTGACCTTACAGCCGTTGCACCCGCGTTGATAATCAATTCGGCATTGACATTAGGTGCATCGTCACGCAGCCCAGAGCGCAGAGCACTCGTGAAGATGGTCTCAGCAACAGCAAGAAAGACTGTGCCCCCTAAGTACTGGAAGAAGAAGACTTGGGAAGTTGCCATGGCTTGTTCCTTGGGCGGCAAAAATCCTTGAATCGCGATGATCGGCTGTGAACGACAATATCAGAAATCTGTCAGGTACGGACAAGTACTCCCACTCACTATCTGCATGACCGATGCACGGCCCAACCCGACAAGAATCTGGTACCCAATCCACGCTCCTGCACCAGTCGAAGGCACAAATGTTGTCATCAAACCTGAGCCGATGGAGGAAATCATGGATCCAAACATGGCCCAAGGAGCGCAGTACCTCAAGACCTGAACTGTCCAAGATCAGCGTGGACGGGACTGCGAATTTTGACTTCCACTCACCGAACTTCCCTGCCAGGACTGCACCAATGCTTTGAGCTATCGCTGTTGGCAGTACCATCACACCACTCATCAGCGGCGACTCTCCTTTGACGACCTGGAACCAAAGAGGAAGATAATAGGCAAGCGTCAAGTTCGAAGCCATCCCGAGCAGGTTGGTGATACAACCGAAGATGACCAGCTGCTTCCGAATAATACTTGGAGGTATCATGGCTTTCTCGCCGCGGCGTGTCTCCCGGAGAACAAAGACGATCGTCGTAGCAGCAGCACCACAGAAAAGCCCGATGATGGCGGAGGATCTCCATGCAAACTTGTTGCCGCCCCAGATGATTGCGAGGAGGAACATGACGCATGCTGGAGCGAAAAGTGCAAATCCTAGAAGGTCAAGCTCTTCTTTGACTGTTGCCCGCCAAGTCGACCGAACGGGCTTCTTCTCTGTTTGCTCTGGGATTGAGAGAGTGCACAGAACCAGAAGAACGAGGCCAGAGAAAGGCAAGTTGATGTAAAAGCACCAGCGCCACGAGACTCGTTCTGTCAGAGCACCGCCTATGGTTGGGCCAATGACTTGACCAACGGTCGATAACGCCATGCCAACCCCAGTAAACATTGGCTTCTTATCTGGAGGAGCAACCGCGGCAATGACAGTGAAAGCGCCATTCAGCAAGCCAGCGGCCCCAGCACCTTGAACGGCTCTTCCCCCGATGAGGATCTTTGAAGATGAAGCCATGCCGCAGATGATGGACCCAATGGTAAAGATGATCATGAAGATAATAAATGTGTGCTTGGTTGGGAAGTGCGTGTATATCTTGCCCACGAAAGGCTGCAGACAACATGTTGTGACAAGAGAAGCTGAACCGTACCAGCCGATGTCTTCCAGCGACTTGAAGTGAGTGGTAATTTGAGGTATTGCCGTTGCAATGATCGAGCCGGTCATGGCCACCAGAAACACAGAGAAGAAGACTGCTCCGAACAGGATTGTCTGTTTCCAGATCGACTTCGTGGGTGCGTCCTTTGTTGTTTCTCGAGAAAGTGACCCTAATGCATGGTTGTCGTACTGCTGGCCAGTTTCTGCGACAGCTTCAGGTTCCGCGACCGAGGGATGGTGGTGTTCTTGCTTTGGTGCCATGGTCACGATCGAAACTATTCTCGTGAAGTCAGCCTTTGCATTGCTGTTGCTTCTGAAGGCTGCGATCATCTGCACTCTTAAGCCATCCAATGCTGCTCCGACTGCTCCGTTTCTTGTGAGGCCATCTGATGCCACCGACGATCCCTAAGGCATTGGGCGCTTGCTATTGGTGGAGTGTGGCTGTTGCTTAATCCCTGTAATGTTATGGTGGTCTGCCTTGCTCCGTGTCCGACCCCGTCCCCGTTTCTAAACTTGAAAACGACCCAGCCAGCTTCTGCTGCCACAGGCTCTCACTCATCCTTGCATGCCTATGTTGCCACGGAGCAAGACGGACTCTCCTCTAGATGAGCTGATTTTCTCGATGATGTAAAATGACCACGTCCCACGCAACCTCACCGCCTCGTGAAATCGAGAGTGGTCGCGGTCCCCGAGCGTGTCGTACATGTGCGCGCGCCAAAGTCAAATGCGATATCCTTTCTGGGTCATCTGTTTGCAAGCGGTACTCATCATTCTGCAATCGAATCTTCTTGCTTCGTCGTGATGGCTAATGTCTAGCTGAAGATGCCTTCGACTGAGGAAGGAATGCACTGGGCAGACGCCAGGAGCCCATCGTCGCAGCAAACCTCAAAAGGACTCCGTGAGAACTTCACACAAAATGTCAGGCATCACAAGGCCAATACCTCTCAGTAATGATGCGACGGGTCTACAGCCAGAATCGGATGGCGTCGCTGCAATCCTCGCCGCCTCAGAGACACTCAGTGGCCAAATCATCTCGACTCAATCCTCAAACTCCAATGCGGCCTCGCTCGACCCCACAACATGCGTCCAGCAGATTATTGCGAATGACGACGAGGCCGCTCTGATACTTGACTCCTACCAGACTCACATGAGCCTTTACTTTCCATTCGTCGCCATTTCGCCCGGACAGACTGTTCATGAGCTCAAACAGGCCAAGCCCTTCCTCTTCATGGTCATTATGACCGTCGGCTGCCGACATGACGTCCCACGTCAAACCGCTCTGGCCAGAAAAGCTAGGGAGTTAATCAGTCACAAAATGCTCCTCGGCGGAGAACAAAATCTGGATCTCCTCCAGGGACTACTCGTATTCATAGCATGGTCGGTCGGGTGCTGGCTGCAGTCTTGAAAGGTATACTGACTTCAGACAGGTATCATGTCCAGGCCGGTCTCGGCCCGCAATTGAGCAACCTCACCCATCTAGCGATGGCCTTGATGATCGACCTTGGCTTGAATAAAGCTGTAAGTCCGCGCGGTAGACCAGCGTTAGGATCAATGGGATATTTTCGAGCGTCCGACGGCCAAAACACCACAGAACGAACGCTGGCGGAGAGGAGAGTATTCCTCGGGATCTTGTATGTGACTACAGCGTACGTTTCTCGAATTCTTGACTCGGTCGACTTTCGAGTCCTCTTCTCCAATGCTGACCTTGGCACAGTGTATCCATATGGGCCCGTGACATGGAACCTCTCAAGTATTCGATGTATGCGGACGAGTGCTGTCGAGTCCTCGAGCAAGCCAACGAACATGCAAATGACGAGCAGCTTGTGATTATGACACGGATCATGAGCCTGGTTGGAAAGATCAAATCCACATTTAGCCCCGAGGAATGGGAGCCATCCTCAGGCATGTCCGCGCCCGTCGGGATTTGTGTCAAGTCTTTCGAAGCGGAGCTAGAACAACTGAAGACCAGGCTACCCACAGGCACGCAAGCTGCAGGTGAGTAAATTCGAGTGCGATGGTTCCGGGCCGATTCAAATCATCTCCCTCGACGGAAGGTTGAGCACCGTGATTGCCCAATCCTATACCTGTGACTGTTTCTCCGCTGGCGATTCAGACCACGAAGAAGTGGTGCTGACCAGAAGCAGACTTTGTCTCCCTCCACTATGCTTTCCTAGAGGTCTTCTTGTACGAGGTTAGCGTCAACGACACCATCGCCAGCACGAGGTACGGTGCCTTCCCAGTGACACGCTTGAAAATGCTGTTTACCTGCCTCGACGCGGTCAAACGATTTTTCGAGAAGTTTCGTACGATATCCCCCTCTCTCTACTTCAACTTTACGTATTTCACCTGGAGTCTGGCGGGCCACGTTAGTGTAGTCCTCTCCAAGCTGTGTATCTTCGCCGAAGACGGCTGGGACCCGAGTCTCGCCCGCAGCACGATCGACTTCCCAGCCATGATTGATGAGATGCAATCGAAGTTGAGGGTGGCAGCAGACTTAGCAGAACACTCCACGCGCCAACCGCCTCAAGACCGGGCTACTCTGCCCTTCAGTGTTCCGGAGCTGTTCAAGATGTTCACACATACCTTGCGAGGGTGGAAGGAGTCGCACATGTACAAGACGTCCCAGCTTGGACAGCAATCACAGGCAACCATACCAACGCCCTCCGGCACAGATGCACTGCCATCTGCAGAGTGGGATGACGGGTTCCTCAACTCATGGGACGGGAATCTATTCGACTTTATCGACAGTGATTACTGGCCCCAGCTCACATGAACAGCCGCTTTAAAAAAGGCCTCGTGAATGTGAGTTGGAATATTAGGGACACAAGCAATCTGGGACCGTGGTGTGCTGTGCATCAGCGACAAGTCCTGCTACTCTCAGTATTGTTCTGTTAGCGTAGGACGAGGAACACATGAAGTCTTCAAAAGGAGGATAGACGACTGGAACACTTGTGTAAGTGTAAAGCGCCTATCGTAGGGGCTTTATCTTAGGCTCTTGGCAGCTGGAATGCGTCAGCAATAAGCCTCCTGATGCTTTATTACTCTCTCTGGATAAATTCCTTGCACCGCCACATGTGCGCTGCTCCTCTCCCTAAACTGCTCCACGAAATTGATCATGGCTACAACACGCCGCGCAAGTCGACGTTGACGTTGTGCAGCTGGCTCCTGCAAGCGCCTGCTGTGGAGAACGAACAGAAACGGACCTCACCGCGTACCTGACGACTCCATGGAAGCAAGTCCTAATCGTCGCAAGCAGGAATGGACAAGGAGAAGGAAAGACCAGATGCCGGGTTGAGATCTCTTGACCACTGTAAGATTGTGCTGTGGAAATGTATGCGCCGACCCTACTGACAAGTCTCCAGACAAGGTCAAACTTCCAAAATGGCGGTACGCTTTTCGAGAACGACTCCTACCCATCGTTCGATGGGAGACTCCTTATGTCGCGTGGTTCCAAAATAGTCTGCGCACCCCAGCATTGGATACATATTTCGCAATTTCTGCAAATTTGGGAACACATACAGCTTTCATGGTCCTATTGCCAATACTGTTCTGGTGCGGTCATACAAGTCTGGGGAGAGGGTACCGTATACCACGCGCAAGATTACAACGGGATATCTGACGTGCTACAGAATGACACAAGTCCTGGCTGCTGGTGTTTTCTGGAGCGGGTTTGTCAAGGACATGCTGTGCTTGCCTCGTCCTTTGTCACCTCCGTTGCAACGAATCACCATGTCAGGGTCTGCCGCCCTCGAGTACGGGTTTCCTTCTACACATTCAACCAACGCGGTATCCGTCGCTGTATATGCGCTTTATCTTCTGGGGCATGTGAAGGAGCAGATGAATCCCAATGCTCACCTTGGACTTCAAGTTGTCTGCTACTGCTACGCATTCTCGATTGTGCTCGGTCGTCTATACTGTGGGATGCACGGCTTTTTCGACGTCATCTGGGGGAGTGCGCTTGGAATCCTGTTGGCGTTGGTGCAATGCTTCTACGGCGAATGGTTTGACGAGTGGCTGCACGCTGGCACTTTACAGCGAGTCATTATTGTTGTATTGGTCATTTTGGTGCTGGTACGCATCCACCCCGAACCCGCGGACGACTGCCCGTGTTTTGATGACAGCGTTTCCTTTGCCGGCGTCTTCATGGGCGTCCAATACGCTGTATGGCATTTTGCACGAACATCATATGCATGGTCGGAACCCGCTCGGGGGACCGTCCCATTTGATTTGGCAAAGATGGGGTGGGTAGTGGTCGTCGCACGCATCCTGCTCGGCGTCATAATGATCTTTGCATGGCGAGGTATATCGAAACCAACACTACTCAGGTTCCTACCGCCTATCTTTCGAGTCATCGAAGAGTTAGGGCTGACTCTTCCTCGGCGATTCTTCAAACCTGCATCAGAATACGAGACAGTCCCTCGGCAAGAAAACGACGACAACGTCATACCTCCCGCGAGGGATATTCCTCACCTCCTATCGAACCTCAGAAGAAGGAGAGCCATTTCGGTCGGTCCTCAATCAGAGGCCGATGCCTACGAGGCGTTGGCATACCGCGATAAGAGGCGCAGAGACAGCACAAACCAGCATGGGGCACCGAGTCCCGTCAAAGAAGCGCTCTCGGAGCCCAGCTACTTCCAGGAGGGGAATCCGCACCAGAAGGGATCACCAGAAGGCAGAAAGAGATCTAGCAGCCTTGAAATGTTCCGAGCGCAAATGGGTACGGGAGTGGAGGGGTTGTCTCCTATGCCGCTAAGCACCCCAGGCCCACAGGAGCAACAGGCAATGGACCTCCTTCAGGAAAGACGCCTTTTCGCCAGTATTCAGAGACCACGAGTACGGTATGATGTTGAGGTGATCACCAGATTAATTGTCTATTCTGGGATTGGCTGGTTGGCGGCAGAGGGCAATCCTATTCTTTTTCAGCTCGTAGGACTTGGACTGAAATGAGGAAATGGTGTCGATGTTCTCAGTCAGCATAATCTTCATATACTCAAATCACGCTACGTTTGTTCTCTGTAATGCATTCACGAGAACTCCATATAGATATTTCGTCTCGACGCAGGTTTGCCTGACCGGAGACAAGAACACCTTATGGCATAATGATTCGCCGGAGAAATTCGAATGACTGGTCTTGGCAGAATTGTCACTTTTGTCGGCTCCGCATGCGGTTTTGAAAGTCGCGTCTCTCATTCCGTTCGTCGCATCGCATCCATCGCAAACAGTTTCAAGAAACCATCGAGTTTCTCCAATTCTTGTCATGTACCTCACCTTCAAAACAAGCAATAAACCAGTAATTGCGTGTTCGACACGACCTCCTCTATGCAGGTTCTCGTCGCATGCTTGATCCTGCTCTTGCTTCGGTTTTCCATTACCTACATATTCTCCTCAGATCTCGCGGGAACTATCCTACATCGTGGCTTCCTTGTCGACCTCACATTCCTCCAGCCATGGCTGACTACTCGTCTTTCATGGACTGGAGTCCTGCCACTCCTCCGCGATCGAAGGACGATCCTTACTCTACAAATTATGTTCCTGGTGGATGGCCTGCCGAGCCGCCTACCCCACCTTCGACCGTTGCCGTCGTCGCGCGAAGACCTGCGCCATCGGGCTTTCTACCAACGGCGAAAAGATTATGTCAAGGCCTCGGGGCCGCGGTCGCATTCGGGTATACCACCGCTACATCAATATCACGATACGCCGTTCATGCGACAACCGCTGCTGTCACTGTCCCAACTTACAGCATCGTCCGTCGCGTCCAGCAACGCCAGAGGCATAGAAGGCCTCAGCCTCCCAGGAGGCAACGAGGCTCTTCACCAAGATACACCCTACCTGAATCGCCATGGAATCGAGCAGTCGCAGCTGCAGACCAGGGCGCTCCTCGCCAACAACAAATCCAGCAAAGGGCCGCTTCGCCTACGCCCGCTCCCAAGGTTAAAGCAGCTCTCCAACCAAGCGCACCTCATCCGAGCACACAGAATGTCCTCTATAGTGTTCCTGACCTGATGCCTCCCGGCATGGCAGACGCGATTCGAAACAGGAGAAAGATTGGAGGAACGCGATCAAGAGTGCGCAAGCCAACATCACCACTGTTTCCAAACATGCCGCAATTCACACCTCCACCCAAATTTCCACACGCCCATACGAATACCCCCATTAAAAGGGAATACACACCTCCGGAAGAGGAACACAGAGAATTGAAATCGCAATTTCCGCACTTGGGTCAATTCCCACCCACGCCTCCATCACCACCGGCAAGCTTTACGTCTATTTCACCTGGCGATCAATTGAGAGATGAGATGGATGCGGCCAATGACAGCGATTCAGGAGCCTCATCTACTTTTTCCAGCTATCGGCGTCCCAGAACTTTGAGCGTGAAGAAGCAGAGATCGCCGCCATCGAAGTGTGCGAAAACCGCGCCAGTCCCTCATGTTGGTCCGAGCTCACAGTCACTGAACACGGGCGCACCCGCCATTGTTGTCCAAGAGACGACAACCGCTGCCAACGCTGAAGGACCGACGGTTGTTGACACAACGTTGTTATCACCACCACGCATCAAAAAACGTCGTGTCAGCACGCCGAGAAACAAGAAGACCACCAACAACCCAACCAGCCCAACCACGCCTGAAACAGATCTCTCTTCAACATGCGACTGTTCTCCTGGTAATCTCACGCCACAAGTCGAACAAAAGTCGACATCCTTGGACGAAAGTGACATCTCTTCATTCTTTGTTGGTACACCACCCGACCCGGCGGAAGACGCCCGTCTATTCAAAATGATCATGGCAGGCGGTGGCACACCCACCCCAGAAAACAAAATAGTCGCCACATATGAGAAAGCCATAACATCACAGCCGACCACGAGCGACACGGCAACAATTGAACAAAGCAATCATGACGCCATCGATGTCAATCTAATAGCACCAGAATCAGGGGGTGAAACAAATCCAGATACAGTCACAGAGAGCGAAATTACAACCACGGATGATGTGGCGGAGTCCGACAGCATTATTATCATGCCTCAGGAAGTAGGGTCGAAGACACCACAAGCGGTGGGAACATCACAAGCCGTAGACTCAGCGGAAACACCATCAAAGGATCCGACCACACCATTACGCAGTCCACCGCAAGCAGAGTCCGAGCAAGTGGACAGCAACGTAGAGCTACAGGGATCAATGTCTCCACGCACACCCGAACTGCAACTCGCACATCTCACGCTCGACGATCCGTACACACCGGATGTGCCCACGCCGAAAGCAACACCTCATTCAACAGAAAGGAAGCAGAGAGTGACCAGAGCAGAAGCAAGAAGAATACAATTGTTGGAGGAAGTGCAGCACTACGAGATTGCACCATTGGCAGATGAATGGGAGAAGAAGATCCAAGCAGCCTTGCGAAGTGGCCACGGCGACTTCAGAGCCACTGATTTCACTCGAGTCGTGCCACTGATAAAAGGACGAGGCACAGATAACTGGTTGAATGACGAAGTCATCAATGGGTATCTGAAACTTATCGTCACTCACGGGAAGAAAGAGGACCGCCCGACACAGGTGCCCACGCATCATGCGTTCGTCTCGTTCTTCTACAACAATCTCGAAACTCGAGGCTACGAAAGCGTCAAGAGATGGGCCAGTCGAGCCAAGATCGGCGGCAAAAACCTGTTGGATACGGAGGCCGTGTTCATTCCTATCAATAGCGGCATGCACTGGACCCTTTGTGTTGTGTCTGGGAAGAACAGGACAATCACACACTACAACAGTTTGAGTGGGAATGGGAGGAGGTATGTGGAAACGGTCAAGAAATGGGTGACGGAGGAATTGGGAAGCGCCTACAAGGAGGACGAATGGAAAATGGAGTTTACTGGTCCATCACCACAACAACAGAACATGGACGACTGCGGAGTGTTTACTATTACCAGTGCCAGGCAAATTATGCTTGGCCTTACACCCATGAGCTATACAGCGAGTCAGATACAGCTGCAGCGGAGGAGGATTATTGCAGAGCTGATTAATGGGGAGCTCATCAAGAGCACGACGGAATGACACAACGATACCCACTGTACGACTATTGAATGATGTTACGATTACGAAGGGAATTGGTTCTGGGATTGCATTGCCTGGATACATTTGTCAAGCCCGAGGGCTTTTTGAGCGACAAGCGCTCTATCAAGAGAGGGGATTTACAGCACCCTAATTGTGAAAATAATCAATAATACTAAACCTGAAGCACATTCAACGTCTGATGAGGCTCTCTTGTAGATGAAAAATACATGATGCACGAGCAGACATTTCTTGATGCATCCTTGCCAGCCTCGGCATGACCAATCACATTCGCCAAGAATAGTGTGGCATCGCTTCATTCAGCCTTGGGACTTTTTGTTTGTTCCCTCTGAACAATTTTGTTTCACTTGCATTACGAATCGTCTTCCTTCGCTGACCGTTCCTTTCCTGCATGAGTCTGAAGAGATTCCGCCAATTAAAATACATCGGCCGATGTAGTGGCGATCGGTCTTCATCATGAATGTCACCAACGTGACCACGGGGCCTGGTCCAGCAATGGAGTTCCTCGGACGCGTCGCATACGAAGCGGAGCTCATGCAACCCTTGATTCCGACATACTTGCATCTCCTGGTATCAGCCATCTTCCCCATCTGGACAGCGGCACATTCCTCACTGTCGAGACCACCGTCGGCGGCTCCACGAAAGCGCAAACGCAAGTCAAAGCAAAAACGTGGTTCTGATGATGATGACGACGAAGAAAGTGATGGTGAGGACGACGAATCTCAGAAGATCGAGAGTCTCACGCCCTCGGACGCCATTGTCTTTCCTCTCCTTGCTGGCGCGACGTTGGCGAGTCTGTATTTCATTCTCAAGTGGTTGCAGGATCCGGCGTGGTTGAATTGGGTTCTGGGCATTTACTTTTCGGTGATTGGACTGTTTTTCGCCCTGGGATTTCTGAAGGACGCGTTCAGCGTGGTGCGATCGTTCGCGTTGCCCAGGCATTACTCGGCGGGTGGGAAGTTGTGGGAGGTCAACTCACGACATTCGGGTTATAGGTCTGCAGGCGGCGATGCCTTCAAGAAGTCTCCGTTGCCAGGATTGCTGAGGATGGTACCGCTCCCTGCAGGACTATCAAAGCGCATGTGGGACTTGCGACGGCTGCTTTACGCGAAGGCGCGGCTCAACCTGCATGTTCGAGGGCTCGTCACGGTCAAGACATCCGTCGACGTCCTTGACGTGGCGAGTCTTGTTTTGTCCTGCGTGATCGTGTATTACCACGGCTTCGTCGCCAAACCGTGGTTCCTGACGAATTTCCTGGGCTTTGCATTTTGTTACGGCTCCTTGCAGTACATGACGCCTACGACGGCGTGGACTGGGACACTCGTGCTCAGCGCGCTGTTCTTCTACGACATTTACTTTGTGTTCTTCACGCCGATGATGGTCACGGTTGCGACAAAGTTGGATGTTCCGATCAAACTACTTTTCCCTCGGCCGGACGGTTGTGTCTTGCCTGTTGGTGCGGCTGAGGGGTCGGCTGCTATAGAAGAATACTTGCAGTGTCTGGCGAAGAAGAGGACTATGGCAATGCTGGGCTTAGGCGATATCGTGGTACCGGGAATGGTGCTGGCTTTTGCGCTACGGTTCGACCTGTATTTGCATTATCTGAGAAAGACGACGACTGAAGGTGACGAGCAGAAGAAGCCGGTGTATAGCAGTGCAAAGGGAAGTTGGGGTGAGCGATTCTGGACGAATTACAAGCTGTTGCCGAGCGATGTCAGAGCGAAGACGTTTCCCAAGCCGTACTTTTACGCGACTATCTTTGGGTATCTGGCTGGCATGATCACCACGGTGATCGTCATGCAGGTTGCGGCGCATGCTCAGCCGGCGTTGCTGTACCTGGTGCCGGGAGTCTTGCTGTCACTCTGGGGTACTGCATTGCTGAGAGGAGATTTGAAAGCTCTTTGGGAGTACAATGAGATGCCGGAGGAGGATCAAAAGAAGAAGGACGAGAACGCCACGAAGTCAAAAATCGATGAGAGCGAAGGGGCTGCGAGCAATGCCACGCTACTGACGGGAGAGACGGAGCAACAGGTTGAGGGAGAAAAGAAGGAGGCTGAACCCGAAAAGACGGTCGAGGGTGGATCTGCAAGTAAGAAGACAGCTGAAAAGGGCCGGCGACGTCTTGTTTATCTCTCCATCACATTGCCTGAACCACCTTCCGAAGATGCTACGGGTGGCAATAAGCCCAGTTCGACTTCGACAAGCTCTCCTGAACAGGCAGATGACAGCTCTCCCAAAGATGTCAATGTGCAGCAGGATGACAGTGGCTCTTTGCTCGATGAGGCAGCACGCAGAGCTGATGGCGAGCCTCTGGAAAAGAGGGCGAGACGGGTGTGACTGGATGAACGAGTCTTCATCTCGTTCGATGCATGCATAGCGGACGGGCGAAAAGAAAACGGGTATTCCAGGCATCATGCACAACCGTGACAGGCAGACACGTGCTCATTGTTCAATAATGATATACATGCATTCCCTCTGGCGATTTTGTCTTTGCCCCGGTACTGAATTCAATGCAATCGTACGATGTTCATGGGTGTAGCTCCTCTTCTCGTGCGAGTCTCTCGATCACTCTCTTGTTCATTTGTTCATTTCTGCTGCCTTGGCTTTCAATTCGTCCTTGGATGCGGCTTCTGGCATGTCTATGGTAGGCGTGGGTCAGCATAGGCACTGTAGTTTGTCAATTTGTGCCAGTTTCTCACTGTCAGAGATCTGAGGGCCTTTTGAATGGTGGTCTTGTGCAGATGCTGCTTGCTTGATGGGCTGCTCATTCTCCTTGTGCAGGGGGTGGTCGGAAGCAGTCGAGTCGGAGGACTCTTTGGCGACTTGGTCAAAGATGTGGGAGGGGGCTTCCTCTTCAGCTGGATGTTGAGGCATGATGTCTGGATTGAGGTTGGATGGGTTTCTCTATTTGTTGCGTGATTAAGGTCGAGTGTTATGGGATTAGTATGAGGGATGAGTAGAGGTAGAGAGCATTATGTAGATGTCAATGTCACTGGCACCTGCGGCATTGCCTCTTCCGACTATGACGTGTTTACCAACTGGTGGGGTTCATATGACGGAGCACAAGTACAGTATGGGAAATCCACGAACAGGTGTTCAGTGGCCCCCCTTTGAATCGCTTAGTCAAGGTACGGACGACTCACAGGTGTTTCAAGGTGATTCATCAAAGAGCGAGACAGATACGGCGTTGTTGTTCTGATGCATGCCCAGCAATGCGCTGGAGTGATCGTGTGAGCGAGTCTGTCAGAAGTATCCGGGCTGAGGCTTAGGCGCCACGGCCCCCGGAGTTATCAGCCACACCACGAACTTAACGAAGGCGTCTCCAAATTACCGCCGCCTTTCCCCATTTGCCTGCACTTGAACCTCAGGCCTCATCTTATCCTTTAATCCAGCTATATTCTTTACATTCTGCCTAGGAGTGAGCACCCAGTCCTCCTCCAGTACTCTGTCGGGCTTCGGCCCCTTGTATTCTCGCAAGCATTTCCTTCTCGTTGCCCATGCCAATAGCTCGGCTTTTCTTCGCCAACAACTATCATCATGCCGTCCATCCTCTCCGAAGCGGATAAAGAGACTGTGAAGCGTACAGTGCCAAAGGCCGCCAACAAGATCCAGGCTGTCGCCGTCGCTCGACTATACGTTGCCCATCCCAACCGAAACCGATGGACGAATACAGGCCTGCAGGGGGCTGCTGTCCTCTGCAATGACTTGGTAGGAAATACCTTCTGGATCAAACTGGTCGACGTCTCTCCCGCCAACCGAGGCGTCATTTGGGATCAGGAAATCTACGACACGTTTCAATATAACCAGGATCGCACCTTTTTTCACTCGTTCGAGCTGGAACATTGTATGGCTGGCTTGTCGTTCGTCGACGAGAAAGAGGCGCGGACCTTCAAGAAGAAAATGGATGAGCGGGAAAAGAATGCCAGCAAGCAGACAAAAGCGCAACCTTTTGCCTCAGGTGCCGGTGGAGGTCAGGTCTATGTACCAGGGGGTTCTCATAAACACCACAGTCGAGTGGGCAATTTCCTTCGTCTTGGTGGTCACAGGCACAGTTCCAACAACGCTATCCCGCAAGCGCAACCGCAGTCTATCATCCCTCAGCCCGTCTACAGCTCAACACCTTCGGGTCGTCCACAGAGTAGTGGAGATATCGACCTGGCAGATCCTACTTGGAGACCTATTCTCAATGAGTTGGTGGAGATGGGCATCACCGAGGACCAAATCGCCACGAATGCGGCCTTCATCAAGAACTACATCATGCAGAAACAGGCCGAAGAGATGGCAAATGGCATTGCTCAGGCCCTGCCCCTTGCGGGCGAGACACGATCAAGAGGGCCTCCACCACCGCCACCGGCCGCACCGCCCTCGCGATTGAGCCCAGATAACACGGGCAATACAACTTCATCGAGCCGGCGTGGCCCTCCGCCTGCACCACCGCCATCAAGAAGGCCTGTGGGAGGCAGAGCGTCGTCACCTCCGCGGTCACCCTCACCACCCCCTCGCACGCCATCTCCTCCGTCCACTCCGCAACCGAGATTCCGTGCACCTCCTCCCCTTGCGGATGCGGGCAAGTTCGCCGTCAAAGAAGGGCCAGCCATGCATCCTTCTGGGCGAACCCGAGCCTCGTCAGGGTCGCTTGCAAACCCTGGTCCTCCACCACCACCTCGTCCACCCAAGACGCCCATCGAGGAAGAGCCGCAAGGCGTATTCAGGGTGCCGCCTCCTTTTACAGGGGAGCGCAAGTCTTCAGCTCCTCCACCACCTCCCAGTCGTGGGCCTGTCCCTCCGCCGCCGCCAAGCCGAGATCCATCTACGGCTCATGTCATACCGCCTCCTTTACCACCAAAAGCATCAACGCCAACCGCGCCAGCTTTCATCCCTCTTCCCCCGCCGCCTCCCCCAGCTCGCAACAGTGCTCCTCCTCTACCGCCTCCCAATACAAGGGTGGTTCCTGCTCCGCCAACAGGGACTGGACCACCTCCACCGCCGCCGCCTCCAATGCCGTCCTTATCTGGTCCTCCACCACCGCCGCCTCTCCCATCGTCCTCGGGGCCACCACCTCCGCCTCCCATGCCTGGTGCCAGTGGCCCAGCACCACCTTTACCCCCTGTAGGCGGCGATGACCGTGACTCACTACTTGCCGCTATTCGCGGCACAGGAGGGGGCGGCCTGCGCAAGGTTAGGGACACTGAGAAACGAGACCGGTCATCAGCCATGGTGCCGGGTACGGAATCGAGTGCGCCTCCGCCACCATCTGGTGCGCCGGGAAGTTCTGGTGCTGCTCCGGATCAAGGCGGATTGGCGGGTGCGTTGGCTGCTGCCCTCAGTCAGAGGAAGAAGAAAGTCAGCGGGAGTGGTAAGTCTTGTTGATTGACTATTCTTGTTGCGTAGCAATTGCTGACCCTTTTTGCAAACAGATGACGAAAAGGAGGACGATGATGACTGGTGATTTAGTAGTGATTGTGTTGGATGTGATTCGCATGGGGTTTTGCGGCTCTGGAGAAATAGCGTGCATGCAGTTAAGCAAGGTAAGAGAACAGCGGGCGTCAACCGTACATGTTGGAAGCCTTGTCAAATGCGTTGGAGCCTTCCGGGGGGAAACAAAATCTATACCACATATGCAAGAATTCATTGAGAGTTCTGTAAGTACAGTAGTGGATGCTGATTGACATTATAATAGTACATTGCTCGTGAGATTCGGCGTCTATCGGATATGCCAATATTCTGGCAGACTTCTAGTAAAAACAGACCAGGTTGTCTTTAGGGTCTGGATGTAAACATGTAATACATCCATTTCTGTAAAACGCCCCGAAACCACAATCATGGCATCAATGCAATTGCCCGCTCGAACGCTGTACAAGGAGAAGAGATGGATGACATAACGTGGTTCATCAAGAGTGAAGTTCGAAAAGTGGCCAGCAGGCGGACTCTCAGCCTTTCTTGTGCGAATGATGATGATGATGGTGGTCTTTCTTGACCAAAGCCTTCGGTTTCTGCGCGTCGGCTTTCATTCGCGTTTCAACGTTCTCGACGTCGTCGTCAATCGTCATCCGGCGGCTGTCTCCGGCGGCATCAGCGTCGCTGTTGGAGTCAATTGGTCGATCGCCGTTCAACCTGTGCACACCCAGTCCTTCCATACCGGGCCAAAGCACGGGTCCAGACTGTTTGCCGGAGAGGTTGACTCCTCCTCCTTTCAATCGGCCGATCCGTTGTGCTTGGCTCTCAACAGCTTCACTGCGCCAGTTGCCTCTGCTAGCGACTCGAGCCCGCTGTGCCAGACTGTCAACGCCCTCACCCCACATGCGGACTTTCTGTACCTTGCGCAATTTGCGCATGCCGTACATGCATATGACGCCAGACAGGACGAAGCAAGCGGCCGTGACACCGGTGAATCCCCAATTTGTTTCATCGATGAAGTTGTTGAGATTCATGCCGTATAGACCAGCTACGAGGGTGCCGCCAGCCAAACCCAATGTTCCGACGCTGAATTTGAGTTCCAGCAACATGAGCTGATTGCGATTTGCGTCGAGAATGGCCTTGACAACTTCCTCGGTGTTTCTGATGTTGTTGATCAAGTTGCCGGAGATTTCCACTATTTCATCGCATATCTTGTGATACGACTCCAGAAGCATCTCGACTTCTTGATGGTCGTTTTCGGGTCGAGGCTTTCCTATTGCCTTCCGCTCAGTCAAATACATGGCAGCCAGGTCGTCGTCTGCTTCGAGAAGGTCATCGATGGCATCCCTGACAAGTCGTGCCTTTTGCTCAAAAGTACCAAGCTTTTTGGAGTGTATGAGTAGATGTCGTAATTTGTCTCGATCAATATCCTCCTCTAGCTCACTGAGAATGTGTGTTACTGGCTCTCGAACCAAGGCGAACTCGGCCTCGAGACCGGACGTGACGGATATCAGGACCGCTTCGAGCGCCCTGAACTCATACGGGAGATATGTAGAGCCATTTCTTGGATCGGCTTTCTGTCTTAGCTTTCCCTCCAGGTCGTACATAAACAATGACTGGGTGTAAGAGTCCGTGCTTCCGTAGGCATCGAACACAAGTACGCGATCAGACTGGATCAGCACTCGGAGATGTAGAAGGTTTAACAGGATTGCAGAAGGCCGAATGAGGATATGAGGAAGGACCGACGAATCGATCTTTCGAAGGTCGCGCGGCAGTAGACCATATTTGGCGATCAACTCCGACTTTTTGAACTCGCCAGACACAAGCGTAACAGACCCATTCGCATCAAATTCGGTGCAACGTAGTTTCAGGTCCGCACCAACCGGGTTCCTAGATAGGGCACGGGAAAGATTGAAAAGCTGAGCAGATGTCTCATCGTGGCCAGCACCTGCGCCAGGAGGGTCTGGAGGGATTTTGGAGCGTGCTGCTGCTTGTCTTCTTCTCAGCCAACGCAACCAGAAGCCTGGGTTTTGACTACCAGAGCTGGCGTTTCGCGTATGGGGAGGATTAGGAGGAGCGCATTTCGGAGCGGGCAGAGCCTTGCATGGCTCTTTGTGGCGACGGCGGAGTTCGTCAAGAGTGGATGGCTGTACTCGAGAGAAGTGGACAGAGGATGTCGTTATGTACCGGCATTGCGGAGGCCTTGTCGCTGAGACGGAGGTTGTGAAGACTGAGTCGGCCTGTGATCGCAGAAAACGAAGGAGAGTCCGGGAAGGCGTGCAAGGCGTCTTCATTGCCCGCAGGATCAACTGCAGGTATCACGGATACTACACAGGGTGCAGCAACGAGACAAGTACTGCGTGAGGATTGAATGAACGGCTTGTTCAGCCTTTGACTTGCGCAGAGACTTGAACGCGGCTTGGAGAAAAAAGTTGCTTCGGATCACTCAAGTCCTTGGCACGTGTCATTTCGCGTTATCGATATCAGATTTAGATTATCGCCGTCTTCTTGCCGTCATAATTCTTTTCCTCCCCTTCCCCTTGACACTTTCAATTATCATGCAGTATTTGTATGATGGCTCATCAAACAGCCTCAAGGCCAGAATGTTCATGTGTCACATTGTTGTCGACACACCTCGAGAATCCCACAAGAGGTCTTTTACCTGTGCAGAGGGTATTCTGTCAACAAGGCTTCGAGTGCCTACCTACGCTAACCGTTGGTTCTGACCTCACATGCTGCTAACCCCTGATCAATTCATTCCGGCGGTCTGTCACTCTCAGAAACGACGTTCACAGCGTATGCACGTGCGCGCAGCTTGGTAATACCAGGATCCGAGAAGCAGGAACTTATCCGACTCAAATTCCTCCCGAGGTGGAGGAGTTCACCGTGGCCAGCCATGGACGACCACAACCAGATCCCACTGCCACGCGTCTCCAGTGGAGCGACCTCTGTCACACGCTTGATCAGCGTGGCTGCACATGTCCAGCTACAACGCATACTGGGCACCGGTATCGGTAGCTTGCAGACTTTGGTAGGTGTATGCTCAAAGGTGAAGACTCGTGTTGTGAAATTGTTGCTTCATCCTCAGTGCTCAGATAGCCGATGATCTTGAAGAGCACATGGCCGACTTGAACACCCTGGTCTTCGCGGTTAGTGCCCTGCTGCCCCTGGTCTTTATCGCGCCGAGACGAGCCAGCCTTGCCGTCACCAATGATGTGGAAGCAAAACCTCCGTCCCTTCACTCTCTGTATCATCTCTTCCTCATGCTACCATTACGGGGCACATGACTATTGAGGATTTCGACGTTAGTCTGTCACCATACCTCCACTTCCCCAAAGAACTGACGTACGGAGTATCTCTTCCTACCGTGGATCGACGAGGCTGTCAGGGGCCACTTCTCTTGCATAAGAGCCTGGAAATTACCCATCTGATGTCGGACATACTTTTGCTACCGCCTCGCTTCGCTGTGATCACCTTGTGGAGGTTGGGAATTGTCTATTCTGATACGTCCAAATCCATTTTCTGGAACAGGTTTAGTGCTGTTTCTCCGCGCACCAAGCTGATCTCCGCCGGGGTTTGACCAATATCAACTCGAATCCCTATCCAATCAAGGACTAAAGAACGGAGCCTCTTTGCTCGAAAAACAGTTACGCCCTGTCCCAGCCCCGGAACTTTTGCAGGGTGAGTGCTGCACGCTTCACGAAATTATGCGCGCTCAAGTCTTTTGACCGCTCTGCTCGAGTACTCGACCCACTACCCCGAAGCTCGCCTGGGGTAGCTTCTGGGGAATTACCCGTTGTACAGTGTCTTCACCGCACGAGCCTTGTTGAAGAGCATTCCGCAGTCCTACTTCGGCGAAGTCCTTTGCGGCATTTCAGATCCATGTCTATTGCCGAACGCCCCACAGAATGGACAGATGTATAAAGAGCTGTATATCACCTCGGCCTCGGTTGATCTGATCTGGACGATCGCTCAAGTATACTCTTTACAAGTCCTCATAACCGCACAGACATTGCTATCCTGAGGGATCGCTAACCAGCCAAGATGGGTCTCGGAGTACTAGATGATCATCATCTCGAACATGTTCCCGGAACCGCACTGTTGACTGATATGCTGGATGCCGAGCATCATCAATTCCATGGTAAGACAGTCCTTCCTCTTTCCTCCATTCGTTGACTTACCCATACATTCAGGCCGCGACACGACCGGTTTGAAGCACGCCAAGGGACGCAACGCCGACATTGTTCTCGTCCCTCAGCCCAGCGAATCACCCAGAGATCCTTTGAATTGGCCAATGTGGAAGAAAGACCTCGCCTTGCTCATTATCTCCTTGGATACCGCCGTTGTTGGTGCATGGGGTATTTGATGGCTCTGTGCCCTGCTACCGATACAGCTTTCTGACAACTCCTACAGGCCCGATGATTTCCCCCGGTTACGCTACCATGGCCTCAGATTGGCACATGTCCTACAACGCTCTCAATGGAGGATTGGGCTGGGCGGTCTTCGCCATTGGAATCAGTTGTTTCGTGACCAACGGTCTCTCAGTGAAATATGGTCGTCGACCTGTCATCATTCTCGGCAACTTGCTACTGTTCATCTCCTCCGTCTGGGGCTACTTCGCACACAGCTACCATTCGCTCCTCGCAAGTCGAATTTTCGGTGCCATCGGAATGAGTCCCTTTGAAGTTCTCACAACAGCCATCATTGGAGATCTCTACTTCGTTCACGAGCGAGGTCTACGTCTTGCATTCTGGGGTCTCTGTCTGAGCGTGGGTGTCGGAGGAGCGAGTTGTGTTTCCGGCTACATCATTCAGGCATGTTCCTACGCAAATCTTCAAGGACCGGGCTAACGAAATCCAGGATATCGGCTGGAATTGGACGTATGGAATTTGCGCCTGCTTGTATGGAGCATTCATCATCTTGATCCTGCTGTTCGTCCCCGAGACCGTGTATCACCGTGACCCAGCGTACAACCTGGATTTGGGCACGCACGATCACACCTTCGATACCCTTGACACAAAAGAAATGAAACCAGAACACCCCGAGCACCTCGAAATGACCAAGACACGCACCCATGTTGGTGTCGTTTATACCGGCGCCGACGAGAAGCCTTATACTTTTTGGGAACAACTAAAGCCCGTGCGCGGGGTCGAGTCCGAAGAGAATTTGCTGTACATCATCTTCCGTCCTTTTGGAATGCTGCTCTTCCCCCAAGTGCTCTATGGCTTCATCACTTACGGTCTGTCGACGTCGTGGTTGGTGGTCATGATCAGTGTCCTCGCACAGCTCTTTACCGGACCTCCCTACAACTTCAGCATCTCTGACGTCGGCTTGATCAGTATATCAGCGTTGGTCGCTTCATTGCTGGGATTCATGGCCGGGCCTCTGAACGACTGGTCCGTCAAAAAGCTGGCGAGAATGAACAAGGGAATCTACGAGCCTGAATTCCGCCTTTGTCTCAACATTCTCACCCTCATCCTGGGAACGGCTGGTTTCTTTGGCTTTGGAGCAACCCTGCAGAACCAAGCCCCCTGGGCTGCCCCAGTCGTGCTTTACGGCATCATGTATTTCTCCATGTCCTTCTTGAATATCGGGTATGTCTTTCTGCCTCACTTGACTTGTTGTGCGCTGACTCACGATACAGTATCTACGCCTACATCACCGAGTGTCACCGAAACAAAGCTCCCGAAGCATTTGCATCGCTCAACCTGCGAAACATTTACTCCTTTGGAATGTATGTTCCTCTTTGACCCTGAGTCTTGTGGCATTTCGTGCATAACCATCACGAAGCACATGACTGACTGAACCTTCAGGAACTACTTCATCTCATCTTGGATTACAAGCGAAGGACCCCTACAGGTTTTCTCCATCATTGGCGGCTGCCACATCTTCATCTGCCTTCTCACTATCCCGATGTGGATATTCGGCAAGCGCTGCCGCAGCTTCACCGCCAGGAACAAGTTGTTCCGCAAGATCCAGGATTCTTAGCTGGTGATTCTCTGAAGGCTGGCCTCGGCTCGAACGGCCACAGGATATGTGGCCCCAGTCGGCAAAAGAAATGTAGGCAGCAAGTCCACAGCCATGAACTCTGTGCAGACACGTGTAGTCATGTACATACCCAGAATGACAAACATTGAAAGATATAGTAGCCTTGCAGTATATGCCAATGTATCGTAATTGGTTCAACATCAACAAATGCATTCTCGACGACATGATCTACATCGCCCGTGAATCTATATCTACCTACCTGGATACTTGCCGCCCCCGCAGATCCTTAAAGTGGGACATCCCTCAGCAAACGCGGGGTCCTATCGTACTTGTAGACATCAGATATCGAAACGCAGTTCAACTGACTGGGTGGATTCTAACCTCTACGTTTTCTCGGCGATCCTTGATATCCTACAATTATCCAAACCCTGAAGTGTCGATCATATTGAGTCTTAGCTAAACTCGTTTGAACGCCCATCTTCGCACATATCAGCAACACCGGATTAGCAATACTCCCCTAAGTTGACTTCGCGCATCTCCGCGTACGGATACGACTTCGACCTTGAGGCAAAACTACAGATAAGGAGGGGAGCAAAAGAGAGAGAATCGTATACTTTGCGCATCGCCTCGCAGGGCTCTTCGCCATGGCGGCTCTATCAGAACAAGGCAAGATGCGCGTCACTCAGGTATGTACAAATCCATTCCCATACTGTCGTTTGGTCTTCCGTCCAGGACGCGAGCATATTACTTCGCGGCCTCCCCATGCGCTCGGCGGCTCTCCATTGACACTCAGGCGTGCAGATATACACTTACCCGATCAAATCGCTCCGCGGCATATCCCTACCCAGCTTGGACGCCATGTACACTGGCTTCCCTCACGACCGACGGTTCATGCTGTTCAAGGTCGACGAAGGGAAGAACATGCACGTCGCGTATCAGACGGAGATGTGTTTGTTTACCACGGCCTTCGCTGAACCCGAGGGAACAACGCCGAGCACCGTTGTCGTGTCTTATAGCCTTGAGCATACGTTCAATAAACCGGAACAAAAAGTCGGGAAGGACACACTGCAAATACCGCTGACACCGGAGGTAGATGGTCTCGAGGAGGTGCCGATCACGATGCACGGCAGTCCCTGCGTAGGATTTAATATGGGCGAACGGTATAACGCTTGGTTCAGTGATCGGTTTGGGTATCCGGTTAAACTGTTGTATATCGGGAACAACAAGAGACAAGTGCTCGGGAATATGCCGCCCGTCGTCGCGGGGAGGCAGAGGGACGGCTTATCTGAGACGGACGGCAATGCCAACCGTGGCAGTTCGTGGCTGAGCAGTCTGACGTCGACGGCCAATTCGCTGGTCGGCGCGGTCATGGGACCAGGCGAGAACAAGGAGAACGAGTATGATGGTGTCGACGAGGGCATCTCGTTCGCCGATGTCGCGCCGTATCTGGTGGTCAGCAGCAAGAGCTGGGAAGACACGCAGAGGAGGTTGCCCGAAGGTGAAACCATGGACATTTCCAAGTTCCGGCCCAATATCATTGTTGAGGGTGCCGACCAAGAGTACGATGAGGACTATTGGGCGGAGCTGATGATAGGCGATGGCGCGAAGATCGTGCTCACCCAGAATTGCGCGCGGTGTAATAGTCTCAATGTGGACTATAGCACGGGCAAGGTCGGTGTGGGCGAGGCCGGCAAGATCCTGAAGAAATTGAATAAGGATAGACGGGTCGATCCTGGTGCGAAGTGGAGCCCTGTATTTGGACGGTATGGGTTTCTGGCGAGAGTGCCCGAGGGGAAGAATGCCGCTGAGGTCAAGGTGGGTGATGAAGTCAAAGTGCTCAGAAGGAATCCCGAGCGGACCAAATTTGGTAAGTTTGCAACTGAGAGTTGTGATAGCAGATGCTGACTGTATTGTTGCAGAGTGGCCTGATTTGAGCACGAACTGATCGAATGAGTGTATGACTGTTACAGTCAACGAGGGTCCTGTTGTTGGCGTACTGTTGTCCTCTTGGCCTGTTCACCTTTACGGCCGTCATCGCTCGGGTCGGTCGGATTTGTTGTATCGTCTCTTAGCATGTTCTGTTGTCCTGGGTTGCACATTACGACCGATATTTTCTGAAACCCAATTTCGCCTGTCCATACGCCTCCCCACTTTGTCCATAGTCCGATGTAATGCAGATTAAAATAGTCGTAACCCCCATATGCCACAATGTAAGTCATAGCGCATTCGAAGTCAAAATCACTTCGTCTTCTTCGGCTGAAACATGGTACGGACACTCGCTTGACCACTCCCACCTATCCTCCCGCCCAGGCTCTTTGGCACATATCTTGCTTCAGGCTGTCGTATACCTTTTCCGATGCTGTCCAGGATCCATTGTGCCGTCACGTACTTGACTCCCTTGCCCCCTACCAGAGCGACTTCCTTCTGAATTTTGGTTGACGCAAGACCGCCACCACAGTCGTCGCCGATGATGACGTGTGTCACTGTACGACGACCCAGTCCTATCGAGGTATTACCCCCGTGTTGCGCGAAGAGCTGTTTTAGTCTGTGGTCTGAGATGAGTGGGGCAGTCGAGCCATTGAGGTAGATATTTAGGTGGCGGAAGATCTGTGGTGGTTGCGGAGCGGATTCTTTCGTCTCTTCGTCGTGTGTTGACTGTAGTTGCTGTTGCGTCGACGCGAGTTGGGAATCCGGCTCCCTCGGTCGAGATGCGTATTCTGATTCCTGAATATGCGACGTCCGTCTCTTCTTCAATTCTGTGATTGAGTCTTTCCCATCCTCGCCCTCGACACTGTCCGCAGATCGCTTTCGGTTGCCGTCCATCAGACTTCGGATATCTTGCCATCCTTTCTCCCTGAGACCGGGCGCACCCTTCTCCCAGTCGCCATTCTCTTTGCGCCCGTCCTTGCCAAAGCCTTCACTGCCGGCGCCGACGAGGTCTGACAAATGATTCTCTCCACCGCCTCCTGTATTGTCACGAAATTGATGTCTGAGTTTGTATGCCCGGGAGTCGCGCCATGATGTGCTGCCGGACAATCTATTCTCGGCACGCTGGTGACCTGTGGAAGAAGAATTGAAGGGATCAAAGAAGATTCGTGTCGGTTGAGGAGGTGGAGGGAGATTAGGGCGATGCGAAGGCATGTTGTCGAGATTTGAAAGGGGGAATCTGTATCGAGGCCATTGGTGAGTCAACTCGTCGTGAAAGTCGGATAAGTATCTATTCCAGAACGTGCGCGGTGAATGTAGGAAATGTTGGCCTGGTGATGATTTCATCTCGACAGCGGGACAAAACTCCACTCTCTCCAAATCTCGCGATGCATTCACTTTAACATAACGCGTGGTCACGTGAAAAGCCTTGAGAGTTGTCTTCATTTCTCTAGCAGTGAGGCTTCATTTAAGCCTCCTCCTTCTGGAAGATCCTACCTTTCATGTCATACACCCAGAAAATTCAAGCAAACGCTGTTGAAGTAACTCAGACGTCAAGACCATAGACCGGTTTTGATCATCATCCTTTTGACCTCTTGACTGGTATCAGAGCCAGCCCACAACGCCGATGTTAAATCGACTTGCGCCAGCCCCATGCTATCGTGGTATCATGTTGAAAACACTTTTTGGTCATTCGGTCATCCATCTATTCATCCCATAACGCCAATAAGCTCAGATCAGGTTGATTGATCTGGCAAATACAAAGCATACGACATAAATATGAGGTAGCTTATTTGGAGTATTTCTCCCGGAAGGTCTTTGCCGCGTTGACCATGTTGGTCAAGGCAGCCTTGGTCTCCTTCCATTGTCGAGTCTTGAGGCCACAGTCGGGGTCAATCCACAGCTGTTCTGGCTTCAAGTATTGCAACATCTCAGCGATGCGATCCTCAATTTCCTTCTGGGAAGGAACACGAGGTGAGTGAATGTCGTAGACACCAGGTCCAATGTGACGAGGGTAGGCTTCATCCACGAAGACCTTCAACAGCTTGGCGTCTGACTTGCTGTTCTCAATGGAGAGAACATCGGCGTCAAGCGCAGCAATTGCGTAGAAGAAGTCCTGGAATTCAGAGTAGCAGAAGTGGCTGTGGATCTGAGTACCATCTTCGACACCCGCAGTTGAAAGGCGGAAAGAGTCGACGGCCCACTTCAGATAGTCTGTTCGTTCCTTGCCGGCACGCAGAGGGAGACCCTCACGCAGAGCAGGCTCGTCGACTTGGATAACAAAGACACCGGCTTGCTCGAGGTCGACCACCTCATCACGCAGGGCCAGTGCAAGTTGTTGGGCTTGCACAGATTGGTGCACATCGTCACGAGGGAATGACCATCTCAAGCAGGTGATCGGTCCCGTCAACATACCCTTCATGGGCTTCTTGGAGATGGAAGCAGCATACTTCGACTCCTTGACGGTCATTGGTGCAGGACGAGAGATGTCTCCAACGACGATCGGTGGGCGGACACAGCGAGAGCCATAGGATTGGACCCAACCATTGGTTGTGAAGGCATAACCATTCAATCGCTCACCAAAGTACTGAACCATGTCATTTCGCTCTGGTTCACCATGCACGTAGACGTCGAGATCGAGTTCTTCTTGGATCTTGACGCAATCTTGAATCTCCTTCTCGATGAATTTCTCGTACTCCTCAGCGGTGATTTCGTTCTTGGTGAACTTGTTTCGCTGAACACGGATCTCCTTGGTTTGGGGGAAGGATCCAATGGTGGTGGTTGGGAACAACGGCAAGTTGAGACGTTGCTGCTGTTGAGCAATGCGGTCCGGGAAAGGTGATTTGCGGTTGTGCATCTCCTCAGAAACCTTGCTTTGGCGGTCCTTGACCTCCTTGTCATTGGTGATGCTCGAGGAAGCACGGGATTGCTGGGACTTGGCGTTGGCTTCGAGAGCTTCTCGAACTGAGGCCGGTCCATCGGTGACGGCCTTTGCAATGATAGCAATCTCCTTCGCCTTTTCAACGGCGAAGCTGAACCAATCAGCAATCTCAGGGTTCAGTTTCTTCTCGCTGGCGAGAGTGTGAGGGGTGTGCAGAAGCGAGCTGGAGCTGGCAACAATGACTCTGTCCTTGCCCAACTTCTGAATGGCAGCCTCAACGATTTCGATGGCCTTCTTGAAGTTGGTCTTCCAGATGTTTCGGCCATCAACAACACCGGCTGACAGGACCTGTTGAGGGCCCAATGCACCAGCGACAGTATTAAGCTGCTCAGGGTTGCGGACGAGGTCGACGTGGATGGCATAAAGGTTCTTGAGGGATTCGAGGACATCAATGTTGTGGACGATGTCGCCGAAGTATGTGGCAAGTACCACCTTGGGGCCGTTGCTTCCACCGAGTTTCTCGTAGGCAGGTTTGAAGGCATCCTTAGCAGCCTTGGGAAGATCAAAGACCAAGATAGGCTCATCGATCTGAACTGTCTCCGCGCCGGCTTCTTTCAGTTGCTTGAGCAGGTCTTCGTAGAGAGGCAAGAGCTTGTCAAGAGCAGAAATGGGCTCGATAGACTGCCCACGGTCGGCCTTTCCAAGGAACAAGAAGGAAACGGGACCAAGAATCACAGGGCGTGTAATGATTCCAGCTTCTTTGGCTTCTAGAAACTCAGCAACAGGCTTCGGGTTGGAGGAGAGCTTGAAGGTCTGGTTGTCTTGGAGAGTAGGCTTGACGTAGTGGTAGTTGGAATCAAACCATTTGACCATTTCCTGTATCTATTAGATTGATGTTCTGATTGTCGGGCGTCTTTACTCACCAAAGAAGGAACGTCAACTGCGGAAGAGCTGTCGGTTGCAGGCTTCTGAAGACCTCGACCCATAGCAAAGTACTCGTCCAGCTTGGAGAGGTTGTACTTTGTGTAACGTTCAGGAACGACGCCGAAGAGTTGAATGTGATCAAGGACCTGGTCGTAGAAAGCGAAGTCATTGCTTGGGATGGAATCAATGCCAGCGTCCTTCTGGATCTTCCAATGTTCATGTCTCAGTCTCTTTCCTTCGGCCAACAGGTCGTCTTGTGAGATCTTTCCCGCCCAGTATGCCTCCGTGGCCTTCTTGAGGTCACGGTTGGCTCCCATGCGAGGGAAACCGAGAATGGATCTGTCGAAGAATGCTATATTAGCCAGCTGACTGCACATGATATTGGGTTTTGACATACGAAACGACCATCTTGGGCACTGTGGGTGGGAGGCTGCGTCGAAGAATGGTAAGGATGGTTCTGTGAGTTTCTGTACAGTACTGACTGATAAAAGATGAGGATGGAGGATCAGTACAATGCAGAGAAATCAATAGTAATGAAGCGGTGAAAGAAGGGCTTCTTGAAATTGAAAATTTGGAACCTCAGCAATCGTGGGCTTTGACGTGACACGAGAAAGGTATGGCGGTCCTGGTTGCAAGTGGTGGGATGTTTAGCGGCGAGTCTAGGGTCATTTGGCTTTCCGAAGTCGCCAGATCTCCATGCTTGCAGGCGCGCAAGGGCCAGTAACATTTCAAGAGTCTCCCTAGGCTCACTACCTACCTAAGTTAGGCTGCAGCTGTCGCTATTTGCCCTTGACTCCGGCCTGCTTTTCGTGGCACTGGGTTAGGATAATTTATGCGGTAGCCCAGCCTTGTGTCTCATATGCAGCCCAGTGGGTGGCCAGATATCTATGTGCTTGAAAGACGTGCCTCCCCTTCTGATCGAGGAAGCCCAGCTCAACACAGTACATTTACAACCATCCAGGAATTGCTGCTGCTCTACCAGCAACAGCCCGCTTCCCGAACTTCTCTTCATACCATCGTAGCTGACTCACTGCCCGTGGAAGCATCGTAGCAATCTCCACAATGACAAACCACAGAGCTGGACTTTGATATCCCCAACCGAGACCCCAAGCCCCTCCAAGGATCCAGTAGCCTGTCCATTCAAGCCATTCCCAGACGTAATGAGGAAACAAGATGCTCTTGAAGTAGCCTTCAGGAGGAGGAATGACATAGACCTTATCGTATGTCACCTCGACCTTGCCTTCTGACTTGGCTCTTCGCTTCGCGGCGTCGCGTCGCAAGTCGTGCAAAGCTGTTTCTGCCTGAATATTTGACCAAAGACCTTCATTGAAGATGGCGAGTCCAACGATGGTCAAACACACCGAGTTAAAGGAGAAGATTGTACGGTCCCAGAAATCACCCTCCAACGTCGAGTAAACTAGCCAGCATCCAATGTTGCTCGAGTTCAGGTACTGGTGAAGTGCCATAGCCGCTGCGATGATCGGATGGATAGGTGACATACTTGGAGCAGTAAATAGAGGCATGCTGACTGCTCGATTCGCGTAATGAACGATATACAAGCAAGCTAAAAGCTCACATTGCATTGGGAGGCCGGTGCCTAGGAAGCTTGTACTCGATTGTGGTGCAGGTCGTATCTTGGCCGGTAGGGTGTAGACGATGTAGAGAAGATTCAATGGACCAACAGATTCGGCGAGAGTCCATGCCAGTCGACCTGGAAGGTTGAAGCGAGATGCAATGGAAGTCTTGCCCATGGCCTGGAGTTTGCCTAGTGGTGTCCATTGTAATATCGACAGCTGATAACACGTTAGCAAGCTCTATCGTAGGTATGTAGCCTTGGGCCAGACATTGTCGCATCTACAAGATCATACATGTCCAATTGCTGAAAAGCCTCTCGATGTAGCACATCTCAGGCAACCAGAAAAGTTGTCTCCAATGCCCAGAGATGCACAGGGGACAAGGGTGTAGAGCGGGAACTTACGATAGGCCAGAGTCTGAAGAAGTTGAAATTGAAATTGAACGCCTGAGGTGATGGGGGAAAGAATTCCCCAACAGAAGGCAGGCTCGAGATCCAAGTACTCATGTTTGCGAAGTCACCGACGCGAGTATGCAAGCGACGTCTCCTCTAATGGACCAAAAGTCGACTTTTATAGCAACCATAAGGTCAAACAAACAGACAAACGGGTCATGACGATGTGATAGATAAGTGAAAACTTCCTGTCGCCGCTTTTACTAACACTATCAGACAAACGGGTGAAGGCTAACATCGAGTGTGTCCACTGACACAGCTTATGGCATCGTGAAATACATAGAATGCATCAAGTCTTTCGAGCTTATTCGCATAGCTGACCTCGTTTGAACGACAATACTGTACTGGCACCAACCACTACAAAGTGACAGAGCCAGCCCACACCCAAACAAATCCACCATTCCAGGCGCCGGCCAGACCCAACATGATACATTTGCGACCAGTCTAACCAGGAGGCAGAGTGCTTGCATCAACCACCTCGTCCGCCTCTCGTTGTAGTTCTTCGTTCGGTCCGTACAATGGAGATCTCGGTAGTGCCATCAGACCCGTTCGGGTAGACTCCAGAATACCGAAGGGGGCGATCAACTTCATGAATGAATCGATTCTGCTTGGCTTAGCGGATCTGACACACTGTTAGCATTTCATCGAGGCGGTCTTGAGCCATCCTGGCACTTACACTTCCACGATACAATTGTTCGTGCTGATGTCGAGAACCTTTCCTCCGAATTGATGAGTCAGGTGAGTGATCGCTTCAAGATGCTCATGTTTGTGTCGCAGAGCCTGGCTGGCAGCTAGTCGGCCCGGATGGTAGCTAGGTTCCTGACCCAACATCTCCTTTGCCCGTTGGATGAAGCCCGCCTCTTCTGGCTTGCCCTCCTCGAGCTCCTGTAGTCGTCTTTCGGCACCCTCCTCCACAGCTTCCGTGTCGCCCTCACTTGCTCCACCGAATTCTTGGCTTGTCATTTCTCGGTGATGCTCCATCAGTTCTTCGTAAACTTCGGGACCGAGGATGGAGACTTTGGCAAGTAGCAATTCACGTTGCACAAGAGCAGCAGAGGTATAGTCGAGCACAGCCCAGACAGGGACCAGATCCTCTAGCTGTCGTCGAGCTTGTTCCACCACGCCATCCTGACCTTTCAATACAATTGTCATGCGACTCAGATCTTCCACTTCCGTATTACACACGACCAAAGAATCGATATTGAAACCTCTGGCCGCCAAGATACCTGATACTCGAGACAAGACACCCGGCTCATTTTGCACCAAGCAATTTAGAACGTGTTTCTTAGACGGTATCTGAGATGCGACAGGCGTTTCGTAGAGGATCGATGAGACAGCTGCAGCGGCGCCATACTGGGGAGAAGTGTCGGATATAGGTAGAGGGAGAGGTGATCGTCGGTGAAGAGCTTTGTATGCTAATGCTGAGGTGGAATTTGTGCTTTTTGATCTTCTGGAGGCAGGGGCAATTGAGTCGAGAAAGGAGTTTCCATTCTGCGCCCGAGGAGACTTGAAGGAAGCCCTGCAGAACACGGAAAGGAGGTTGCGCGTGCCTGCCATGATGGCGGCAGGTATGGAAGAACGGGGTCAGTGAGTAGGAAAAACTATGTCATGAAGTACGTTGGTTGTTCACAACGGCGTGTGAGTCATTGAGAGACAACCCTGTATAAGACAAAATTTCGAGATGGAGGTGCTGATCAACAAAAGCCGAAGCGAGATCGGGGACCGGCGCAAGAATAAAAGCCAAGAACGGAGTTTGCCCCGGAGTTTCAGGCACCTCCCCGGAATCCACGGTTAATGTATTGAGCCTTCCGACCCTCACACCTCTACAACACCTCTATATCTCATAATCCCATCGTTCAACCTCTTCATGGCCTCTATTACCCCCTCCTTGGTCATGGGAAACTTCTCTACGATAGGTTTGACGCCATATTTGGCAGCGAATGCCAACATGGCTTTGACTGATTGAGGATGGGCACCTCCTGATCCGACAATGCTATATCCGTAAAGTACCAACGGGAGTACTGGCACAGGCATCGCGTCGAAGCTGATGGTAAGCGGGAAGATTTTGGCGAACGGGGCCAACACTGGGATGTACCTGGTCATGTCAATCGCTTTCCGACCATGAAGGAGTCATCATATCCACTTACAGTGACAGATCTGGCAGAATCGAACTCGTGATGAGCAAGGAGTCAACAGGTTTGATGCCTTGAAGCTCTGCAACTCCTTTGGTTGCGTGGAACTCGTTCGCTCCAAGCTTGAATGCTTCTTCCCTTTTCGACTCGGTGCCGGAAAACACAACCGCCTCCATGCCCATCTTGTTTGCAAATTGGATAGCCAGATGCCCGAGGCCTCCAACGCCCACAACGCCGATTCGATCTCCAGCCTTGAATCCATGTTCATATAATGGGCCCCAAACCGTTGCACCAGCACACATCAACGGGCCTGCAGATGCAGAGTCGATTTCATCTGGGATCTTGAAAAGAGCCGATACATCCCAGGCGATCCCTGTTCCGAAGCAACCCTCGTCCAAGTTCGCCGTACCGAACTGCTCAGAGTTTTGACACTTGAAGTGTTGTCCAGTCATGCAGGGCTTGCAGTAACCACAGAACTTCTGCATCCATCCCATTCCAACACGGTCACCCACTTTCAAGTCCGAGATTTGTGGCACCATGGATCCAATTTCGCGGATGATGCCAACACCTTCATGGCCCAGCCCCTGATCGTTATGTCGATAGTGCTCATCAGTACCACATACTCCGCTATGCGTGAGCTCGATCAGGGCTTGGGTCGGGCCGACATCACGGTGTCCCTTGGCCTCGACGATGTCGCCGGTGTTGGAACCTTTGAATACTGTGAAATCGATGCCCATGGTTCCTCTGGGAAATTCTTGTTCAAGTGGATGGATAGTTGCCTTGAGTCTGGAGTAGGATTACTCCATCGGTTTGAACCATCAGGGAAAGATCGGTCTTTTTATATATCACATCTGCCATGCATGTCGTCGTCTCTCCTTCGCCTGGCGTTCCACTTGCCGTGCTGAATGCATATATAATCATTGATTGATAATTTGCTAATCATGTCGCTTTGGCCCCCAACAATCAATGATTCTAGGCGGCCGTGCTTACGAATGAAGCCGCAACGATGGCTTTCCACATCATACTCTGTATTGAAGACATGCACAAATTACCAGAAACGGAAAGAGGTATCTATGTTGGACGCATGCAGTGATACGGTCACTCGGAAATGCATAAAGTCTCTCAACCCTGACTCACCTACATTTGGCGCCCCATGATTAGCCTGGCGTCTTGACACCATTGCTTCAATCCAGCGTGTCGGTCGCTTCTTTGCATGGCGACTGCTTCAAAAATCTCCCTCGAAGTAAGGAGTAGAGAAAATGCTAAACACGATGCAGATCGAGTCAGCCTCACGTTCCAAGCATGTCATGACGTATCCGTGAAATCATGCAGGTACCACATCAAACCAATCTCATCTCACATAGACGGAGGTCTGAGGTGAAATACAACCATTGCTCTCCCTTTAGGACTAATTACAGGCGGCACAATGACTGTCAACGGCAAGTGCTACTGCGGAGCCATTCAATGGCACGTTGTTGGACCAGTCGACTTCACGGCCGTATGCCATTGCAGAGACTGTCAGTGCATCAGCGGGTCGGCATACGGCTCTACGTCTCTTATGATCTATGACCCCAAAGGTGTCGAGTTCTCTGGAAGCATTAAACCAAAGGTATACCACGCAAAGTCAGATGCAGGTCGCAACACCCAACGGTATGTTTCCGAGTGCCTTTGACCTCAAATCCTTGTTTGACGTGCTCGTGCCAAGTGGTTTCTGCCCCGAATGTGGCACAGTTCTATTCAATCATGTCTCGGAGGGTGAAGAGGATGAACATTGGGCGATGCGCACCGGAAGTATGGCCGACTCCCGAGCTCTGAGGATGGACAAGGAGATCTTTATGAAGTCGAAGCTTTCCTGGGTGCCGATCGTGACGAAGGCGGACAGCCACTATATCGGGATGCCGAAACGGAAGAACAAAGGGCCGCAGACAACCATCGATGAGACGTTGAATGAGGGAGAGCAGCTGAAAGGGGAATTGCCTGCTGCGGACGACGATGCGGATAACGGGGAACCCGGAAAAGACGACCAAGGACAAACGACGATTGAGCAGAGTTTTAATGGCAAGGCTGCAGGCCCAAAAGGAACCTGGGGGAACCGTAAGCGCAAGAAGACTTCCTGAGCTGGCGTAGAGTTGTTGAGAGGTAGTTGAGGCGGCCGGTCAGGACTCCCACCAGAACGATATGTTCTTGTACGTTGAGTTCGACAGCGTTACTTTCGCCCTTGAAGGATTTGTAATTCCCGTAACGGAGGGATGTCTTCGAGCATTCCCGCCTGCAACTTGTCCCATAAGATACCACAAGAGGGTTTGTGCACGGTTCCTTGTTGACCAGCTTCATAGACATTGGTCGGCGTGACGATAAAGTCACAAACCGTGTCAAATTCCTCGGGATGCAACTCCTCGTCTAGAAGCTGACAATCATGAACGAGGGCAATGCAAGGGACAGAAAGAGCGACCGTATTGATGCTTGTCAACATCGCCCACTCGAGGTCGAAGAACCCATGTCCCTTACCAAACCGGATCCCAGCGTGATTGATAGCTCCAGTTCCTGTGACCATGAGCTGAACTTTCAAGCCCGAAGACTGCAGGTCATAGAGAGTGATATGTCGGCCCAAGCCAGGTCTCTCCATCGCATCCAGCAAACTGGCTAATTGCCTCTGCTGGGTTGTTCTGATCACCTCGGGATCCAGTAGCCAGAACCCTCGACAAATACCATACGTCGTGACGAGAACTTTTTTGCCATCACAAAGAGCTCGAAATCGAAGCTGTTCCAGGCAATTGTCCGGTGTAATGAAGACGACTTGAGCATTCTTGTAAGATGGGAGCGAACATAGTCGTTCTGTCGCCTGGTCGGAGCCTTCGAAGTCAGCAATGAAGCTGGAGAAGTCGTAATGGAACCGTGAATCAGGTATGGCGACCTCGCGGAGTCGTGGCCACACAACGTGGCGGATCTTGTCCTTGTGCTCGTGAGCCATACAGTTATATTCTTTCCGAGCCGATCGAGCCCTCGACGCTCGCTTATGGTGGAAAGCAGATTCCGCGCCTTTCTTGTGTCAAGAGTTTCTGACTCGAATGTCGATCATTCACCACAATCATCAGATTTCTCTTCTCCGCCTCCACAACGTGCGGGGAGTTATCTGGATCATCAAGTCGTGTTGGCCTCTTACTAAACCACTGGCTACAGTATGGACTTTGAGAACACCATATGAACGGCATGGCATGATAGGTCGTCACCTAGATAACTTTGCTGTTCAGATGCACAGCCGTTTAAAGCATTGCGAGAGTTTGCCGCTCCTCGAAAGCCCAGTGTCTAGCATGTCTTCCCACGAATTCGACAAGGCTGGAAAGCCTCGTTGATCAACTACGACCCACTGAGGTGACATGGGCAATACGATTTCTCCAAGATGGCTTCAATCCCTCGGTTACCCTTCACATGCGATGGCGAGGTTTCCGCACCTTTTGATCAACCTTGTGCTATTGGATGACATGCTTGCATCGCACAGTGTCCCACCGAGCAGTATATATGTCTGTCCACCCATAGAGCGACTGTTCTTTTGCATCAACACTTCTCTACGTTGACCTTTCGCAGCCAGTCCTTTCCGCGCGGGTCGACTGCAATTGAGACCAGATCATTTCGACCATCAGCACCATGGCAATCGGAATTCGTCAACTCCAAGGCCGCAACCTCTATCGGTTGATGCAGTTCATTTGTGGCACATCGTTCATGATGTACGGAGTAAGTCATCGAGATACCTTCCTGCCCTCTTCTCTGTCTGACCTGACGATAGTACGACGCCGGTGTCCTCGGCGGGGTCCTCCTTCACCCAGCATTTCTCGACGCCATAGGCAATCCTACCGGCGAATGGGTCATCCCTTGGATCTCCAGCTCCTACAGTCTCTCAGCATGCATTACCTGTGCGATTGTAGCGACATTCGCTTTCAAGATCGGGCGCCGTGGCACTATTATTCTCGGTAATGGCGCCGCGGTCATCGGCTCCATCATTCAAGCGACCGCCTACTCCGTGGCCCAACTCACCGTCGGACGTGTCATCACCGGCTTCGCCATCGGGTGCATCTCCAGCGCGGTGCCAACCTACCTGGGCGAGACAGGCGTCGAAATCGGTGACAGAGGCCCAGCCAACGCCTTCAACGCGATCATGCTGATCTCCGGAGTCCCCATTGCGTACTGGATTGACTACGGCTTCACCAAATCCGAGGCCCAATACTCGTGGCGCGTGCCCATTGCGTTTCAGTGCATCTTTGCCATTGTGGCGGGTACGTGCATGTTCTTCTTGCCCGACACGCCCCGGTACTACTACGCCCGGAACCGGCACGCAGAAGGCGATGAGGCACTCTCGCGCCTCAACGATGCCCCGATCGACTCGGAGAAAGTGCAGATCACGAAGCGAGAGATCTTGCTGGCCATCGAGGCTGAAGATGAAGCGAAATCCAGCCTGCACTGGAAGATGTTTTTGACTTCGGGCATCATCGACCGTACTCCTATGAAGATCATCCGCCGACTGTGCATTTGCTTCTGGCTGCCCATGATCAGAGAGTGGATGGGCTCCAGTCTCATGGCCTACTACAGTGAGCCGACCTTTACCTTCTCTCCACTCGTGTACATGCTCGTTGACAAGGTCACAGGTTCCGTAATTCTAAGTCGTGTCGGCGCCCGCGCCTCGCTCGTCAGTCTATTGTCTGGCATTCTCAACATCTGTTTCGCCGCGGGCTGCGTGCCGCTGTACTTCACGATCGAGCGCGTCGGACGCCGTTCTGTGTTGATGTACGGCGCAATGGCAATGTCGGTTCTGATGCTGATTTTCACGGTCCTTCAAGCTGTACCACCCACACAGTCGATACAATGGGCTGGGATCGCTATCATCTTTGTATTCCTGTTCGTCTTTGGGTATGCCTGGCAAGGCTGTGTCTGGCTGTACTGTTCGGAGATCCCACCACTTGAGTATCGACATATTGGAGGCGCCTTTACGGGATTCGGCGAGTGGTTGATGACGTTTATTACTGTATTTGCTGGACCCATCGGCCTTGCGAACATCGGTTGGCATTTCTGGCTATGGGTATTGAGCGGCAACCTCGTTGCCATTGTCTTTGTCTTCTTCCTGTGTCCAGAAACGGGCGGGAAGACATTGGAGCAGGTTGATTACCTGTTCTCAGAGACTGGGTTTGTTGCGGGACTTAAGAAGGTTGAGGACATGGAGCAGAACTGGGTTGAGACCGAGACTGCAGGAGATCAGTTCGAGATCAAAGAGTAAATTCCGGATTGTGTCCGTTTGGCTCTTTCGGCAAGATTACGCTGCTTTTTGCGAGTTGTTGTCAAAGTTTACATGATAGAATTCGTTGATTGCTCTGCTTCGAACCTAATTGTTGCTCATGTAATGTCCTTGCGTCTGGCATACAACAAGACCACCGTCGTCGCCATGGCAAGTGGAAAAAGTCTTCACCATCACACCCTCTACCCACCAGTGTAGTTGCAGTCAGGTCGATAGTCAATTGATAGCCCGATCCTATTGTGATCCCCTGGTTTTCTCACACCCACCAGACCTCTGTTCTGCGATAACCGCCAACGCTCAATCACAGCTTCTGAACTCCTCTAGTAAACAATGATCTTGATACCGTCCTCGCCAGCAGGCCACGAGATCTCGACAGCGTCGCCCTGAGGCACGATCTCGCCGCCGTAAACTTGACCGGCAATCAGACTGCACGGGAAAAAGCCATCCGACGCGGCCGCTGGACCAGACCCTGCTTGGAAGCTGGCCTCACCACCGACGACGATGTCTATGGATCCGAGATCCACGTCCCGCAGATTGCCTGATGGCCAGGAACTGGCGTCAGTGGTGGCGGGCGCCAGCGATGTGAATAGCTGGGCCTGCAGAGATCCGGTGGCCCACGAGGCGGCGTTCCCCAAGGCGAAAGCGATCTGGCACCAGTTGGAGCTGTACTGAGCGGGCAGCTCGAACGTCACAAGCGTAGTAATGTCGGCTCCACCGTCGGTTATCGATCGGTAGACGAGACCTTGCGAGGTGTGGAAGTCGACAGCTCCTGACGCCGTGTTGTACTGGGAGGTATCATTGGGGAAGATCTGGGCGATGGGAGCTGGGTCGCCGCTGGGACCGGTATAGGTATCACCACCCTGGTAAGGAGCGCCGCCAGATGTACTGTCAGACGTACTGCTAGTCGTAGTCGGTAGGTTGGCTGCGGGAAAGTCGGAGCGGCGAGTGAGGGGCGCGGCTTGTGTGAGCATGGCGCAGCTGAGCATAGTACCGATGACGGCAGCGAAGATGTTGAACTGTCTGCGTATATTGGGCATTGTGATGTAGGTCGTGTTCGAATTAGAAAATTGATGCTGATAGAATGGACTTGGTGCTGGAGCTCGAGCTGTAAGTGATCAGTAGTGGGTGATTGATTAGGCTGAAAGCAATAGGGGTACGGCAGTGAAGAAATGAAACAAGAACTTCGATCAGTCCACTGTTGTATTGTACTTCGTACTCAGTGTGTGTGCTTGCAGAGAGGCAACTTAGGACGTGGGAGTATATTGATCTTATAAAGCCGCCAGCACCACGGCCTCGCACGAACAATCATGTTGCGAGCGAAGAGAGGCAATGACAATGACAATGACTGTGTATAAGCTGAGAATGGAAGCGAAGAGGACAAAAAACAGGTCAGCAATGACACCGCAAGGTTGGCACGAATTGATCACGGTTCGTATCAGCGAAGAATTGAAAGAAGGCTGAAGCTGCTTGGCTTTGTATTCCCGCAACACTTTACCATCGAGCGAGGCTGAGTGGTGTTTGGTCAGCCACGTATCACAGTGTATGCTGACATATTAAGACAACCCTGAAAGGGGAGATCTCTTTTGACCAGCCTTTGCCTGGCTTGCAGTCTTTTCACACCGTAGAACTGTATCGCAGCCGATCATGTCCATGAACTTGTCACCACATCCCAAGACACTTCTTGGGTCTTGATCTCAAGCTGAGCATATCCTGACTATCATTGTAGTCCGACGTAAGCTGACGACTGATAGGTTGTGGTTGGAACAATCGACTCGTGCTTGTCAGCTTGCGCTGATGATTGTGGCTGACATAAGATAAAGTTGTCTCGCACCAGTGTCGATTTCGCAGTAATTTTCCGTGTTGCCCATGATCACAGCATTTGTGAAGCCAACACAGGTTCCACTCCACGCGAACTTCGTGCTGAATTTCACGATACGGAGCGCGAAGCTGCCAGCACAACAATGGCAGGTGCGTGGCCGACACTCACTTCAAGTTTGGTCAAGAGGTGGCAATGAGAGTCCGGCGAATGTCCTCATAATGCAACGTCTTCCATATCCGCGGTCTCTTTACTCTCCTCAACCTCCGACTGATGATTGTGGTCTTCGGAGACTCGTGTAGGCTCTTCCGTTGTGGACTCGTCTTCGTCTTCTTCGGATTCCTCGGCTCGTTCCTCTTCCTTAGCTTCTGCGGATGGTCTTTCTGCCTCCTCCGGTGCTTGGGGTTCTTCATCCTCTTCCTCGTCCTCTTCCTCTTCATCATCTTCTGTGGCGGGCGGTGGCACATCTTTCTGGGGAGGAGTAGGAGGCACTTCGGGCCCCGGCTCTCCACTGACCGTGCTCTCCCTATCAGGGCTTTTTGGCGTTGTTGGCTCTTTCGGCCTTTGTGGAATATTGGCTTGCTCCGGATGTGCTGCTGCGGTGCCGTTGCCTGGTCTCCCACCCAAGGATGGGTTCGATCCAACTTGCCTTTGCTTGGGATCCGCATCCAGATAGTACCCACGAACCCCGATGATTCTTCCTTCCCTCTCACACCCTTCGATCCACTCCGGTCTCACAACGGGTATATTCATCTCGTTGGCTCTTTCCCAGTTTCGTCCTCGTCCTTCTGTACAGACAAAATGTGTCGTGTCGATTCGGACAGTGTCAATGAGTTTGGCACCTATGCGGTCGACGGCCGTTTCCAAACTTTCCCTCAATGGCGGTGGTAGCACTCCGGGGGTTACCGTGATACCTGTCAGATTGTTCATACTATGTGTTTTGACTGTGAGTGTGTTGCTGGTGAATGTGCCGCCGCTTGTCCTTAGTACGAGGTAGAAAGAGTACTCTGTATCGACTGCCAAACCGCTGATTTTCGTGGCTTGTTGTTCGAGCGGTCGGGGGATGTTTCCTGCTTTGCTTCCATTTCTGTACAAAGAGAGCGATCGCAGCGTGGTGGTCGCAAGCTGGATAGGATCCCACTCTAGTACGAGGGATGTTTGAGTTGCATTGCGAAGACTTAAGACGGGCGTAGCTGGAGTATTTATGCCATAGGTAGTCAGGATCTGGTTCTGCAAGGCTGCGAAAGCAGCTTGTGTCTTCTGTTCGGCTTCGAGGTTTTGTTTGACAGTAATGTCGACAATGGAGCCCGATGCTATTGACGAGGGTAAGAGGATGGAGGGGAATTCTATCTGGGAGCTTCGTTAGACGTGTCGGCGCAAACCAAGCATACCAATTTAGCATACCAGTCTTTTGTCTTCGGTAAGCAGGACTGCAACCCCGGCGTCAACCTTGCCAACGGTCAAGGACACCAACATTGCGAAAACGCTCAACCTAAAGGGCAGGGAGAATGGGCGACGAAGAGTAAAAAACAGCGAAAGTCGTGCACGTCTACAGATGCAAGTGTTGATCGGCGACAGCCTTGAGATGCGTCGCAGACATGTGTCAAGTCAGGTACGGAGTACATTCCAAGAAATGTAGTGTGCTCCACCCTACGAATATCGCTACTCAGGAGCATTATGTCAACACTTGTGGTTCTTCTCATTCAGAAGAGGTACGAATTCCTTTGCATTTCCAAGATTGTACAGGGTATCTTATCATACACAATAAAGTCACAGAGTCTGCCATGATCTTGGCCGGCAGGTTCTCTTCTCCACTAGTAACCATGCACAAATGACCATGCCGTTTTAGAAGCCGGTTTGGCCTCGTCTCTGCTCTTTTCAGTCCAGAACCTCACGGGAGCAGGTCGGGGCACTTGACTTGGACGACGGCTTGCCTGCTTCAGTGTCTTGACAATCATGTTGGTTGACCTGAGCAGCTCGTGGTAGGGAACAGTCAGACCATTTGGACTGTAGACGCATAACTCGAGAGTGCCGGTCAAGCCTGGTCTAGCATCTGTCCCATCTTTGGGCCCGGCTTGACTTCTTCCGTTGAAATGAAAGCCATTGCTTCGCAAGCTGTCTGCGAAAGCGTTGGCCCATCGGCGCCTCAATCGATTGCGCATAACAGCTTTCGGAACTTTCTTTTGGCTCGTAGCGGCGACAACGCACCATTCAAGTGTGTCGGAGGAGACCTTGGAATACTTGTCTCTCAAGGCATGGATTTTCGGATTGAACCAATCTCTGATTTCGCGCTCATCAATTGTCCTGGGTCGTAGGACTGGGCAGAATCTAGCCCTCAACCCATTAACAGCAGGACCGCGGATGTCTTTGAAAGGAGGGAAGTTTGGCATATCGTGAAGACGGTGGCGCAAAGAGACATAGCGATGTGTACCATCAATGTTATCGATCAGGTAATGTGGTGAAGGAATTTAATGAAGAGTCATGGCTGTGGATAGTCTCGTGTTGAACGCAGGCAATCGTGGAAAAAGTGACTGCGCCCAAACAAAGAAACTTTTGGAGACGTACAGTACTAGTAGTAGGATAATATGAGGACTTTGGTTCAGCCCACTTAAGTTAAGTACTCCAGTCACTCACCACCAAAACGTCACCCGCTGCTTTTTCGCCTTCCTCAACTTCGAGTTTCCACGAGACCAATACCACATCACACATTCAAACCACTCACAACAACGATACGATCACCACCTTCTCACCACCCTCGAAATACTCCATCACACCCAACGCATCGACTTCACAACTGAAAAGACGTCAATATGCCTAAGAATAAGGGAAAGGTGAGTCAAACCAATCTACACACCGCATGCGCTCTCCCACCCCCACCACAGCCCTGTCGAGTGTCGCTCGCAACAAACCGGCATAGACGCGCATCGCTTTCGATTAGACGTCCAATACTGACAGTTACGAACAGGGAGGTAAAAATAGGCGTCGAGGAAAGAACGAGAACGACAACGAAAAGCGAGAATTGACCTTCAAAGAGGAAGGACAAGAGTACGCCCAAGTCATCAAAATGTTGGGCAACGGCCGACTCGAGGCTCTGTGTTTCGACGGCGAAAAGCGTCTAGCACATATCCGAGGCAAACTGCGGAAGAAGGTCTGGATCAACCAGGGCGACATCATCCTACTGTCCCTGCGCGACTATCAAGACGAAAAAGGCGATGTCATCCTAAAATACTCGGCCGACGAAGCCAGATCACTCAAGGCCTACGGCGAATTACCCGAGAACGCAAAGATCAACGAGACAGATACCTACGGTCACGAAGGCGTGGATGACAATGTCGAGTTCGACGAGGACAGAGACAGCGAGTCGGACAAGGAGGTTGATATTGATGATATTTGAGTGAAAAAGTTTTCTCGTTTGTGCCATGGACTGTTGAAGACATTGGGTCAATCATGCGGAAGACCCGACTGGGAGACTGCCTTGCGGGCTTTCACAGACACGACTATTGATGGGAGTTTGGGAGAGGAAATCCAATTGCATGAAAGACTTGCACAATGACATTTCTTCATTTTCTTCCATCGTTGCTCTGCGCAAGTCTGATTGCTGAGCCTGGTCCAGACGGGAAGAAGACCTCTGCATTTGCACCTCCCTGGGCGCCCGGAACGGGAGAGCCTCCATCCCCTGAACTGAATACGACTATTGTATAGTCGATATGTCTGGAGTGCAACTCACACAAGGCAAAGAGGGGCATTTCACCATGTTCCTGCAAAGATGTGATCGTAAGGTCTCAAGTGTAGTAATCGCTTCTAACATGAGCCATGCTCATACACCATATGACAATGTCAAAGATGCCCCAGTCAATGCCACTTAGTGTCCTAGTCCATACCAATCCGATCGTAATGGTATCATGCGCGACAATCCATGGTAAGCCCCATGTCGGCGTCCAAGGTCTCGATCATTGCTCTTCGTCATCAAACACGCTCCTTGTAAAGAACCTGACAATCTGTCTGCCCGACTCTTTACCCACATGAGGATCCAGCTCGTCGAGCGTCATATTCGCCACCTCCAGCACATTCCTGGCCTCAAGGTACAACCGACTCGCATTCTTGTTGTTGACACCAGGAATTGTCCTCAGCAGATCCTGTGGCCCGGTATTGAAAGTCTTCTCGTCTGGATCTTCATCTTCAGCAAGACCCAATTGCACGGCCCTCAATGGATCCGGCTCTTCCTGCTGCTTTTTCAATTCCTCAAAGATTTCGGCCGTCTGGTACGGCGAGCTCGACCAAATGACTTTCAGCCGCGGGAATGCCAGCGTGAGTAAAACAAGTTTACTCTGCAAATCCTTCGTATCCGAGTCTGGCATTTTCAGCGTCGCCACCGAGGTCAAATCCGCGAAGGGGTCAAGCGTGAAGCTCTTGTTCTGGTCGAACTCGATGAGCAAAAAGGGGTACTTGTAGTACTGGAGCATCGTCTCGGCCTGGTTGAACAGCCTTCCATTCTTGAAGGAGGCGATGAGATCGCGTACGGATTTTCGCTCGACGCAAATGTTCGGTGAGAGAACGTAATCTCCAACAGTAAGTTGACAGGGGACAATCTGCATGCTTCGGCCGTGTAACAGACTGGGCAGCGCGGATCGGAATTCTCGCACGTCAACGACGACCGTTGGAGGAGCGGCCGTCGCGGCGAGTCGTCCGCCACCAGCGATTCGAGTATTAACTGTTCGTAAGAATGCTTCTTGCGGATCGATGCTGCCTGCATCAGTGAGTGTGACGGCCATGGAACCCCGTTCTTTGATCAATCTCGTGAAGGCCTCCTTCTCACGCCGTACTGCAGACAAATATCGTTGTTCCTCGACACTGCCGCCATAGTACATGAAATATGCACGCACACTGCGGTCTGAATGGCTCGACCTGTACACTTCGACGCGCCGGATGAAGTCGGTGGACGGCGAGTACATGATAATGTATTTGGGTCGGATCTCTTCAAGCAGTAAATCGTCCTGATCGCCGTCGTATGGGTGCACAACGATCTGATCGTCCGGGCTGTACAACTCGAAAAAGTCTTCGCCGGCGTCTTTCAAGTCGTCGAGGATGACATCCTCTTTCTGGAAAGATTCGGATTCTGTCGGTCGCAATTCCGCGAGGAGACTCGCGACCTGTGCTGCCTTGTCCTCGATGGCAGCAATGGCACCGTTGCTGCTGCGTGACGGGTTGATGCCCATGCTGCCACCACCGCGCATACGCCGCCGCTTGTTGGCGGGTCCTTTGCTGCTCAATCGAGCTGCAGCTGTTCCTCCTTTGATATCGTTGAGAGATTTCTGGTTCTCTTCGAACAGTGAGGCACTGACTTGAGCGAATGTCTTCCTCCAGCCTAGGTATTCGCGTAGTTTCCTTCTTAGCATGAATTCCGCAGAACCCTTCTCTTCTTCTGCTTCAACTTCATGAGGCGCTTGACCGTCATTCATGTCTTGTGGCAAAGGTTTCACGTGCATTGTCTGAAGATAGTCCTTGACCTGGCGACAAGTTCTCTCGTCGTTGCACATGATCAAGACAGTGTCGTTGGAGTCGTCCCGTAGACTCGGGTTGAGGTAGGTGTCGATCTCAATTTCCTGCAAGATTTCGGCGAGGACCGCCCACTTTGGCTGTTCTTCTAGAACCGGGGTGAGTGAATCAGGTAGCTTGGATGCTGGTAGGGCGCCAGTATCTTCTGTCTTGCCCCTGTAGACTCTAGCTTTTGCGGTTTGGAAAATGACGCCAGCAGCATCTGAGAACAGCCAGGGTGACTGATCCTGTCTCATTGAGCCGGGAGGCGGGGCATGTGTGGCATGCACTGTGTCGAGATATTTGAGGAGGGAGACACAGTCGTAGCTCAGTAGTGAGTGCAAGATTGACCGTAAAACTGTAAGATCATTCGCGATCTGCTTCGTTCGCCAGCTGACACGATGCCACACTGGATCAAGCTGTCTCCGTACGACCGCGTCGAAGTTTGTATGCAGTGCAGAGTCCAAAGTCCAATCTTCCATTTCGAGCCCAAGATTGGCCTTTCTGAGTTCGGAGATGCTCATTTCCACACATTCCAATACTGCGGTCTGTATTGCCCGCATTGCGTCAGTCATAGGGATTTCCAGTTCAATCACGTCGGCTTTCTTCTTTCCCTCCAGACTTTGCGCTATCGAAACGTGGAAACGGGGCCACAGAGAGGGTTTTCTCAAAAATAGGTTCCTCATCATGGCCGCCAGAGGCGCATACGATGAGGTCAGGGGTTCAGGCGCGTCGCTAAAGGCTTTGAGGAAACCAATCTTGTTGAACTGTCGAAAGTTGCGTATGATGAAGGCTTCGGTGCTTGTGGCAACGACGCGCTCGGCGTGCAGAACCACTAGCCCAGTCACCGTCTCCGGGTCGAGCAACTTAGAGAGCAAGTCGACGATGAGGATTCGACTAGTGACCGAGACTATGCCGCCTTCCGAGTACATCTTCTCTCGCGCTGCTACAGTCGCCTTGTCGGTTCTGATTACCCGGAGACCTTTGGCGAGCGGACTGCGAGAAATCGCATAGTGCTCAGCGAGCGCCTCTCCGATCCACTCATTCTCGCGGTCTTCTGCTCCCACGACGATGACAAGAGAGTTGCCCGCCGCATCGTACGAGTGGAGTAGGTTGGTGACAATCTTGAGAAGTCCCAGACCTCTGGCGAGAATGACCAGCACATCTTCTGCACGAAGAAGATGGTATATGTCCTGTTGAAATTGCTAGGAGTATGGTCAGCTTCACGTAAGGATCAAGAAGTCAAGACATGAACAGCAGGGTTGTTGTGGCAATTGCAGAACGAGTATTCCTGCAAAAGTGATATAGGGTGATGATGCTGATGAGGCAAATCAGAGAATCAGAGCAGAAGCTCACCAGAGGAAGCGATAGCTTGACCGGCGGCTGAGTAGATGCCGCCGGCATGTTTACATCTCGGCCCAAGTTGTGGTTGAGCGAGAAATGATGATGGACAGATGTGAAGCCTTGACGAAAACATAACTGCGTCATGATGCTCTTTGGTCTGCCGGCTACGGTGAGCTTGGTGAGATTATTGCGCAAATCATAGGCCTGCGGCTTAGAATTGTACTCTCTTCTATTTTCCTATGCTAGAAATCTCAGCTGCAAATAGGCAAAAGATTCTGGTACAGTTATCACTCCAGACTGATCACGCTTATGACACTCTTGGCCACGTCTATGTTGAGATCCCTTGGAGCTTGACGCTCGGTATACTTGGTCTTTATTCCAGTCATACCAGTCGAGTATTGAACACAGCAGTAAACAAACACGTATTAGAGGATCAATATAATGTGCGTATTAGATTAACAACAGCTCGCAGACAACAGTCCTCCCTCATTATCATAAGTTCATTTTTACCCAGTAGCTCAATAACTCCATGTACAAATCATCTGGGGTATCTGTGCATTGTGGGAACAGGCTCATCAAGTTCATATCATCATGTCCAGATCGCATATCGTCGAGTGCTAGCCAATATTACAAGCGCCCAATTTTGTATTGAAACAGGAAAGCAAGCTGTAACCCTTTTCATCTCGGTGTATATTCTGGTTTTCTGAGCTTGCTGACAATCGGTGGTGGACCATCATCATAGTCGGGGTAAGGAGGTCTGGGAGCTCCATTGGATCTGATGGGTGACTGACGGACAGGCATGCTTGGATCGTTGATGGGTGTCTTTGGTGGCCGGGGCGGAGGCTCTGAAGGACTTGATGTGTATGAAGGATTGGTGGGCTGGTACAGGATCTTTTCGTCCCTCCCATCCCGTCCATCTCTTCCATCCCTTCCACGGTAGGGTAATTCGGACGACACCCGGGATGATGTCGACTCGTTTGCTGACACGGAGAACTTGTCCTGCGAGGAGGCGTAATTGTCATTGGGATATGGTGGGTTTCCCGGTACTCTGAGATTCTGAGTCGGCGTCTGTGGAAACGTATCGTCTGCAGGAAGTTCGACTGCATTATCGTGCACAGGTGCCAGATTCGGTGGTGCGGGCAGGTTCTTCTGCCTCGATGACCAGCTTGGCTCCCTGTTGTGTGTCTCTCCTCTCTCGTGTCTTCTTTTCATGATTTCGATCTTTGCCATCTTCATCGCAGCATCTCCCAGCAACCTCTGGGTGTCTTCTTGTCTCAGGTATTTCTGGGTGTTAGTTTGGATCGTCGACACGGCATTCCATTCGTTCATGCCCACTGACCCAACTGCGCTCGTGGCATTGAGCCTGTAGTAGACATCATTCGGGACGCCACGTTTGGCCAGCTCAGTCTTGAGCATCTGCTGATGCGTGACCTCGCAAGCCTCGATTTTGGCAATCAATCGTCGTCTTGCTTCGGCGAACAACCCCATACTACCGCCTAGAAAATCTTCCCACCATTCATGATCTGGGACATTGCTGCCCTCAGGGCGCTTGCCAGTGCCAACGCTGACAAATACGCCGATCTCACGAGCGGGCCATTCGCTAAGGGTTTCTTCAAGAGCTTGTGGTGCAGGATTGTAATTGCCAGCGCCTTCATCCACGAAGACACTTTGGCCGATTCTGATAGGTTTGAAAGCCAGACCGGTGGCACAAGTGGCTCTCCCGGCTTGCCAAATCGTACAGTTGAATTCCGGAGGTGGTTCCCTTCTCGAATCGTATGAACGCAGCAAGATCGAAGATCCGTTCTTGGGTGTGTCCTGGTAGACAGCGGTTACCGCACTGCGATTGTTAGCCCTGCTCTTTTCTGTCCCGATCTAAACTCACGTTTTCGCCCGATTCTCACGTCCGTCGTACAGGCTCGCGTTCGAATTGCCCCAGCCAGGAAATTGTGGAGAGATGAGGGAGTTCCTTGCGCCCGCTGGACTGGTCACTCCAAGCGAGCTATTGCTCTTGACACTCATGGACCTCCTCATGGCAGCATTGCTCGTTGTGCTGATGGGACTTGGGCTGCTGAGGTCGCCGAACTCTATGCCCCCTGATGCTGTGCCGTCATTCCCCTCATCCTCGTAGACAGTGTGGTTCCTGACACATTCTCGAATGGCCTCTTCGAGTTTGGAGGCCTTGAACAATGTATGTTTGTAGGGGATGCCGGCTATGGTCTTGTCTGTCTCAAACACTCTCTTTGTCATCCTGACGTAGACTTCCTTGCACGTTTCAAGGTCCAGGCGCAGCCTTCCCAGCATGATGGCGATCAACCCACCCGTGCCGGTTCCGATGATGAGGTCGAAATAATCGCATGGTTTGGGGATCTCGTCTGTGCGAGGAGGTTTGCCTTCGGACTCGACATAGACTCGGTGCATCAGACCTTGCAGAATGACAAGCATGGAATAACCACGCACGCCGCCGCCATCTGTTGCCTGGATCAGCATTTGTAAACACGGTTTTGTCCGCAGGCGCAGCCTTACCCAGCGAAAGGACGCGCAGTGGAGGCCCCTTCGTGGTGTCCTTCCGTCGCAAATTGTTCTGATCCATGGTTTTCACTCACTGTTTGTACAGACCATCCAAGGCAGCAAGAGGAAAGGTTCAAGTATACTAGGTACGTTGAAAAGCGCGAAGGCTGGATAAATCCAAGTTGGTTAAGCGCCAAGTGAGGTCAAGCCTCTAGAAGTTACGTCGTCGAACTTGTGTTATGGAGGGGCAAACTCTGACTGGTGGGTTGGCTGCCTTTGCAACGGCACCTGCATGAACTGGTAGCCGAGTGTGCCTAAAATTATGTTCTGTAGGTAGTACCCGTACTGGGTGACCCCCCTAGGGCTGGAAAGTGACGCCCATGCGATGGGCAGTGCATGGACTCGTCAACTCTTTTTTATGGGCGCTGGTCAGTCACCCGTACGTTTGATCTAATCGACCTAGGAGGCATACCTAGGTAGTTATTAGGTCAATCACTTCAACTCCGTCCACAACCGCCTGTGGCCGCCTATCTGCACTCCAGTTTAGGTCACCTGTGTCAAACCGACGATGATCAATGATCAACGCCGGGTTCCTGCGTTTCCGAACAGCACGAATACAACCTCGCCACTATCGAAGCTTTTCTATGATTGAGTCTGCTCTATGTATACATGGTGCGTCATTGTACGAACTAGCCAGGGGAATCAAGGTACACGCTCACAGCCTCATCCCAGATGAATCGCCGAAACAGGCTTTATGCTTTACCCATGGTGGCGGTGCATGCAAGGCTCTCGCTAGTTCACTGTCATCCGAAGCCACTCAAGACTCTGAAAGCAACGTCTTTGCCCGTGGCTCAGCTCGAGTCACGGATCATTGCCTCCATCAGTATTGCCAGGCCACACACCTACTATATCTCCGACATGACAGAACAGCAAACAGCGCAGCGTACGTCCCAGGTCGAAGTATTACAGTATGTCTGCTCCTGACGCAGAGCAGGGGCAATACATCACCAATGGTTAATGTTATGAGTTATACAGACACCACTTCAGATAATGTACAGGTTGGCTTCCTTCCCAGCGCCCCACGACAGTAAACTCCCAATATGCTTCAGACCCTACTCTCATTCCTTCGGGTCCCTGATATTTTCGCGCAAAAAGAAATATTGTAGGAAAGACAAAGTCATTGCTGAACACACGATCCAGAAAGGGTATATCCACCTCATCAAACTTCCCCTAGGAATGATTCATTAAAGCGGTGGGGTTCCGTCTCCTTTGAAGGCCGTAAAGTCTCGATATGAACAAATATTCCCTTGTGGTTGTCGTGGTCGCCTGACTTCTCGCTCCCTCGCGATGTTGACGGCATCCGTCTTGTTCATGGCGATGCAGAGAACGAAAACTTCGGCTGGAGTACAGATTGATCAAAACAAGACAACAAACGAGACAAAGACCCTCCCAAATCGGCCGTTTCAATAATTATCGTAAACTCCGTGATCGGACAAAAAGCAATGTAGATAGATGCCGGGAAAAACGCTGCAGTAATGCCACCATATGCAGTAGGACGTTCTTTGTTCAAGATCATAGCTGATTGAGTGTCCAGTTTGGCCGCCTCTACCGGTTTGACGAAAAACTCGAAGAGGTACTGACCGCCGGATAGGACGTCGGAGGGCCGAAAGCCCTGAGGCGGACGTGTTCAAGGATCTTGAGGTCCTTGGCCAGAACCGGTGAGATGTTCTCGTTCTCCTTAAGGATCCTCACTGTCCGGTCGTGTAGCCGTTTCAGAGTGTGTTCGTCCACCAACGAACTGAGAGCTGGGTGAGGTGATTTGTAGGTTGCGTAAAGCACAAGCATGTTTCCAAATTGTCTGCAATCAAAAGTCAGTGTGAACGTGAATAAAGAGTTAGATGCAACTCACGCATGTGCCGTGCCAAAAATGTTGGTGGTTATCAGACGGCGAGGAACCCTGTCGAAAACGGTGGTACTGCGGATGGCAGCATTAATGCATCTTCTCACCCCCGTGAGGAATTTCCTAGTGATACCAGGAAGTACTTCCGTGGAGTCATCTTCGTGGGAAACATTCGACCACCATGGTGATTTGGCCTCGGAGATCGATCCGTAGCCCGCCGGCGACTCTGAAGGGCGTTCTTTCTGAGCGGAAGCAACTAGCAGAGCATAGTGCACAGCTGGTCGCCAGATGATGTACTTGGCTCCGTAGTACTTTCCCCTCAAGCGAGCAACATTGATGTTCGGGCTCTCATGGTCGTCATCGTCCCACCCCCAGTCGCCCAGCATCTTCCTCCAGTCTTCTAGGTTTTCGTCCAGCGCTTGCATCAGAGGCAAAGTGGGTCGCCCGTTCGGGTCTTTGGATCTGCGATACAGAGTCGAATGAATGCTGTTCATCTCTATCCTGAGCTGGATCTGGTACGAATAGAAGCGCAGAATGTCGTTATCCTTGTTCTCCTCGGGGATTTGCTCAAGGGTCACCTTGGTAGGCATCTCTTTGTGCTGTGCGCTCTCAAAGCGGGTGATGCCGCTGAGAGGCAACTCGAGCTCGGCGGCAATGTCACTCTCTAGCTGTAAGCATGACCAGAATGCAAAGTTGATCAAGTTTCGACGGGCCGGCTTCATGGTCCTTTCCTTGTACTCCGTCGACTGGATGAGTATCTGTGCGGCCATGCATGCATTGGTAATGTAGGTATAACTGGGAAGAATGCGTGCCAGTTGACCCATGTACAAGCCCGCAAGGAGATTGGCTTGAATATGCGATACGTCGGTACCACCTGGAAGCTCGCCTAGAATATCAGCAGCTTTTGCAAAGTAAGCTAGTCCGGGTGTGTTATCCATATTCTTCCCCTGCGGATTGGCAGGACTCGAGACTGCGATGGTGTTGGTGGCCCCATTCAGGTTCACCTGGTTGTTAAATGGTGATGGTGGCGCGGACATGGGCATTGGTAGATCGGAATACAGTGCACTGTGGGGAGTGGACGTTCGCATCGTTGTGGTTGTCGCTGGTCCGGGCAGCGGGTCTCTGTGGGAAGTGACCTTTCCCAAAGCCATGACAAGCAGAACAATGGCGTTGGCCACGGAGTGCTCGATCGGCGGTACAGCAGCAGGATATCCACGTGCTTGGCCACGATGGATCCCATGAGTGCCGGTGTTCTGGTCGTCCACAGAATTAGGAGAATCGAGGGTATCGCGCTTTCGCTTCGTCCCAATCGTGGTGGCCGCAGGCTGCGTAGCACGATAATCCCAGCTGTACTTTCTCTTAAATGTGTGAATCATCGTGCGCAAGACCTTGGGTTCAAGGAAGGGATGTAGGATATGGAGGTGTTCCATGAAACTGCGAAAGTAACGGTCGACCGCTTCGGAGTCAAGCATGAGTCCACCATGGGGGCTAACGCCTCCAGGGTGATCGCGAGCCGTGTGACTTTGAGTGGAGGTTACTGGCGCGTGGAATTGTCCGCTGCCCCAGACTCCGTGCGGTGATGAAGAGGCATCCTCGTCCATGCGGCGTCCTTCGGATGAGGTGCTGCCGGCAGGGCTTGGAACGCCTTCGTGGCCATCATGCTTGTCCTCGCCTTCACCGCAACCGTAGAGGCGCAGTAGCCCTCTGCCTGTTTCTTCATCCATGACGTAGGAGGGCGTTATGCCCTTGGGAATCAGGTCCCTGATCGATGGCCAATTGAACAAATTCTGAACAGCCGTGGTATGGTCTGGGGGAAGGGTCAGATTATAGCCGGTCGATTCTGAATTGTCCTTGGAGGAATTCGTCCTCTGTTTCGGGACCCGACTTGCGAGTCGCGCGTCAGAACTATCCTCCCTTTGTAGAGGATATGTATCGGCCTGTTTATGCGCCGTCGTTCTTGTGGTTCGTACGGCATGCACTGCTGCTTCGTCCGACGGATACGCATCCCCAGTGTCCGTTCGGGCAGGGTGCGCCAAATGCGTTGAATTCAGCAGCATCTTGATCTGTTCACCTTGACCTTCCTGGCTGTGCATCAGAGCTGACTGGCTGTCGATCAGAGTTTGTACACTGGCTGTCAAAGCTTCTAGCTTATCGGTAATGGTGATCATCTGCTTCTCGGACTTTTGTGGAGGGACCTCCCTATATGAGCATTTCAGACCATTATCTTTGCAATGTTGACATTCCGGTCGTCCTTCATCACATTTCGCCTTTCTTTGACGGCATGAGTCGCACGCTTGTGCCGCTCGGACTGGCTTGCGTCGTTGAGCTTGCAAATATGGGTCAGAAGCGTAATAAGGACCGGCGGAATAACCACCTGCGGAAGGCGGTGGCCCTGCTGAGGGCGGTCCGTATGGCCCTGGGGGCTGGCCAGACATCATTTCATGGCCCGTCACCACATGAAGAGGCGGATGAAGCGTCCCGTTTGGCTGGCCCTCGGGACCAGAATATGCATGACGAGGTCGATAGTCCGGAGGAGGCTGAGGATAGTACGAAGTTTCGTGAGGAGTACTCACAGGTTGGTATGGAGGATGTTGGATGTCGCCAGGAGATCTCGAAGGGCCTGAGACACTGGATGGGCGTGCGTAGGCCGACTCAGGAGGGTAACCAGGCGTTTCTCTGCCTCCTGGAGGCGGTGGTGGAGGAGGAGGATATGAGTGAGGCGGTGGCGGATAGGAATGCTGATGACCCAGATCTGGAGGCGGCGGTCGATGGTCAGAAGGTTCGCTGTAAGGCGAAGGGGCCGGATTCCACCCCGGCGCCGGGGGAGGCATACCTGCAGCGTGTGGTGGAGGATAATTGTGTAACGTAGGGGTCTCGGCTGGCGGCATACGGTGGACTGAAGATGGTGGTCCTGGAGGATAGGGATTGGATCGTTCGTGCTTGACTTCCACGTCACCGATATCATCCATCTTCAACCTCAGATCCTATGTCCAACGATCGAGCCTGTACCTCCCACGTCTCTATACCCAATGGAACGTGGTACAACAAAGGCGGCATGACCTATGCACGAAAGACCACGATTGCTGGGCACTCAACAGGAAGGCTCATGGCAAATCGTTATGCTACGGATTCGCCCGGCTGCATGGAATTCCTGTTGTTGCACTTTGCGCGTCTTGTGCAGGTAGGCTGCAGGGAGGTCCAGTTGCCAACGGCTGCCAACAACTTTGATGGTTGGTTGATTGGTGAGAAAATATGGAATACCACGCGGCGCAACTGGGCGGGTTTTTGCTGGTTTTTCCTGTTGCGAGGGAAAACTGTGACTAGCGGCAAACCACCGCAGGGACGCAGCGCAATCGCAAGTTCCAAAAGTGTTGACAAGCTGAGGCAGACTCGATCTCAATCCGACCGCTTGTTGATTAGCTGAACGTCGTCAGGATGACGGTGGGAGTCGGTTTAGAGGGGCGCAAAGCAAACAAAACAACCGCCCAAAAAATAGCAAATTCAGAACCCAAAAGCCCTCCAAATTCCGAGATCCGAGATATTGCTTTAGGTGAATCCGAGATGATAGCAAAGATGGTTGTGGGAGCTTTGAAGTATGGTCTGGATGGTAATGCGAATCCAGATTTACAGCGTCACCATCCGCGCAAACTGAATTTCGGGTCTGTATTGTTTGGGTTGAAATTGTCGCGGAGAGAAACAGAGCTGTGTCGTGGAATAGGGTTTTTGGGCAGCAACCGAGTCTGGATCGCTCTCCAGGCCCTGATACTCGAAGTGATAGTCGTGATGTTGGGGATCTATTGTCGCGAAGCCGTTGGTGAGAGTGGTGGAGAAAGACCCGATCTGCTGATCCGGAGATACTAAGGACGCTGCCTGAAGTAGTAAACCACTACTGGCGAAAGAGAAACTGATCGGAGCAGTGATGTGAACAAGGCGAGGCGAAGTTGAAGAAATGGAAACGAAAAAGATGTTTTGAATGTCGATCATCAAACCAAGTCGCAGGAAAGGGTCTTGTTTCCTTGGGCGATGATGCTTGGGCGATGATGGAGGTGGATGGACGGTGATAACTGCTAAGCTGATGCTGCAGTTGTGAAAGAAGGTCAAGTCCGTCGGCAACCGGCTACCAGGAGCAAAACTGGTGCTCTAGGGTCTAAATCAAGTACCATTGGCGCATCAAAGGAAGAGGACTAAGAGGGTGGGTGGATTGGGCCTTGCTGGTGCGATGGTTGTGGGGTTGTTGTTATAGACCCATGTTCCGTGAGTGAGGCGTCAAGGTGGGAAGCCAAATACGAGATTCCAGAAAAGTGAGAAAAGCCTCCTTGTTAGAAAAGAGGAGTGGATGGCTACCTTAGTTATTATTTAGTGCCCTTGGGCCTTAGCCACTGCAAGTGCCAAGTGGCCCCCGAAAAAAGGTACCCTGGGCGGCGTCGTTAAGTTAGATGGGGTGGGCAGTGGCACTCGAAAAGATACCCGGCAATGCGGTACCCAGTCAAGCCAGGAGCGGCGGACAGACCGGGTAGAGGTCGGAGAGCAACTGTGGTAAGAGGTGCCTAACCTTGGGGGTTAGTGGTGAAGCAGCAGTGGATCTCGGACTCTGGCCTTGACCCTCAAGGCGAAGGAAGAGACGATGGTCCAAGCAAAGAAGGAGAAGGCGAAGTTGCAGGCGTAGGCGAGGCCACATGAGGGTCCTGGTACGGAGACGAAGTTACTGCAACTCTGGTTAAAATGAAAGGATCTGTTGACAGTTTACTTAGGTCACAAGGTTCTCTCACCGACCATGATGATGAGGCAAGAATTGCTGTAGAAGGTGGACCACTGACTTACACAGTATTTGGGTGATGTTTCAGACGGTCAGATGGCCGATGGTCTATGCATTCATCCGCTACTCTTTCGCCTCTCTGCTCCACATGGATAACGTTAGTCAGGGAGGTACAAGTAGAAAGTACTCTCGTACCCAGAGAGCGACAAGCAAACCGGTTGTTGTAACAGAGATTCATTTCAAAAGTGGTAACTCGTACAATTGTCCGCTACAGTATCACCACTGATCATTTGATGAGATGGTCCAAGTGTCCATACTAGGGAACAGGGAAGGAAGGCTCGGAAAGAGCCATAGCCACCCATTTCCTTATTAAAGTCAAGCTTGAAGCTGTTGACTCGAGAATGTCGACGACCGAAAAATGGGGTACCGACCGAGCGTAACCCCTACAGCCCTGGGCCCCCTCGGGCCACGGGCCAGCCAGAGTTGAGTTCCAGAGGTACGTACCTCTTACAGCCTCTGACTCGTACATCTTAAGCCAAACTCTCCTGCTCCGTCCAGTTGGTTCAGCTCCACAAGATATGAGGAATTAGGGACGAGAAGAGATCGAAAGTGAAAAAAGAGGGGGTGCTTTGTTCACTGGAGCATCAGCAGCACCTCATCAATTGGACCTTGGAAGTTTCATTTGTCAAAGGTATACCACCGTTATGGTCTCCGAGCGCTCTCCCTCCCTCTGGATCCCAAAAGTGGGAGCAAATGAATAATGGAGCATCTCAGTCGCGTTGAGCGATTGGCCTTGGGTAAATTCGGAAGCGAAAGCCTCTGACCCCCATGTCACGCTACCCAAACGTCAGTCAAAAAATCAACCACCAACAGTTACGGAACAATACCATTGTTCCACCGGACCGAGTAACCTAACCTACCTTGTTACCTTTACCCATTCGTGCCATTCTCAACGGTTCACCTTCTTTGGGAGCTTTGGGACTCCCTTCTCGGCGCTGCAGGGGGTGTGCCCGCCTCGTCCCATGCGACAGTCTCCCTGCCTCCCGAGTCCAGCAGCCCCGCAGGCCTTCTCCTGCGTATACTGTCCACAGTAAACTTGTACCAGAAGAGACTGAAAGAAGACGATCCATCCCTGGCTTAAGCCACTCGAGTTTCATCTTCTGCGTTGGTGAGGTCATATAGCCATTTCGATTGAAGTCTGTCATTGGTACCTCGTACGAGTAGCTATCTATAGCAGAGCGGGCAGTCGTGATATGACATTTCTGCAGCCTGGCTGTGACTTCTTCATCATAGCGACCACGTCCTCTCGAGGCTTCGTCCGGGCGTTTAACTTATGCTGAATGCTTGAGTTGGATTGTCTTTTGCAAAGCATGGCAATCTTTTGTTCCGTCGGCCCTCCCCGCGAGTCTTCTCGAAATCATGCGCCTCGGGTGTTGGGCCCTGGAACATGTCCCGTGCCATCAGTGATGTGCGCCGTGTTCTTGTATCATGATTTGCTTAACCGCCAGAAGCGAAGTCGGTTTGCAGTTCGCGTACAAGAATTGAGGCAAGAATCTGAAACATTAGTTCAAATGACGGCGCCGTTTGCTCTGGCTTGGACTTCGCAGGCATATAACTCCTTGGGCAGGTAGCACCGAAGTATTTTGGCGTCCCTCTGTACATCGGCGTCATCCTCGGCGGTGTGCCGATGGCCATCATCCCTGCGCAACATCGTCTAGCGCACATTGCGGTGAAGGTGCTGTGCGACAAAATCAAACATGACAACCATTCCATGCCTGATGACCCATTTTGTCTATCATCATCATCATCAATCTTGTTAGTGAATCGTCCCGGACGACTTGCTCGCCAGGATATGCTGGTATCGGCTGGGTGATCAACTAACGGTGCCCAAGGGGGCAGTAGATGCGAAGTGCTGTATCATCGCCTCTGACGGCCAGGGGCTGCCTTCTGGAAAATTCCCAGAGGCAAAGCGGTGCCCAATGCAACTATTAATATAGGAATACGAGTTTTGGCGTGAGCAGCAGAATAGTTTTCCTGCCGCCATGATTGGCAGGAATGTTGTATAATTCTCTCGATGGTATCTAAGCGAAGCGGATGGCGCACGGAGTAATAGCCACATAGCGAGTAGCCTGGAGGCCTTTGTACACAGTATGCGCCCCCAGTGCCATGTGCAGATCATGCAGGTCCCAGAAGAGGGGCATATTATTCCTTTCGCTGCTCACGCACCATTGTAACCCGTAAGCTGGCGAGGGGACCTCGCGACTGGACGTAAGTCTCATCCTGCGGCTGGGTGCCGACCCGAAGCACTCCTCCTGGACTCGCGAATTAAACTCGGCCAGGATGGATGCAGGTCAGTCCTGCGAATGCCTCGTCAAGGCTTTCGCACATGGCAAATGGATCTTTCAGAATGCAACCATAGCACATGGATTCAAGTGAGATTGGCATCTGAAACCTCAATTATGCATCTCCAAGTCTTCATACCGTGTTATGGCAATGGTGGTGATGAAAGACTTCGTGCCTGTTGCAAGCCTGTGGGATGGATGACTGCTCGTCCCGACGTCCCCGCCCGCCCCCTCGGCTCCATCCACGTGGTGAAAAAATCTTGGGACCATGGCCTAATCATACTGGCCAGCAGCGCCTGTGACCGGGTCTGCTTTGGTTAGGCACAGTTCAGCGATGCACAGAATGGGATTCCGTTCCATTTCGGGCGGGCTACCGCAAGCCACAAAAGCTTTTCAACGTCGTTGCAATGAACGTCTGCGCATCATTGCCAGACGACGGCGATGCTCTGGAGAATCAGCGGTGGGAGTTCGATCGTCGCGCCCACTGAAACATGGTACGAAGAATGGCCCGTGAGAGACCTCGCTTAGGGGAAAACGAGCGATAAATCCTGTTTCGGCAGATGCATGATGCTTTCTTCAGGACTATCTCAGTCCCCAAGGCTGGAAAACCTGCACACCTGCATCGGGTGCCGAGCCTTCCGTAATTGCTGTTGAGGTCAAGCACTATTACAGAAGATGGCGTTTCACGAATGCAGCTTCGGGATCATCGCTGCTTGATGGTGATTTCTAAGCTTGTTGCCGAGGGCCACCAAGTGCATCATGACTTCTGAAAGAAGGTCCAATTCCCTTTGAAGGTCTCATCAACCATCGGAGAGGGACTGTGCCCCGACAAAGGGACGTGCCCCTTCTAGAAGACTAGGCTCGTGTTTCTGGAGGCTTCGAAATTTGTTCCTTGGACTAGCATCGCCGCCGGTGTCGAGCAATGACACGCCCCACCTAGGTTGGCTGGCCAGTGGCCAGGAGTTGCACAAAACGCTGCCGCCTTCATGAAGCAGATGGATCCTTGTGACCGTACCGAGATGAAAGCAGAGGAGCTAGTCATGCTGGACAGTAGTAATGAGTACAGCCTAGCGGTATACGCAATAATCAGTTGGAAACATCTTTGCATGCTGGGTATTTCCCACAACACCGAATCGTCCCGATACGAGATTTATTTGTTGCAGATCAATTCCTTGTTTGCGGTTGTGTGCAGGTGTCCTGCGAGTCTGGAGTACAATATTCCCTTGCTCGTTTAGGCACGAATCATACAAGCTCGGCATTTGGGCGACAATTGTTACAAGCGAGAGTTGATCGACAAGTTGAAGGACGGTCCCGCGCAAGTGCCATTCATTTCGAGATGCCCTCAAGGTCTTGTAGACGTCTCCAGTCTCTGTTCACTTGTCGAAAGAAGGTCCAAGCTAGAATCCGGTTGCTGCTCAATAAGTAGCTTTCCGTTGACAGGTATGGATGGCTTTTCAAGGACGTTTGCACGCCGGGAGTGTCGGACCGCAGACATAGTCCGAAAGGCTGGAGATGAAGAGGGACGGTCCGGTGTAGGATCAGCATGACTTCGTCAGTGCAGTAACTCGTAGTAGACTAAGGGCAAGTCTCGAGAGAGGATCTTTACCACAATGAACTGTGACAAGGCTGTTTCGAGTCAGCATTGGGCAGGCATGAGGGGCATATGCCGCATGAAAAGAAGACGATCGGAGTGGTCCTTGTGTAGAGTAATTAGTCTAAAAGGTGTGAGTGTCACTGAAGAGGTATCTGGGTTGGTGGCTTTCGAGAAGGTTGACCACCCAAAAAGGTACCCAAACTTACCTGGTAGGTAGGTAGGCATCTACCGGTAGGTACTTCCCGAGACGGAGTGTACACGATATCAATATCACACCTTGGACAAGGCCATTCGAGCATCATCCCATCCATCTCATTCAATCTCAATCACCTGTCTTGCTACAATAGCGACTACCTAAGAGTCTCAAGCACTCTCCGAGTCATCCAACAACCTGCGTATTACTCTATACAATAACCACTTGACACCTTCTGATGATTATTTCCACTCTGGCAACTCCTTCAGACCTGAACATGATCGTCTCGTCCTGTCCTCCAGCACCACTCGGCGTCGACATCCTCGGGCTCGTCCACGTGGGCGAGTGCTATCAGTAATGCTGACTGATGGTTGAGCCTGTCAGACCTTTAGTTTGATTTGGTATTCCTTCTGTCTTCTGCAGCCATATTTGCAATCCTACAAGAGGTTGATTCGAGAGACAATTCTGCTGCATTTTGACCTCGGGGGTGCCTCGAAGCCCATCATCCCACGCCCCCGCCACCCACGGACAAGTCTACATGCAAGAAAGCCATTATTTGTTCAGTCACATTTTGGCCTGCAACATTCCGGAGAAGACGTCTCCGTGGAGGTCGCGCACACACCTGGATGAAGAGATCATGCTCCTCCGCATTTAAGCCGGGGCAGGTGGACAGTGGTTCGACAGGCACCACAAGGGATTCACAAAAATTACATGTCTGTCAAATACAAATGCGAGTGAGTGAAAGAAAAGGATTGCCCATCTCGCGCATCAATCATCGCATGCCCACGCACACCATGTCATCGCCTTATTCGCTGCTTCCCCCCAGCCATTGGGTGCACCACATATTATCCCCATTTGAGAAGTGTCAGCGTTCCTGTCAAGGGTCTGATCCACGTTGTGAACGGTAAGGCTTGCGACAAACGTGGGAGGTCAATTAATACAGGGTGACATCCTTGCTCTGATGAAGCCCTTTCTATGGTCAGCTGCCAACCGGACATACCGCTGTTCAGTCGATAGCAGCGATAAACTTCACAAAGCAATTTTTGCCTTCTGGACCAACAAGAGCTTCTGACACAAACTCTATGCATGAGGTGACAGCTGTCACGTATCCCGGCACAGCATGCCGTCGACTATCCGAGGATTCAGTTGACGAGACGTGTTCGCTGCATGAATGCAATGCCTCGCATGGCAGTGATACAAAGCCGACCGTTGCGGCGCCCTAAATCGGGGTCCTTGGAGAAAGGACCGCGCCCAATAAAGCCCCTGGGCTGAACCCTGGCCTGGATCTCCAGAACTGTGATATCGTCCTCAAAACAGTCTCTGTCACCTCCCACAATTTGTGGCCTCGCCAACTTCGGAAGGACAATTGCGGTCCGAAGTTTCGGATCTCAACGGTTCTTTTAACGTTCATGGCGATCCCGGCGGTCAGATCAAGCCTTGCTTTTTCTCCACTGTCAGGGCGGGTATCTTGAATGGGATGCAGGTCAGTCGTGCGCATGTTCTTGCCCCCTCACTCGAATGTGACATGTCATCTGGGGGACGCGCGTGTGGCTGGGATCTGAATGCCGACGGACACACCGACCGTAGCAGAAAGCACGCGACTTGTCACCTGCATCGATCATCCGTCGATTATTTCCGGGTCGAGACCTCAACATGCTCTGATGTTCTCAAGGTGGGATAAAATAACAGCAGGGAATTCATAATTCGAACCTACACCACCGCTTCAGATTCAGAACCCCCTTGCAAACCGCAATAATGCGAAACTCGTCGCCTGCAAGGACCAATGCTTCCTCTCCTGCAATAGCCAATGCTTCCTCGCCTGTAATAGCCTCGTACTGGGGCTTAGGGATCAAGATCGTCGACACTCAGATCTTTCCACCCTGGCTTTCGTTGGTCGATATGTACTCCTTGACCAGCTTCAATGCCTCAATGGCAAAAGCCACCATGTTGGCCTGCCTATCACTCCCCAGGCCTGTGTCCAAGTCCTTGCTTAAGGCGCCCTTCTCGCCCACGACCGCCAGCGCCACGTAGCCCCTGCAAACCCGTATGTCAGCATGTTTGGTTTGAACAAGTCTGTTTGAGATGTGACCCACGGTTGTCGATTCTTGGCCTTGCCGCTTGCCGTTGGTCCTGCGGTACCGCTCTACAAAGATCGAATGTAAGTCTCTCATGGGTCAACCGAACAGTACCGAAGTAAACTTGAACCTGGACTTGCGTCTGAAACAGGGCAAGGAGCGAAGTCGAAAGCACGGGAGCAGGATTGGAAACAAAGTGAACAAAAGCATGAGGAAAGAGACGGACCTCGCCAACGGTGTAATTCGACTTCAACGTCACGCGCACATGACTCGCCAATCCCTCGACCAACTTGGGCGTCGGCCCATCGTAATTGTCGATATTAGCTTGCGTCCAGCCCGCGAACGCGATGCGCGAGTCGAGCGTATACAGCGTCAGTCCGCCCTTGTAGATCCGTGATGCGCCGGGCGTGGAGAGCAGCGCTGCGCTGACCAACCCTCCTGCTGCCGTCTCGGCGACGGAGATGGTTTCTTTGCGCTCGCGAAGCAGCGAGGCGACGTCCTCAGCTGCCTGTCGCAAAGCAGGCGGCGGGAATTCGGACATGGTGCTTTGTGATCTGAAGATGATGATTCTTCTGGCTGGATTGATAACAGTCGAGAGGATGGGTGTGAGTACTCGTACTCGTGTTGCGTTCCTAGATGTGGAGAGTGAGGCTCGATAGGGGGCCACACGCATGTATATGTCCACACAGTGGGAACGTCGCCGATGTCGTTCTTGAGGAGTTAACTACGTATGAAAAAGATACTCGTGCTTGTGTATGAAGTGTAGTGAGTGGTGAGGTACAGTACTCTGATATCATGACAAATGCAGTCGAGATCGATGCGGGGAGATAGAGCCTCGGGAACAATTATAGTCGTGGCGTCCTCGAAACCAACAGTGTGAACAATACAAATTGGGCCATTCTTACCACTTAACCTGCCAAAGTAATCATAAAAATCGCAAGGAGATATGATTTTGTGCTCATGGTCACTCCGAAGTCGAGATCTAATATTCAACAAGGTCTCAATGAGCCACCGGACAAATATACCACAACATGTAAGGAGTCGAATGCCAAAGCAATACCTCACATCGAGTACTCCGTACATTGAAGCTGGTTACGCTGGTATGGCAGTCCCATATTAACAGGGCTCACGATGTGTTGGCTAGTAATGCATTCGATAGGCTATATAGCTACATCATGATTGTAGCCATTGCTAACGCAGGAGAATTCGAATGGATGGTATTCGAGCCTCGGTATGCACTGATACTCTTTTCACTTCATGGTTGATTTCTTGTCAACAAGCGAAGCATTGTTTCCATTTCTCAAAGCCGTCCCTCACGTTAGTGTTTTCTTTTCTCAGAACAAGACCTGGACCAAAGCATATCCAGTTGGTATATTCTTGAAATGAGGTTCAAAGGGCGCCATACACGTTGTCCAGAAATGCTTCCCCTGTCCGACATTCTGAAGACTCGAAAACCCTTCGAGTTCATCCATAACCTTCCTCCAAGCACCAAAGTGCTATTCCTGAAGCGACACCAATCCCGGATCATGGTACTGTCGAGTCATACAGCTGCCATCCTGCAGAGTGGGTTGAAATATAACAACTTATACCTCACCCTCATGCAGCGACGTAGCACCGACCCGCGACCCAGATCATCCACAGCCGTCTACACGACCTTGTAGACCCGCTTGCACCAGAAGAAGCAGAAAATTCCGAATAACAAGAGGGCCCCAGTTGTGCCCCAGAACCAATTGAGGTTGTCGACTTCTTGTCCAGGGACCTTGAAATTGCCACCAAACATTCCTTGAATTCACTCGTCAGTATTTCCAGAAGATCGTCGCGGAGCAGGAGAAATAGCCAACTTACCTGTTACAATGTTCATGGGCAACACAATGGTACCAAGCACGGTCAATTTACCAAGCACATCGGAGGTCTTGACAGAGAAATTAGCATATTAGCCATCAGAACAATGGAAAATGGCAGTCCTTACCTTTTCCTGGCGCTCGTTCATGTGAATGCTGACTTGGGCAAGGTAATTACCATGAGCTCTGGAAAGCAGGGTTTCGTAATGCGACAAGTTGCCGGTCATGGTCAAAATATGGTCCTGAATGTCACCCAAGTAAAGACCAATCTCAGATCTGGGAGCAACCTCCCACTGCTCATTGCAACGTTTCGCAAAACCCTTGATTACATCTGCCTTTGTTCCCAGCAATCGGTAAAGTGACATCACCTTTTTACGACATTCGCCTATTCTCAAAAGCATGTCGCTGCCACTGATCTCAAGGTGCTCACTCTCTGACTCCTTTTCGTTCTTCTGCTCACCGTGATCACCAGCAAGTTCATCAGTAGTTTGAAACGACCTGAGAATCTGATCGTCAATGACGTCGACTTCCTCCTCGATGGTGGTGATCAATGGTTGATAGACGTCGGTGATGTCGTCTATGATTGCATACGAGATCCAATCGGCACTCAGGATCAGGTAGTCGGACAGTTGTCGGATACGACGCCGCACGTTCGCCGGGTGGGGGATCTGGGAGAAGTGGAATGTGATGATGCCATAGCGGAAGACGCACATGTACATGTTGATGGGCTCAAGGTAGTCTTCACTCTGGGCATCCTGTTCGAATGTCCGGTAATTGATGAAGTAGTAGTTGCGGAACAGCTCGACCTTCTCTCGTGCTTCTTGCAACATGATGTCTTCTGAGGTAAGAGCATGAATGCCAAAGGCCTTGCATAGAACGCGCATCTCCTGGTCCGTTGGGCAGAGAACGTCGAGCCAGAAGGTCGGTCGAGGGCCGTACCTCTTCGGCTTTGAAGCCTGCTTTGCTGTGTGTTTGAGTGGCGATGGTGAATGTGAAGCCTTGCCAGATGTCTTGCCATTGGGCTCAAGCTTCGACCTCACTGCTTCTGCCAGGCTTGGGGCCGCAGTGTGCTCTCCAGACTCATTCTGACTTTGGGGACTTTGCAGCGTGCTTAGACGTTCCAAGTGCTGACTGGCTTCCACTGGTTCTTCCTCTTCACTGCTTTCAGATTCAACCAGTTCCGGTGGATCAGGTATAAACAGCTCCCGAAAATCTCCTCCCGGCTGGACCAGTTCAGAGATGGTCTCGGAATGGATGGTGCTCTCAAACTCCTCGTTGAAGTAGGTGTACCGGTACTGGCGTTCTTCCTCATCACGATGCCATGCATTCTTTGCTGGACGCAACCTGCCCTCCACGAAGACGGGCTCGCTGATTTTCTTGGCCCTTCGCTCACCAGCTGCTCGCTCCTCCTTTTCGGCGCGACTCCAATCGTCCAGGACCCATAGCTGAGGCCACTCTCGTTCCCGACGCCTTCGTCGCCCCCCATTAAGGTTAGGTCCACGGGAGATTGATCTGTTGTCATAGTCCCCAGCTTCAGAAGCCTCGTCTCCTGGGAAACAGACGTCGCCCACAGCACCCAGATGCCGAGCACCCTGCGGACGGTGTCTTGGACTAGGTGGTGCTGAATTAGGGTCCTGGTCTCTGTCCCCGTCAATATCGATCAAGGCATCATTGCTGGTACAAAGCATATTCCTCCGGCTATCAGGCGATCGTGAGAAGAAGGCGGCGTCGTCCACCATGACGTCGCCATAGTGGGCACCGAGAGTGGGACTGGGCGGTACTGACGGAGGATTGTTGATATCGTAGTCCTTCTGCTCGGTCTTGGGGACGGAGTTGCTTGGTGGGACGACTCGCTTCCGCTGCCGCCTTGAGGTTGAAGAAAGAGAGGATGCCTGTGACTTTCGTCTGAACAAGCCATAGCCTCCCTCGACCGGGCTCTTTTTCGGGGTCCCACTGGTGATCAAAGGCGTGCGATCATTTGCGTCTTCGTCGTCAGAATCTGGAGGGCTATTGATGTTCTGTTGACTGCGATGCCTCCTCCGTGGAGCCGCTTCGGGTCTGGGATAGGTGCTGCTCCGGTAGGAGGCATTAAACAGATTCTGAGTGAGGCGACTATCGCGTCGAGGTCGTGGAGTTGGCTGGTCTCGATGGTCGAGTAGAGCCTCTGAATCAAGACTCTCATCGCTCAGGTTTCCTGTGTGGTTCCTGTAGAATGTTTGCCGTGCGGCAGGTTGCTGATGAGACTCCTCGATCAATGGGTCGTCAATGGGTCCATCTGCAATGCTGTGCATGGCTGAGGTGTCTGAGGGAGCAGCAAAAGACTGACGACGATTGTTCCTCCTCTTCTTGCCTCCGCGGTGTTTCCTCCTCTTCTTTCCATCTGAAGGATTTGCAGACGCAACCGAAGGCCGGGATTGACCTGCAGAGGCAGAAGCGGAGGGTTGATTGGCAGACGAAGGATCCATTGTTGAGGAGGGCACTTGATCGCGTGACTGAGGAGGATAAGTAGACTGGGTTCTATTGGGAGGTGGGAGAGGATGCATCGAAGATTGTTTAACCGGGTCGAAGTGGTGAAAGACGCCCAATCCGAGATGGATGTTTTCGGGGGCGTCGGTGGACTCCAGACTAGTATGCGTGCGCAAGAATAAGCATCATGCCAGGTGGACTGTTAGATAGATAGCGAAGGTTGATGACCACAAGCCTGGCTTCACTTGTGAAGCTGTAAGTATACGCGGTTAGTGGGGATAAAGTGGTGTGTCTCCGGTAGTGAACGTCTGTGACAAGTCGATGTGCCTGGTGGTAGGGAATCACAAAGTTGCATCTTCAAAAACTCAAGTTAAGGAGCAGACAGTCATCGATGACGTTGGGGCAAGCTTGGCCCCTGCAACCTGGCCTACTAGCCCTTAACTGAGCCGCTCAGCCACTAGCCTCTCATATCTGTGGCGCCCATAATCACCATTGCCGTCTATTCCGTACCTCTCTCCTCCTCTGCCCTAACATACCTAGTAGCTATGCACAGCATCCATCGAACAACACAGTGCTGCAGAAGGTGTAAAAAACTATTAATACCTATATAGTATAATATACTATGCCTGAGACCCTAAAGATAGGTCTCGGTAAGATGAAGAGACTCGTGACTTCGTAACATCATCCAGGACAATCATCCTGTTCTTCCCAGCCAGATCAAATGCATATCTCCATCCAGAAAAGAACTAACAACTCCTCGCCATGCAAACAAATGCAGATGCCTTCTTGCGCTAAAACATGTTGTCGTTGACATCCATTCCGCTCATGGCACCCAAACTATGAGTGCTCACAGCTCGAAGACTCCTGGCATCAATGTTCATCCGATCACTGCCGCCGCTCGCAGCACGCGTCGAGCCTTTAGCTTTCTTGCCCTTGTCTGGTCGAGCAACCAACACCTGAGCTGGACATACCACAATCTCGTCATCTCCAACACCGTTGTCGTCGCCTTTCTTGACCACGAGTGGGAAGAGAACCATACGAACCACGGCCTGGTTCTGTTCAAGCTCCTCATTGCTGGTCGTCTCACCACTCCTCTCGTTCATCAAGCTCGCATTGAAATAGACCTTCCGTGCGAGATCACCTTTGGTGTCGTATTCTGGTTGCAGTGGCGGTAGCATGATGTACTCAGCCCTCTGGGTCCGCATTTCGATTGAAAGATCCACCGCCGTGTCCATGACATTGCGCAAAGTCCCAACGATTTGCTGTTCGAGGTTTTGTGGTGGAGGAAGAAATCTGGACAGTGTGTTGAATATCTCCAAAGCCACTGCCTCGGTGTCACTCTCTCGCTGCGCCTTGAAGCTCTCCCGTTTGGACAGAAGGATGAGTGTAAGGGCTCGCCACTGGTGCACCGCACTGGCCGAGCCAACCTCTCCCAGATTTTTTTCCAGCTGCTTCAGCTTTTGTCGTTGTTCGCGATCCATGCCGAAGAGATACCTCGTGAAGACATATTCCCATATCATAGTCATCACGACGGACATGAACACGTCCCGTCGCTTGACGCGGTCCGCGAGATATACGTCAACATCCGACCCATCCAGAATGGCATTGTCAAACCGGTCGACAATCTTCTCATCTCTGACCTCATTTGTAGTGCGACACATCTTTAGGTCGTTGTATTTCGAGAATCGCAAGACCCATCCTTGCACTAGTTGACACAATTTCTGGCAGGCCGCATCAAAGTAGTCCTCGTCATGGAAGACAACCACGTCATCTGCACCTTGCTTTAACATCTCAGACTGAAGCTGCCGGATCTTCTCTCGTGCGTCCTCGAGATCCTCACGAAGTCTTTCAACCTCTGCATTCTTCTCCGCTAGCGCGGTGTCGATCTCGTGTCTCACGATCGACTCCATCCCGCTTGACAGCTCAGCGTGACGTGATCTGAGCACCTCAAGCTCTCGTGAGGAATCTTGCCATTGTCCTTGTGCGTCTTCATGTTGCTGCAAGTCCAACAGGCTTTGCTCGTGCTCTCTCCTCAAGGTCTCGTGGGTCGCCGTCAAGGATGCGATTTCCTCCCTCAGCCTCGCAATCTCTGCATCCCGCTCTTGCAACTGGGCGCTGATGTTTCGCGAGGCTCGGGCTGAGTTCTCGGCCCGGTTTCGTTCGAAGTTGGCATGCTCGAGGTGCTGTTCTGCCATCATTTTGGCCTCGGCCAGAGTCCGGTTCTCATTGGCAAGCTGATCTAGCCTGGTCTCGAGGTCTCTGATCTGCTGGATACTCTGTCGCCGTCGCACACTCTGTGGACGCGTGGGGGACTTGGGGCTGCCCGGATAGGAGCCATAGCCATCCTGTGCACGGGGCGGTTAGTATGGGGAACGCGTCAATGCATGATGCAAACTGTGGGGCAACTTACATAGATGTCTGCCATGTCCCTGTCGCGGGTGGCAGCACCTGCGAGGCCCTTGTCATCGATAGAACCGCGCGATGGATTGGATCCTTGTCGTTCTAGGTCAAACGGTGAGGTCGAGTCTTCGCGCAGATTGCGCAGCGACGAGGTTCGCGACTTGCTGGTGCCAAGCGATTTAGCGGGCCCCAAATCACGTGGGCGCGTGGAAAGGCCCCCTGCGGCCGCGAGTCCAGCTATGCCGGCGGCAGCACCCAGGCCTGCTCCCCCGAATTCCTTCATCTCAGGAGAGCCAGATGCTTTGACAGGCTCTTCCCGAATGGCCTTGAGCGAGTTCCTTGGTGAGAATGCGCGGTCTTGAGTCACGACATGGTATGCCGAAGGGTGCACTCTAGCTGTCGTCGATGGATCAATGGGGTTAAAGGCGAAGTGGTCATTATACGCGATCTCATGACCAGTCTTGCCCAGCTGTCGCAGCTGTTCTCGGCTGTTATGGTGGCCATGGATGCTGGGACTTCGTCGGAGAGGAGTTGTCACTGGCTCAGGGCTTCGTGTCGCGTACTTCGTGTCGAGTGGTGTTAGGACGGCAGGAGAGGAGTTAAACAGTGCCGACGATCGATCTTTGGAGGTTGCAGCAATCGGCGAAGGCTTCCTTCTTGGTGTTTCCAGGACTGAATCCTCAAGTTGATGGCCTTTGCTTGATATGGTCTGGGTGACGTCCTCGGTCGAACTTGTTGGAGACTGAGGCCGTGGTGGCCGTAGAGACACGTACATCGCAGGATCGACTTCTCGAGACCCATACGGTCTGTCCTGCTGGTCTGCAGGATCGGGGACGAATCCACTATCTCTTGTGGATGAGATCTGGCCCTGAGCAAGCAGCGGCGATTCGAGCTGGACACCACTATCTCGATTGAGGCGGTCAGCCACAGGGCCTGATTGCGCAAAAGACCACTTTGAAGAAAGCTGCCGGGCTGGCGATCTTGGCTCCCGAGTGACCTCTCGTGCAGGTTCATCATGTTCGCTGGCTCCGATTCCCAAGCCTGCAGCGATGCCAAGTGCAGTGTCCATCAAATCGTCGTGTTCTGGAGGTGGGGTGAGGGCCCGATTCCTCGGTAGGTCTTGAGGCTCTTCCCCTGACCATGCAGGTGGAGATCTCCTTCGTTTTCGTCTCTCGCGCGTGCTGGCACTGACGTCGGACATTGTTTCCACATCTTCTGGCGGTACAATCATTTCAGAGGTCTGCGTTAGTTGATCGAAAGGAACCGCAGGATCAGTTGGCACTCTGTTCTCTGAAGTGTTCCGGCCAAGCTCTGTGGAGTCGTGGAGGTGTGGCTCTGTCCCATTGAACTCAAACAACCTGTGCGCTTTCTTGACATCCTGGTCGTGATCAATCCGTTCCTCCAAAGGCAGATGGTCCTGTCCCATGGCGTCAGACATATCTCCCCTGACTTCGTCAGGACGCAGAACCTCATTGACAGGCTCGAGGGATCTGTCGTGGCTTTGCTCGTCGTTTTCGATCCAGACTGGCAGCGCCTTTCTCTTCTTATCCTTCTTCGACTTCTTTCTCTTGATTGGAGCGAAGTAGTCATCAGCAGCAGTCTCGGCAGGAGTGGCAGGGGTCTGTTCTTCAACATAAGGGTCTTGTACAGGTTCCGGAGATACGGTGCGAGGTGCAAGGGGTTGGAAATCGTCTTGCTCCATAACTCCTGGTGTCTCTGTCTCCGGCGTTGCTTGTTCATTGTTGGAGAACCGAGACTTCGTTTTCTTGGTCTTCTTTTTCGACTTTTTGACTGGAAAGCCCCACTCCTCCTCGGCTGGTAAGGGCGGCTGATCTTGTTCAGTCGTAGCTATGCCAGAGTCTGCGGAAGGCTCCATCTGGATTGCTGCATCGCCCACGTCCTGAGGTAGTGGCGATAATGCTCGTTCGCGAACGTCCATGGTATCATCCTCCCACCGATCTGCTTGTGGAATAGTACCTTTCCATTCGGTCAGAGCCGCAGCGTTTTCAGCAGATGGTCGCTCAGCAGAAGACTCTGGAATGACCAATTCTGCATTCTCGAGCATTTTTGATCTCGGTTCAATGGCCTGGGCTGGTTCTTCCATCGCTATATCCACCTGTCTTACTGGAGGCTCTTCTGGTTCTCTCAAGCTCTCTTGCAGAGTTGATTGTCTCTTCTTCTCCTTGCCCTTTTTGGATTTCTGGGTTGGAATACTCCACTGGTCCTTCACCTGGGGTTCGAGTACAGCAGCCTCGACTGGCTCGTCATTCAAAGTGGTGAATGTAGGCCTGGAGGCGATAGCGTCATTGTGGTTGGCCAGTGGATCACTAGCGGCTTCTGCAAAGCCTACAACATTTTCTGCGGATCGTTGAGAGTCAAAAGCTTCGAGACCTTGGACCAAGCTGCGACCACTTTCAAAAGCTCGGTCACTGCCAGCGGCGGTAACCTGTGGAGGAGCTGCGCGGGGAAGCTGTTCTTTGCTCTGTGAACCAGACTCGTCGATCGGCTCTAGCTTGGTCGGTGGCATGACGTTTTCAATTGGGCTGCTCGAGACCGTGGTATCAAAATGATGAGGTGCATTTGGGGGTGGGCTTGCCTCATCTCTCCTGTCTTCTCCCCAAATGCGATGTTCGCCCGACGCGGGCTGTCCGGGTTGTGTCGTCTCGGAAGTGAGCGTCTCAATTTCCTCGTTCCCCCTATCCGCATATGGCACGTCTCCGGTCGCTCGCTTTTTCTTCTTGTCCTTTTTCGATTGAGGCGTGGGAGTCCAGTCATCTTCAAAAGCTGAGGTGGCTTCCGAAATCATTGCCGCTTCGATTGCCAATGGAGCATCACTTCCACGATATTGACGAGCATTCGCATGATTGTCAGGAAGGGATGCTTCCTCCATAACATCTGGTGCACTTTGCCCCTCGGCAAAGCCATCATCGAATGTAGACTGACGCTTCTTTTGCTTCTTGTCTTTCTTGCTCTTCTTGGACATTGACCACTCTTCTTCCTCGGCGGGTCCAGCACCCGATTGAGGCGCATCGTAGTTCATGGCATCCCTCTCCAATGATGCCGCTTTGACTTCGGGATCCTGTGAATGGTTGGATGTTTCTAGGAGTTCCTGATTCGAGGGCGGGAATTGCGTGCCAGAACTTTGTGGTTTTACCTTGACATCGTCAAGTGTGGCTTGCCGCTTCTTCTTCTTGTCCTTCTTCGACTTCTTCACGGCAAAACCCCATTCATCATCTGCTGCTGGACTCTGAACTTCTATCTGGGCTCCTGGAGGCATGGGACTCTCTTTTGTTGATTCCTTCTCTTGCCGTGGTGAGGAGTCTTTCTCCGGGGCGTCCTTTGCGAAACCGAGAACAGATGCTGCTGCGCTTATCACCTCGCCAAATGCACTGTAGCCTGGGCCAGCGTTGCCCTCCGTGTTCTTCGCAGGCTCAAACGCGGCAATATTCTCTTCCGCATTCTTCTCCACGTCTAGGCGTTCTTTGGTAGTCCTAACATCGTCCTCTAATCGCCTAGGGGGTTCCTTGCCATTGCCAGCATAGAAGTCTAACACCTGTGCCAGTGCCAACTGTTCCGCAGGCACAGGCTCATCGTAACGAGCTGAATCTTGTGCAGGTGCCGGCTCTTCCGTTGACAATGACCATGCGCCAGGCATCAGTTCTCGAGCGTCCATCGGCTCTTCAATAGGTGCAGAGTTGTCGATGTGCTGACGTTCTTCAACAGTTGTCGTTTCCGCAGTAGACATGGAATCGTGAAGCAAAGCAGGTCCGTCGCGAGGTAGCGGCGCTTGAACAGGAGCTGAGTGTTCAGCAGATACGGATTCCTCCGCCTCGCGCACACTGTCTCCCTGAGTTTCATTATTCTCCTTTGGCTCATGTAGACCCTCATTTGCCACTGTGCTCACTTCGTCCAAGTTCGATTTGCGCTTTTTCTTCTTGTCTTTGGACCTCGTGGTCGTGAATGCCCACTGCTCGTCCACGTCGATATCGGCACCTGCGGGACTGGCCGTCTCTCGAGTCTGCTCCTCAACTTTCGATGCTGCTGGATCGTCCTCGGAGGCCTGGGAGACCGCAGGGATCCCCGCATCAGCATCTGCAGCAGCTGTGAAGCCTGACTGCCGCTTTTTCTTCTTGTCCTTTTTCGACTTCTTAGACGTGAAGCCGAAGAAGTCATCGTCCTGGTCGTCACCAACGACTGTCCCAGGAGTCGGGTCTGCGATCTTGCTGGCTTCTGTGGTTGCAGGGTCTTCAGTGCCGAGATCACGCGTTGCTTGTACATCTTCGCCTGAGAGCGCTTTGTCATCGGACAGCGCCTCTCTGCCGTAAGCTGGAGATGTATCGCTTTGTACATCAAGCGTGTCGAATGTTGATTGTCGCTTCTTTTTCTTTTCCTTCTTCGTCTTCTTGGTTGCCACGCCCCAAACATCTTCGAGCACATCTCTGGTATCTGGGACGGCATCCAACACGACATCCTTCGTATGCTCAGCTTCCAATTCGCTCACGTTCTCAACGTCGCCGGAGACACCCTCTATTTCTCCACCACGAGGAAGCTCTTGGGGTTCTGCAAGCATGGAACTCAAGGCACTTTGACGCTTTTTCTTCTTATCTCTCTTGGATACCTTCATAGGGAAATCCCAACCGTCGTCTGTAGCTGCTTCAGAGCGTTTGGGGGCTCCGGACTCAATTCCTTCAGGGACAGGGGTCTCAACCACAGGAGTCTCCACCGCAGGAGTCTCAACCACAGGAGTCTCCACCGCAGGAGTCTCAACTGCAGGAGTCTCAACCGCAGGAGTCTCAATCGCAGGAGTCTCAACCGCAGGAGTCTTAACATCGGGTGACTCAACTGTAAGAGGTGCAACAGAGGCAATACTCTTCACGGCCGAAGCCACAGCCCCTGTTATTCCCTTGAGCGCAAAGCCCACAAAGGATGAAGGCTGGTCAGTAGGAGC